CCAGAAAGACCACCGGAAGCACCGCCAGAAAGACCGCCCGATGCACCGCCGGAAACACCACCGTTGCCAGAGACATCGCCGGAGGCACCGCCAGAGAGACCACCGGAAGCACCGCCAGAAAGACCGCCCGAAGCACCGCCAGAAACATCACCGCTGCCACCAGCACCTCCAGTAGCAACAGGGGAAACACCGACATCAGTGGGAGTGGCACCAGCGCTGCCGCCAACGTCACCGGAAGCACCGCCAGAAAGACCGCCAGAGGCACCACCAGAGACGCCACCGGAGGCACCAAGACCAGCGCCGAGGCCAGCACCCGCAGAGGGGGTAGCAGCGGCGCCGGCACCGAGACCAGCACCAGCACCAAGGCTAGCACCAGCACCAAGCCCGGCGCTGCCACCCAGACCGGCGCTACCACCCAGACCGGCGCTGCCACCAAGGCCAGCACCGCCAGAGGCACCACCAGAGACATCACCGGAGGCACCACCAGAGGCACCAAGATCGGCACCAGCACCCAGATCGGCACCGGCGCCCAGACCAGCACTAGCTCCAAGGCCAGCATTGGCACCTAGCCCGGCATTGGCACCTAGCCCAGCACCAGCACCCAGGCCAGCAGAGGGAGTGGCAGAAGCACCGGCACCAAGGCCAGCACCAGCACCCAGGCCAGCACCAGCACCCAGGCTAGCACCAGCACCAAGGTTGGCATCGGCACCAAGATCGGCACCGGCACCGAGATCAGCACCAGCACTTCCGCTGCCACTGGCACCAAGACCAGCACTACCGCTACCACCAGCGTGGCCGCCGAAAAGACCTCCCAGGCCGGCGCCCAGACCAGCGCCCAGACCAGCGCCCAGACCAGCGTTCGCGCCCAGACTAGCAGCGGCGTTTCCACCGAGTCCAGCGCCCAGACCGGCACTTCCCCTGCCACTGGCATCAGCACCGGCGCCCAAGTTAGCGCCTACATCAGCACTGCCGCTGCCGCCCAAGCTGGCACCCAGACCCGAGCCACCGAAGAGGCTACCAGCGCCACTCAGGAAGGGAAGGAGACAGGGAATGGGGATCGCATTGACGGAGACGGTCGAAGCGAGCACAGTCGCGGCGGAGACTTTAGAGACACGCATCGTGATTCTGATTGATCAGTGACTGGACTGCGCCGTATAGATGATGGTACGTACCAAGTTGAGAAAAACTAAATTGACAACAGCAAGAAGTGAAGAAGCGAGGGGGGTAGGAAACCGATTATGACTAGATAATCGTGGAGAACGAAAGAAATGCTACCAGAGCAATGTTTTTTTGAGGTTTAGAAAAGAGGGAAGAAAGAGAAAGGGGAGAAGTGGTTGAAGGATGATGATGGAAAGAAGAACAGAAACGCGAGGATGAAGACGCCTTTTATCTTGATCCTGTCGGACCTTCGAGGCAGGGTGAAGTCCAGGATGTACTATTTCGAGAAGCAACCATGAAACTCTTCACGTTTGAAGGTCTGTGATCGTCCCGGAGAGGGTACCACTCTCTGACCCGGATCACGGCAAGAAGACGAGCCTTCCGCCAGTCGAGAAGTACCATTTGGGTAAGGTGCCGACCATCTGGGCTTAGAGAGCACCCTCGACTGTGGTTCTCAGACAGGGGCAAACTCAACTGGGGTACGCCGGGATCAAGATGTGGTCCAGGTGCAGGTTGGACTCCTCCTGCGTGCTAGCACAAGCACATCGCGCGATGGAGAATCGACAGTCACAGTAGTAGAGAGCGAAGAATTCCGAGCAATGTATTGAAACGCGCTAGGGGTGCAGATGCTGCTTTTGTTCTGGATGGGTCTCGCGAGATGGTCCGTGTACGGGCAACATGAAGAGCAACTAGCAGCCATCAATTCCTAGAACAGCGGCAATGGAATTAAGATACGCTCTATGTTGCTCAGCTCCATTTTTGTCCTCATTACAAGTAGCAGTGCCGAGAATAGTGACATCAGCACGGATGAAGCCAAAATGAGCTGTTCCTGGGCGATTCTTGGATCTTAGCAGGCAGACCGTGGTTAGAACCATTGCTGCACAGAAAGGGAACCCCAAATCCATAGTTACCAGAGCAGCCTGAGACGCAGCAATGGAGAAGGTCGGGGATGGTGGCTGGCCAAGCGGGATTGGCTATTCTTAGTATAGTCGGGAAGAAACTCAATTCGAAAACCCGCCTGGCCAGAGTCTGGAGTAGCGACAATAGTTCCGACTCCTCGAGGGAGTTGGAGCAAAAGTCGTCGGGCGCAGAGGGTTTCCCCATTATGCTGAGGAGGCCGACCTATCGCATGTGCAAGTCCGCTTGAATCGAATCCTGCTCGGGTGGATCGACCGGAGAGCATCCTGGGCTAAACCTTAAACCTGGCCGCGGACGAGAGTTGGTGGAAGGAGTCCCGTACCGACCGACCAAAACGGGCCTCCCGATTCGAAACTTCGATAGCTTCGGGGCTTTTCCCTAGCCGGATATGGTCTCGAAGCGGTCTGTCCATCAAGAAGACACTTTCCTTGCTGCGAGGAAAGAGGGTGGAGTGTGGGCCTTAGTAGTTACACTAGGTTGTCCGGAGCACAAGTCGATAGTCTTCCAGTCAAGTCGGATGTGGAAGATTTCAGGGTACAATTGAGAGATGTTTCGTAAGTTGGAAAGAAGAAGCGTCAGACGAACCCTTTCTTGGGAGTTCGAGGGCCCAGAGCACGAACGGTGGAGGTTTCATGATGAGACGATCGAAAATTGGGGTTTTGCTGGGATCCTCAAACGACGGCGAGCCTCACTAGCGGATGGTGCTATTTTGGGTCATGAAGGGGGAAAATTTGAGCAAGAACCTGCCTATCTCGAAAGGTTATCAACTACCACAGCAATTGAAAGATGAGTGACGATGATAGAGCTCCGTTGCAGTCAGTTGCAAGCGAGTAAAGAAGAAAGGTGAAGGTGAAGGTGAAGGGAAAGGATAAGTTTACAAAAAGGGAAAGAGACGCCAAGCCGCTCTCGGGCCGAAGGTGGATCCGATCCGGATTTCTGCCGCCCCTTTCCGACATTCAGGGATTCAGATCGTTCATTTAGGCTTAGCCTGTCAGGCTTAACCCCCCATTTGGATGCCTCAGTTATTCAGGCAGACTAAAAGGTAGGTAAAAAACTATTCCCGCTTCTATGCGTGATTTATGGCAGCGCCAAAAATGCATCGCTCATTAAACCTACCGGGGTAAGACTGCCAACGGACTGGATAATATCAACGATATTAGTATTGCTCATATTCTTGCTCATGTCAAGAAACAAAAGATGGCCCTTCAGAGGTAGTGACCATCAGATTGTTGTACCAGGGATGCAAATCCATAGACTTCACCCCATGCTCCCACCTGGTCACCCTTCACCACCACCTTGTAGATCCATGAATCACTTCTTCCAAACCAGATAGAGATAATCTCCTCCCCGGCCCGCATTGACGTCCGAAGACCACCCATGAAATCCCTGTGACTTGAAATTTTCACTGGTGACCTCCTCCCCACTTCGCAGGAGCTTCAGGCTAGAGATACCGTACTCGCCATGGGTCGAGGTCTCCAAGTAGCGGTATTGCCCGCCAGCCCCTTTGGCCAAGTCCAGCTGGCCGGGCTTCTCGTCCTCTGAGATCACTACCTTGATCTCGGCGATGCCATACTCGGAGTCGTGAAAATAGTTTGCAACGAGCCAGACATACCTGTAAAGGTCGGTCCGGGGCGCAAGTATGGCAGTGGAGATGATTGACTTACTTTCCGCCGAAGCCAGCATTGATGTCACCGTTCTTGTTGTCAACAACCGGAATGGCCTCGTTCGGCTTCTCACTTTCGTGGTCGCCGTAGACGGGCTGAGGGGATTAGCTTGGCTTCACTAGAGAGGGCGGGAGAGAAATACATACGTAGATGTTGCTCAGCCAGGGGGCCATTTTGGGGAAGGTCTGTATATATGATTGCGAATGGAGGAGTGGATAATGTAGTATATAATGTGGCCGCTGAATTGCTTGCTCTGCGGCTGTTGTTCTTTTCTGCTCAGGGAAGGGAAGACGGCATTTTATACACCTCTCCTTGGGCAGACATTTTCAAGGTCACTGTTGTTTAGTAGTCTCGTTGAGTCTCATACTTCAGCTGGAATAAGGCGTGCGATGGTCAGATGGCTCCATTAAGTCGCTCAGCTTGCCTTGACGCCAAACACGAGAGTGCTCAAGAACTGTCAATAGCAGCTGTCTCCAGGAGCACTGGATTCAGCCGCATGACCAGCCATTTCCGACGAGATCATGATGTCCAGGGCTTCTTGGCGCAGTCAATGCGATTATTGCATTCTACATGATGAACACGATGTTTTCGCTTTGTGGTGTTCGTTTGCTTTCCGATGCCTGGGGAGAGTGGCTTTGTGGCTGCAGCTGTGGTCGTATTGTCCGATCGGGACAACCAGCATAGTGTCCAGTATTTGTAAGAGCCAAATGTTGCTTTTCCTCAAAGAAGCAGTTAATACCCATTGGATTGAAAGTTTTCCAAGGTCTTCGTAATCCTAGCGCTTAGACTCAAAGAAGTCGAAATAACAGTTCATGACATTTGCTATATGTACCATGGACAGTTCTAGACGGGTGCATATAGCAACAGATCCTTTGAAGGGGTGACGAGTACGAATGAACATAACATAACCTTTAATCTCAAGCAGGTAAGCCTCGCGTGTTGACCAGTCGGACACGCCGAAGAATAAATAAGGTGGCTGAGCCAACCTGAACCCTATTCGGTGCGCTGCTGCTCAAGCGGACCGTGCGCGACAAATAATCACATTGATTCTCCGCATTACCACCGGGCTGCCAGTTTTGCTTCTTTAAGAATTGTGTCACACGTTCTTCCTGCTTTAGACCTGACTTAGCGCTGCTTTGGGCTCACTGGACGGCTCGAAACATGGGGTAGTCCCAGAAACTCCTTGGCGACTCCTGAGTATTCTTTGTGTAACCCTGAATTTGACCAAAAACCAATCTTAAAAACAAGACAGATTATCGCTGAGTGAATAATTATTGGCTCTATGACTTAATAGGTTCAATGTGTTGGATCCAATACTTCAATACTTATTTGTTGAAGCAAAACTTGTGGTTTGGAGGTAATACTTTCTACTGTTGTCGCCTCCAAGATATTATATCAACACACATCAAAGTACTACCATTGGCTTCTATACCTATAACACACTTCTTCACGCTCCAGATGATGAATTCAATCACGAGACCGGCTGACTCTCGCGACTGCAACACAATTCTCGCACAGACATATTTTCCATTATATCAGAGACCGTAAACGCACGCCAATTTCCCTCTCAAACCAGTTCCGCATATCCACTGCCACCAGTGAGTTATTTCCATATACGTGTTATTGTCAACCATTCTATTTATCGCGTTTTCTTATCTCTCTTAATCAACATTGACAGCCGTCCGATGCTTCGTCTAACAAAACTATCGCACGTTTGGAAGCAGGCCCGGTATCGGAACTGCGGGGTACTCGATGAGCTCCATGGGAGGTACGGGGATTTGGTCTATACTGGTACGTCCATGTGTACTCGAACCATAGATACATGATCTGAAAGACAGTAGCTGACTGACACCACCAGGCCCGAAGAGGTCACGGCATTTGGAACCGATGCTGAAAGCTTGACGGCTGAAGTATAGCTGAGCAGACGAAAAGCCTTGTTTTCCATATACTGTGGCCATATGTACAGTGCAGTACTGCCATCGGTGTAAGCCAGACACATCAGGTCTTCATCCAGACTGCGAAATCTGTCTCGTGTTCCTCATCGGTCTCAACCAATACCTGTTCTGAGGGTAGTGCACATCAATACAGGAGCATAGCTTGTTGAAAAAGGTTAGGTGCAACAAGGATTGTGTCCAGCGCCAGCTCTGCAAATATGGCCTCATTCACTCGGAACACCTCAACACCTTACCCCAGGGAATCCAAGCCTTCTCACCCACAACCTAGACTCCCTCCTTCCCATTCATCCTTGCATCACCTGCAAATGCGGGGGTTGCGGGGTAAATCAACAAGGATTTCATTCCTTCCACTCGGTCCCCGGAGGAAATCCCACCGAAATCAATAAACCAGTTGCAGAGCATGGACGACCCCATGGTCAACCATTTCTCCCCCCGGCCATTGACTGACCACCTCAACAGCTTCCTCCAACTTCAAGTCCACAATTTTCCGCCCATCCGACAGCGTCCTCCACGAGACGATTGCCAGGTTATTCCTGCCAAGGGCAACCTTGCCCGTCAACCCAGGACTAAGCCCCAGCCTTGGCTTGAACAAAATCTTCTTACAACCAGCCTTGATGGGCCGAATGCCCGCCACTTCAGCGCAGTATTCATAGATGGGCACACTTCCCCAAGCATGACAGTCCGATCGCTGTCGCACATCATCTTCCTCCCACGTACCCAGATTCTGCGCGAGCATTTTCCGGTATGGCTCCCACGCCCGGGCCCAAAACCCCTCGTATACCTCGTCTCCCGCCATCGAGAATGCACGAAGAGCATAAAACCGCATCATGTACGAGCACTTGGAGAACCGGGTATCCTCCGCAAAGGACTCGCGCAGCAGCCGGGCCTGGTCTTCCGGCGCCGCCGCGGTGCCGGACAGGATCGCGAAGACCTGACAGTGCTGGGAGTAGGCTTGCTCGTCAGCGATATCGGCGGTCGAGTCGGTGAAGAACCGCCCATCGTAGCAGTGTTCCCGGATCGCTGCTCGAAGGGCCTGAGCGCGAGACTCATAATCCTCCGCGTGTCCGGGTCGGCCGACGTCCCGCACCAGCTGGGCAGCTTGCTGCAGGACGAGCGCGTACAGAAGACTGAAGTACGTGTGACAGTTGGACTTACGGCCGGATGTGGGCACGCCTTTGTCGGGGTGCTCTTTCGTGGCGCCCCAGCTCGTCACCCAGTCGACGTACTGCCATACGTCCTCGGGGAGGCCGCTGATGAGCCCCAGCTCGTCGACGTGACTGTGGAAGAACTCCAGCACCCCGTCCACCCGCGGTAGGAACGAGCGCGTGTACTCGGTGTCCCCAAAGAAAAGGTGGTGGTCGCATACTTGGAGGATCCAGTAGAGCGAAAACCCGGCAATAAGCTGGGGAACGTGCGAGGGGAACCGCGATTGCGTCGGTCGTCGCCGGAGAGAAAGTAGTGGAAGAGACCGACCGATCGGGAGTCACCGGAGTACCTGTTTCTTGGGGTTAGGTTGATCTGATCTGCGTACTCGGTGGGAGAATCATCCTTACTGGAGCTGCTCGTAGAACGGGCAATCGGCGTATCCATCGAACATGCAGTTCCGCATGGTGCGGATCGATACATCCCAGATGCGATCACTGTCCGCGTCGGCCGGGTTGTCCCAGCTGGCTTTGACTGCGAGAGGGTAGTTCACTTGCGTGGCTTCAAGGCCAGCAAACAAGACGGGCTCCGGGCCGACTTCGATCTCAAGTCGGAGGAGACGAAATGTACGGAACCAGAAAGGTTCGTATGTGACTGGGGTCGAGTCCAGGATGTTCAACTCTACCTCATCGAATGGGCCGATGAGATGTCCATTTCTTGCCTCCAGCCGATCGGCTTTAGTCCGGAAGAAAGGATAGGACCGGGGGTCGAGTTCGTAGCCTTCTGAGTATGTTACCTTGAGGCGGATAGAGGAGGGTTTCGCCGCCTGAAAGGTCCAGCAGAGGAAAGCCGTCGAGTGGGTATCGGCCTGCAGCTCGAGAGTATGTAATGACTTTGCTGGAAGAGCCAACATCTTGGTCTGTGACAGTCCAGCTGCCCAATCTTCTGCAGAGACCGTGCTTTGACAGGTACGAACAATATTAACCCTCACCCTGCTTTGTTCTTGCATAGGAATCGGTCGCGGTCGCAGCCTCCAGGGTGCCAGCTCGCCGTTCAGGGTTTTGATGCTGTATGCTTTGGGTCTCGCTTGCGGAGACTCGGCGACCGGAGCAATACGTTCATTGATCTGCTCCATCAGTATGCCCCAAACAAGGACAAATAGGAAAGCTTCACTTACATGAAGGAATGGATCATCCACCAGCCCCATCGGGAACTGTATGCCCCCGTCAACCTGGGCCAGCCAGTGATCTGTGTGGGCCGTATTCAGCTCAAGAACCTCATTCTCCGTCTTGACTCGTCCGACAACGGTCAAACCGGGAGTAGATGTTCGCTGAAAGGGTATTGCGCCCCGAGTGGCAGCAAAGTATCGAATCACATCAAAATGGATGACATTGAGTCCCTCTTGGAGGTACGGAGCTATGTTGACGGTGTCGTAGTACCAGAGATATGGACTGCCTCGCGTCGGCCCAACACATACTCGCTTGTCATTGATCGCCAGCTTATATCGAGTATCCGCTGAGAAATGGAGTAGTGCCTTTGTGGATGGAGCAGAGAGGGAGAACTGTCTCTGGAAGCGCACAAGGCGACCAGCGGTGTTGACCTCGGAAGAATCGACCCATTGGGGGACCCAAACCCAGTTGGCCTGGAGCTCATTGATAGTGCCCTGTTCTTGGGGAGATACTTTCGTCATCTTTGTAGATATCTAGCTCACTCTATGAGCAGATTCGGCCAGTTTCCTATTATACATATGGCTCCAACGTCAGTCGGGCAGTTTTATGCCGAGACTTAGATATCTTCCTTGTATACCATTGGGGGAATTGTATTTCACCCGAACAATTTAGCCGACATGCCCCGTGCCCTTTTCTCCATATAAATAACAAATGCGGGGCCCCGCAGCATTGGATGAATGGAATTCCCAGACAGAAATCACCATGGAAGACGAGAAAGTCGAAATTGAGAGAGTGGAGCATCTCACCACTGAACAAAATGCCCTCCCCGAGAAAGGGCAGCCGTTGATGCGGTCGGAGCTAGATAATTTAAGTATCTGGGAGAGTGTCGGCCGATACAGATTTGTTACTATGATAGCCATGGCAGCTGCCTTCAGTGCTTCGCTTGATGGCTACCGTAAGACAATCGTTGGAAACAAAGAAGAAGCCCTAGCTAATGATCAATCCAGAGATTAACCTCAACGGCGGCATTGTCTCCAATAACGGGTTTATCAAGCAAATGGCTAAGCCCGGGACGTCTATCATCGAGGGCAAGTACGTCTCTGCATGGGGTGGCATCCAGTCTGCCGGCCAAACAGTCGGTCAAATTGTAAGCACTTGAGAAATTCTGACCACTTGATTCTCACTTTAGATTAACCGGCATGGTAATGCAGCTTCTACAGTATGTGACTGACGGATACGGACGTAAGGCCGCCTTGTATATCATCTTCTTCACCTTCGTCGTCGTATGGCACCCGCAGCCTCCCGGTACCGCGGCCTTCGGCTAACTTTCTCTCTGTGGTAGAGCGTGATGATTGAGTCTTTTGCTGCTCACTGGGATCACTGGCTTGTTGCAAAGCTATTCTCCGGCATGGGTGTTGGTATGCTGCAGTCGACTATGCCTCTGTATATCTCCGAAGTTGCACCTACCCAGTTGCGAGGGTTTCTCATCAACGCATATAGCTTGTACGGTTCCCTTCACTCCATGCTTCATGTAACTCTCGGCTAACCCATGTCAATCATGACAGTTGGTTTGTCATTGGCCAGCTTTTTGCTTCTGTCGCCCTCGATCGATTGCATGCTTCTGATCCGTTGGACTTCCGAACTCCCATTTACTCCCAGGTCAGTTGTCCAAAGATAGAATAACCGCTTCTTTCTCGGCGAGAGTGTGCTGACGGTCACAGTGGGCAATGGTGGGTGTGGCAGGGATTATCTTTGTACTTCTGCCCGAGTCACCCTGGTGGCTGGTTGGGAAAGACCGTCCCGACAAGGCAGGCCAAGTGCTGCGTCTCTGCTGTGGCCAAGTCAAAGGATACAACGTCGATCAGCAGATTGGGATTATGACCGCCACCATCAGGGAGGAACGCCATCTTGCTGAGCGCAACAGCCAGCAGGGGGCGTTTGCCGTGTTCCAAGGCCGCAATCTCCTTCGATTCCTGATCGCAGGCTGGCCTAAGATTGCTCAGCAATTCGTTGGACTCTCGGTGTTCAACACCTACGCCACCTACTTCTGTATGTATCCATGGAAGCTGACGGCGATGGACAGTACTGATCATCTTTCACAGTCCAATATGCCGGAAGCAATGACCCATTCCTCGTGACTCTCATCCTATCTTGTGTGCAAATCATCGCCATGACTGTCACTTGCCTCCTCACCGATCGACTCGGCCGTCGCCCTTTGACTGTCTACCCCTATGGGGTTACCGTGCTCTCGGTCCTGTCCCTTGGGATAGTTGGCTGCTTCGACTATAAGAGGTCTAGCCTCAGCTCCCTGCTCGTCCGTCTCTGCCTCCCGCTTCCTCTGCACGCTCGTGCTGACAGCATCTAGATCTTCTTCGCCTGTCTGGCCACTTTCTCCACCACCGGTGCCTCGGCCATCGGATACGCCTACGCAGCGGAAATCCCATCCCAGCGGCTCCGCGCGCAGACCGCCGCTTGGTCTTTGGCCTTATCCAACATGGTGGCGATCATGTTCAGCTTCTGCACTCCGCTGATGATCAACGGGGATTCCACTCATTGGGGCGTCAAGACGGGCTTCTTGTATGTCATTTGCGCCTATTCGCTGTGAAATGATGATCCGCTAATTCAAGGTGCTGCCATCTAGCTTTGCTGGCACTGGTGCCGTATCTGTGGTCATCGCTTGGTTCATACTTCCCGAAGTGACGCGCCGGACGCCGGCTGAGATCGATGAGTTGTACGTTAGACCGTGTTATGTGCGGTGTATGTGGAGGCCATGCTAATGAAGCTCTAGGTTCGAGAAGAGGGTCAATCTTCGGAAGTTCGATAAGTATGTGACTGATGTGCAGATTAACGCGACTGCGCAGTCGAAGGAGGATGCAGCGTAGATGGTCTTCCGGGCAAAACCAGCGAGGCTTGTGAGATAATACAGTACAATGTAGCATCATCCTCAACTCCTGAAACAGGTTGTATCCCGAAATGGTATAGTTTTCTTTCTGTCAATCCGTCTTCGCGTATCTCCGGCACGTGATCTGTCTCCGCGATAAGATGCATGGGACTTTGCTTGAAAGGTGTACCCTGCTGAATTAATAGTGGCTCTTGTGAAAGACTATATAATTTCTCTTGGTGTGTCTGAGGATGTGCTAAGCATTCGCATTATCTGGTCTGACCGAGAATTATCTATGATTGACCTCGTTTGAACCATGGCTAGGTGGCGCCGAACCATTGTCTCTATGGCAAATATATATGTTTTAAAGGAGAACCAGACCCGACCAAGTCGAGCGACGAATGTCTCCGAAAAAGCAAGAAAAACTGTCTAGAACAGGTGTCATCAACGACATGTACCAAATTCTTCTGCCCTACCACCAACACAAACAGAATTAACCGGTCTGCTCACGATTAAAGCGAAAACTGGCTCACTGTCTCTGACTCTTGTATTATGGTACTTATACTATACTATGGATGCATCTTTCACAACAACAGGTGCTGTGGTCTAGTGGTATGACGTCACGTTGTGGCCGTGCCAGCCCCGGTTCGATTCCGGGCAGCGCCACTTTCTTTTTTCTCTCGCTTTCTTTTTTTCCCCTGGCACAAAACAACAACACTCAGAGGCAGATTTGTGATTGATGGCAATGCAAGACGACACAAAAACAACCGATACCAAGCTGATTCCAGATAAATATGTGGATAGAAATACCCCACCCTCATTCGTCCACGTAAACAAGCCTCATACTCTGATTGAATCCATTAGTTATTAGAGTGCGGAATTTCCGCTGTACCCATTATCAAGCATTTCGCATCCAACCACTCCGCCCATTTCCCCTGCATGGGTGCCTTACACACGCCTTGGCACGGTAAGAAGCAGACATCTGTCCCGTCCCTGATATCGGGCCAGACACATCGCCACCGTAGAACAACCACCCCTGCTTTCGTGCTTGGGCCCTGGATGGGCGTTTGTGGCGTGTGCTTTCCGAGGTGATATCCCTCCCGCTGCCCGTGCAGATACGAGCTCGTCACCCATAAGCTACTGGGCCATCTCAGCCGCACACAGCAAATCGCTGTATACTGCAACCCTGAGGCGCCGAGGGTGGAGAAGAGCGATGATGGCGATGATTGCTGTTGGGCGGGGGGGGGGGGGGGGGGGGGGGGGGGGGGTGGGGGGGGGGGTATTTTTGTGAGTTTCATTTTTATTTTCTATCTTATCCATCCTGGATATCCTATCTTATCTTGAAAATTTCTGCTGCGATGGATGTTGTGAGGGGGGATGGGGGGGATGCCGTGGGGATAGTAGTAATAACAAGGATGATGATGGGTGTTGTTGCTGCTGATCGGTGTGCTTATTGTTGTGGGAGATGTGTATTTGATTGTGTTGGGTAATGTTTAATTCTTACGTTCTATATGGTATTGCGGATTGCTTAGATGCACAGAGGGAGCAAAGCTGTATGACCCTGTAGTGATCTGTCGGTTACATTAGTCGGGTGCGCGTTATCCGCCGAAGAAAGCAGTTAACTCCATGACTCACTCCGATGATTGATACGGATATGTTTGCCAATCGGATGCGTGCCCGACGGAGCGCTGGCTATGCTCGATTGAGATCCCGATCCCGAAACCCCGCAATTAAGTGATAAAACATTCTCTCACCGGATGCCTGACGAGAACTTCTCTCCCCATCACTGGTCTGGGGAACTCGTCTGAAGAGATTGCTTCCATCTGTTCCTCCTCTGCACAGCGAGTGAACTACCAAGCGAAGCTCATGGAACTATCCACGACCCCCCAGGGCAACACCTGTTCTCGCTCGGGTGTCGAGGTGACCGACATCGGGAAAGTGGTTGTCGCACGAGGCAACAATGGCATCGAGACTGAGCTGGAGTTCATCGACAACTCATCAACAAACTTAGTGCGCCGGTCCGACGTCAACGAGCACTTTCCCGATGGCGGCCTGAGGTCGTGGCTGGTGGTGCTCGGGTCTTCTCTCCTTCTCCTGGCCACATATGGTCTGATGAACTCCGTGGGTGTCCTGCAATCATACCTCGAGACCCACCAGCTCTCCAAGTACACAAGTAGCAATGTCGGATGGGTGCCAGGCCTGTACATGTTTCTCTCGCTCGCCGTTGGTGTCTTCGTTGGACCGCTGTTCGACACATACGGCCCCAAGGCATTGGTCATCGCGGGCTCCGCGATCTACGTCGTTGCGCTCTTCCTTACCGCAGAATGCACTCAGTACTGGCAGTTTATCCTCAGTTTCGGAGTGATGGCCGGGGTGGGTAGTGCCCTGGTGAGTACGGTTGCGATGGCCTGCGTGCCCCATTGGTTCCAGGCACGGATTGGGACGGCCATGGGAATGGCATTAGTCGGTGCGGGATTGGGGGGAACCGTGTTTCCCTTTCTTCTCAAGGCGTCCTTTGCGAGGTTTGGCTTCAGGTGGGGAATGCGGATTCTCGCGTTCGTCATCATGGCAGCCTGCGGGCTGGGGTCCTTTTTGGTGAAGTCCCGTTTGCCCAAAGGCAACAAGTTGAAGACCGCAATTGACGCCAGGTGCTTCAAGGATTCCCGGTTCTCGCTGCTAACGGTGGCGATATGGTGTAAGAGCTCCTGTGTAATGTCTATCAGTGTGGATTGGGACTGACTCGGCGACTAGGTCTTGAACTCGAAACCTTTGCTCTTCTTGGTCTCTTTCCGACCTATGTCGTGACGCAGGGATTCAGCGTGGATTCAAGCGTCAACCTTCTCGTTGTTCTCAATATGTGCGACGTTCAGACCTCTCCTTTATATCCACTTCTTCAGTGCTAACCTCATTTATGTGCAGCTGCTCGATCATAGGGCGTCTCTTGGCAGGCCGCGTCGGCGACAAGTACGGTCGATTGAATACTCTCCTAGTCCTAGTCTCGTCCGGAATCCTGAGCATTTTCATCATCTTATACCCCTTCAGCTATTCCCTGACAGCGCTGTACTTCTTCAGCGCGCTGTACGGCCTCAGCTCGGGATCATTTCTCAGCCTTGCGCCGGTTTGCATCCGACAAGTTTCGCCGGCGAAAGAGATCGGAATGCGCTTCGGAACCTGCTATGCATTGGTGAGCTTTGCGTAAGTTGAACCTTAGATTTTCTCAGTAGTAGAGATGAAAGTCTGATGTTGGTTCAGGGTCTTAATCTCCATCCCAATCGGTGGTGAGATGTTCGAGAAAGTCGGTTCCCGCATCGTGGTCGTTTGGCTGGGATGCGTCCTTGTCATAGCGATGTTGCTTTTCTTGACGGCTCGCTGGGCGTGCTTGGATTATAAGTGGCATTGGAGGATCCGCGTGTAAAATGAACAGTGTTCTCGTGGGATGCGCGTTACACGGATGTTGATTGTGCGAAAAGTTCTGTTGGCTGTTCAATGACTATCGACTGCGAGCGATTACATGTTTCTGGTCGATACAGCTAAACATCGATTTTTGTGTGAATTTTCAAGCTTCAAGCTCATATAGATCTCATCACATACCTCCCTAAGATCAATTCTCGGTTAATAGCCCGACACCGTGGGTGGTTGCGACCCAGCACCTGCCTTGCCTCCTCAATTTCAACTGCGCTCACTCCTTCCGATACTGCTGCACAATCCACAAATTGACACCGAGGACATGGAGTCCATGCGACGGGTCAACCGCTGAGAGGGAAAGCCCAACTGAGACAGGATTCAGAAAGAGCCAGCAGAGAGCACCGGCTATCAGGCTTTTCTCTGCATCCCATCATCCCGATCCCTCTCTCCGCATCCCAACCCTCTTAATTCCAAACATGGACAACAGCACAATCCACATCCTCGACCCCAATGGCGAAGTAATGCTCATTCTCCGCAACCCCAACGCGCCCTTCGCCGTCTGGCCCGGCAACAGCAACGCCGACACACCCAGTACCCCCAGCACAAACAACCCTCCAGCGCAACCCCACGAGCCCGAAGAAATCCACCAATACCGCGTCTCCGCCGCACACCTCACCTTCGTATCACCGGTATTCGTGCGAGCGCTATACGGCAACTGGAAGGAAGCGCTGGCCCTGCGCGAGCAAGGGTGGGTCGAGCTGCGGCTATCGAACTGGGACCGGGACGCGCTGCTCCTCCTGCTGGAGATAATCCACTGCCAGAACGCGCGGGTGCCGTCGGCGCTGAGCCTGGAGCAGCTCGCCAAAGTGGCCGTCATCGCCGACTACTACGACTGCAAGGACGTGCTGGGGTTCTTTTCGGGGGTGTGGATCGCCCGGCTGAAGGAGAGGGGTGTGCCGCGCGCGTGGTCCCGCGACCTGATGCTGTGGCTGTGGGTGTGTTGGTATTTCGGCGCGGCGGAGGAGTTTGAGGCTGCTAGCGCTGTGGCTATTGGGCAAGGGGAGGGGTGGATTGAGGCCCTAGGGCTGCCGATTCCGGATCGGGTGCTTGGTGAGTTGGTCTGTGTTCTTGGCTGGGTTGTGATGCGGTTCGGTGTATTTAGGCAAGGGGGCTGAGTTGGGTTGGTTGGCTGACCATGTGCACCCTGCGCAGCGCAGATGAATGAGCGTCGGCAGCATGGTATCCAGGCGTTGATTGATGTGTTGTATGAGCGGCTCAAGCAGTATTATGACGGCACCTGGGGTTGTAATTTTGATTGCAGCGCGATGTTGCTCGGCACCCTGGCGAAGCAGATGCGGCGCATGGGGTTGCGTCTTTCGCCTCCGACAAGTCCCTTCCCTGCTTTGTCTTATGTGGGTATCAGGGACACTGCAAACGCTTTTCGGCCGCCGAGATGGTACGCCTTTACTCGTCAGCCTCAGAAGCATAAGTGTAAGTATTCGGATATCACTGGGCTGCTGGCGTTGACGGATAGTACTTTGCCTGGCCTGAGCTTACCCTGTCTGCTGGCTGAGACGGGGAGTGGTGGCTCGACTGTCTTTGGCGATTTAATCTGAGGCTGTGTACTTGTTATTCGCTAGTAGGTGAGTCTAATAGATTGAGGATGACTCGGGACGCGTGTGTTCGATTGAACTCGGTGTATGAAGGGCTGGAGCACAAGATTCGATACGGTACACGGCTGTGTCAGTAAAGTGACACTCGCGTGATAAACCCCTTGCAGTTACATTGAATGCTATAGCTATTGCCAACGAGGTCACTGAACAATGTACCACAACATCATGGCTCCTCGACAGTCACCCGACTACCGTCCACCAGCTGTCTCTTTTCCCTCTCCTGAACCGGCCGCCACTCCACCACCGCCGCCCCAAGCACCGAGACAGCCGCCAACGCAACTCCCACCAAAAACGTCCTCACAACCGCATAATTATACACTTTGACCAATAACGCAAGGGCATCTCCCGTAAACCCGACCCTCAACCCCGCCGGTCCCGCCGCAAGAACAGCTCCCGGATCCACCCCAGCCGGCAGGTCCCCGTCCACCTCCGCGCGCCCCAGCGCCGCAACAAGCCGATTCCCGAAAACATTCTGCCCGACAAAGACAAAGACCGCGCCACCCAGCAGCTGCACGAAGGCCATCAGCGCCGTGGCGGAGGGGATATCATTCGCCGTCAGCGTAGTCTGCACGACGAACACAGGCAGCTGGATGCCCAGGCCCGCCGCTAGCCCAAAGAACACCTGGTAGCCGACCCACGCGGCGGAGCCCGAACCCGCGTGCAGCGTCGTCAGAAACCCCGCGCTGATGCTGGCCATCGTCGCGCTGAGAAGCATCAGCGGGCTGTAGATTGGGTAGGCTCTTAGTGCGGTGACAAGGAGCCCTGAGGATAGCGCGACTAGGGCGTTGGTGAGCGTGAGTGGGAGGTTCATTACTCCTGAGCTGGTGGCGGTGGCGCCTTTGATGGTTTGGAACCAGATTGGGAGCTTTGGGTTTCTGGTTAGTTGCGGTGGGAAGGGAAGGCTGGGGGAGGGGGTGGTGCTTACGTAGTAGATGAAGATGAAGATCGCGCTGTTGAGGCTGAAGCTGAAGAGCGCGGAGCCCCAGATGTTGCGCTTGCGAAGGAGACGCGGTGGTAGGAGGGCGCGTTCGCCGGAGTAGAGCTGGAGGGCTGTGAAGCTGAGTAGCAGCACGCCGAAGACACAGAATAAACCGATGATCCGGCTGTTGCTCCAGGCGTAAGTCGTGCCGCCCCATTGGAGGCCCAGGAGCAGGCTGATGATTGCTGGGAGGAAGGTCAGGATCCCGAGCGGGTCTAGCCCGCGCAGCTTCTCTCGCCAGGGTGTCTTGACGATCGAGTTGGTGTGTTGGAGGGTGAGGACGATGGCGATTGCCGTGACGGCGCCCAGCGGCAGGTTGATGTAGAAGCACCAGCGCCAGGTGAGGTGGTCGGTGAACGCCCCGCCGAGGCTGTCGCGCCGTGGATGTTAGCGAGCGTGAACCGGCTGAGGCGGCGCATGACTTACGGCGGCGCAATGACACTCCCAATCCCGTACATGCCCATGATGAAGCCCGAGAACGCCGGGCGACGGCGCCGTGGCACACTGCGCGATGATGATCAGCGAGCCCGACAACAAACCCCCGCCTCCAAGCCCGGCTACAGCGCGCCCGATGATCAGGGCGGTCGAGGAGGGCGCGACGCCAGAGACTAGGGAGCCGAGCTCAAATAGAAATAGGGCGCTCAGATACACCCATTTGACGGGGACAAAGGTGTAGATCCGGCCGTAGACGAGCGTGACCGCGCTGGTGGTGAGGAGGTAAGCGCTCGCGTACCAGCCGGCATCGTCCCGAGATTGGAAGTGTGCGGAGATCGTGGGGATCGCCGTGGCGACAATCGTGTTGTCCTAAAAGGAGATAATGTCAGTTTTGTGCTATTCAATGGTATTATGGTGCAGGTATCGACGGACGAGAGAGATACACAACACACAGCAACAAAGCCCAATCATGACGGCCACCAGCCTGTAGCCGGTGAGAATCGTGTCTTCATCCTCGTCAGGTTGCTGGGCCACATCACCACCGTCGCTGTCGTTTCTCGCATCTAGAGGGATTTCCTCTGCTTCGGACTTTTTATGCGGGGCAGCATCTCGAGTGCTCTTTGCAACTGGGAAGGTGTTGATGTAGAGTTGGAGTTCTCGACAACCTGCTTTCGACTTTAGAGATGCATGTTTATTACTACAGAGACTGAGGAATGTGGCCCGAAGCCAATGGTGGTGCAAGGGAGTATCACGCTGGAATGTAATGCGACAGCTCCCGCAGGAAACGTCACGGCTTGGCCGAAGCCGACAGACGCCCGACATCTTGGTCGACCTCTTGGCAGTTTCTTAACCCATTTGACACCAACTTTTGTCGTGTCTACTCTTTCTTATCAATGTCCAGATGGTCCACTGGCGGGGAGGATCTGCGCCTTCGTAGCTGATCCACTTTAGTTAATGGATCTCTCTGCGTAACGAGGAGTTCCAGATAGGCACGAAGAGTATGACATGAAGGATATTCTCCCCTGCCCATAGACCAAGTGAGGCGAGCTAATAAAGCTTGAGCAGCAGAACCCGAGGGAGTGGTAAGGTAGGGTTCGAGAGCGACCATTCCGAAACGGGAAATTGAGGGTAGTGGTGCCACCCAGAATTGCCCGATTGGGACAACTGCCACCATCCCCAGCCCTGAGTTATCACGGATTGTATCGAGCGCTCAAGACATACAAACCCGTCTAATAGCACTCAATGGCACTCAAACCCTTTCTCATCTGTGCCTACACTTCCACCAGTCTTCACGAACCCACCATGACTGTCACGCAAGCCGCCCAGACCCTACTACAAGCCGCGCGCATCAGCCCAGCGATCTTCCAGCTGCGGCCGGACTATTGAGCCCTCCTCATGGTAGTCGAGAACATCCCGCGCGGCGCCAGCGATGGAACAAGCGAGACCCTCCTCCAACAAGCCGAAACCCACGTCAAACAATTGCTTTCCACCATGCCGAAGACCGAACTCCCACACATCGCCGCCTGGCGCACAACCTATAAGGCCTTCGGCGCCAGACCGCAGTAAACCCGCAACAGCCTGGAGGCGCTGACGCGACGGGCGGAGGCCGGCCTGCCGCCCGTCAACCGGCTGACGGACATCTACAACGCCATCTCCATCAAGCACGAGCTGCCCTTCGGCGGCGAGGACCTCGACAAGTACGACGGCGCCCCGTTCCTGATCCGCGCCACCGGCACCGAGCCATTCCAGACCTTCTCGGGCGGCGAGCCGCAGAATGAGCTGGCGGCTGGAGGCGAGCCGATCTGGTGCGATGCCTCGGGCATCACCTGTCGCCGGTGGAATTGGCGGCAGGGTCCCCGCACCGCGTTGCCGGATGAGACGAGTCGGGTACTCTTCATTATTGATGCGTTGGGGGAGGTGGTTTCTGATGAGGCGCTTACGAGCGCGGCAGATGAGCTGGCGGGCGTGCTGTGGGGTCTTTCACCTGAGGTACGGGTCGTTCGTCGGCTTATTAGTGCGTCGTCGTCGGATTGAACTAGGAATATGGAGTCTTGTTTAGGTTGTGCTTGGTTTCTGTCAGTATTTTTATGCGATGGTGAAGTAGATGCATATTTAGATTATAGACTTCTGCTTCTTCTTCTTCTTCTTCTTGACCCTCCAAAGTCTTGGATCAATGCTCCCTATTGTCGGCGAAGGGCTCCAAAAACGGAGTTTCCATGGACTAGAAGATTCCAGAAAAAGTCTGCGCTCCTGCTTAAACTGTTGTCACTCAAATTAGCAGGAACCAAGGTCATCATCACTGGGATATGCAGAATATTCAGCGTCTCACTGCAGCAACCTTACCCGGGAATCAGTTCCGGGTTTGCGGGGAAAGGCGCATAACTGGAATCCTGTAGGATTGCATTATCCAGGGGTATGTTCCCGGAAATAATGGAAAAAAGCTTGCTTGGTCAGAATTTGAGACCCACGTTGCTGAGTCATCCGATATCTATGAAAGAGACCTCGGTATAAGAAAGATTAACGTCATTTATGCCACGAATTGCTAAGCGCGATGATATCATGACAAATCCAGGTGGAACCACATCGAAGTGCTGGCCACAAGCACTTATTTACCCCTGTCAGCACTCAATTTTCCTCTTGACGAATCCTTCAACTATTCAAACATACACCTAATACACAAAATGAGTCTCCCTACCACATACAAGGCGGCGGTGGTCCCCGAACCGCACGCGCAACACACCATCACCGACCGGTTTCTCCCGGCCCTGGAACCCAACCAGGTGGCCATCAAGATTACAGCCACGGCCGTGAACCCCGTGGACTGGAAGATCCGCGACTACAATGTATTCCTGAAGTCATACCCAGCAGTGCTGGGCTCCGACGCCGCGGGCACGATCGTGGGCGTGGGGTCTGAGGTGAAGAGCCACACGGTCGGCGAGCGGGTGTTCTTCCAGGGCATCATCGGCAACTACGCCGCCTCGACCTTCCAGCAGTACTGCGTGATGCCGGCCGAGCTGGTCTCCAAGACACCCGCCAACATCTCCGACGACCAGGCCGCGGGCATCAGTCTGGCCTCGATGGCCGTTGTCACGGGCTTCTACGACAAGACCGGCCACGCGATCGCTCCGCCGCCCTGGGATGCGGCCGGTGGCTCCGAGGCCGGCAAGGGCAAGGCCATCGCCATCCTGGGCGGCTCGTCTAGCGTGGGCCAGTACGCCATCCAGTTCGCGCGCCTGTCCGGCTTCGACCGCATCATCACCAACGCCAGCGCCGCGCATCATGAGTTCTTGAAGGGCCTGGGCGCCCATGTCGTGCTCGATCGGAAGAGCGCCACGGCCCAGGACTTCGTGGCCGCCGCGGGTGAGGGTGTCGCCCTGAGCTATGTGTATGATGCTATCTCCACCAAGGAGACGCAGAAGCTGGGCGTCGAGATCGCCCAGGCCACTCAGGGTAAAGCGCAGCGCGTCGTCACCGTCCAGATGGTTGACCAGGAGGCCGCGCAGCTGGGCGAGTCCAAGGAGCCCAAGGTCGAGATCAAGCAGATTCTCGGGCTTGGCAGTTCGCCCGCCTTGCGGCATCTGAGCGAGCCCATGGTTAAGGCTCTCGGTGGCGAGGATGGTTACATCGCTAAGGGCTTGTTTGTGCCCAACCGCGTGCGTCTGATCGAGGGCGGCATTGGTGCTATCGAGGAGGCGCTGAAGACGAACAAGGAGGGCGTGTCGGGTGAGAAGGTTGTCTTCCGCCCGAACGACGCTTAGATTGATGCGTTCTGGTGATTGAAAAGTTGTTTCATGTTGTATATACCTATAATAATGAATTGCAAGAAGGTCACAGGTTAGCGAGCCGTCAATTCGAGCCAGCAGGTCCTCTTGACGAGCAGCCACGCAATGTGTTCTACCAACGAGATTCAATTATCTGATGCTCTAATCTCCTGTAGGCGCACTGGAAATCTATACCGTAACACTCACCCCAAAAGTCTCCCCCTCCGACTTCAAATACGCCACCTCGTCACCAGTAAACGTCCGCTCCAACGGCCGGTTCCGATGCGGATATCGCCCAAACCGCTCAATAATTTGCGCGTGTGTCTTCTCGTACGTAGAGAGATGATCCACAAACGCCCGTGCCTTCTCCTCGCGGTCCTTCAGAACCTGGTAACAGTGGCGCTCATGAGGACCCAGCAGCCCAAGCTCCTCATCACCGGCAGATAGAAGCCTCTCTACATCGGCAGACACCAAGGCGAATCTTGTCGGCGCGATGTCCTGATGAATCTCTAGATCTTCGGAATGCATGATCGGCATGTAGAACCACATCCGATACGTGAATGCATACCGCAGGGGCGGTTCGCGCACTACCACATCATCTAGCGCATGCAGGGCAATCTTCAGCGCCAGTGGATCAAACGTGCGGTAGACGATGGCCGCCTCCTGATTGCGGAAACAGTTCCGTGGGATCTGGTCGAGCAGGAGCACGAGGCTTAACCAGTCCAGTGGGGACGAGAAGGCCTGTGCAGTGGCGAAAAGCTCGGTTGGCGTGACTGCTGAATGCAGAATTGTCTCCAGTGGTCTGCGAAATTGCACGCTGGGGATTTTGGGCATCGGGGTTAGCGTTTATGTTTGTAGCAGAGCTTTTGGGGTGAATTATGCGGAGAGCTTACCTGCAGGCGCGGTCCATGTCGGGGTTTGCGGAGAACCAGCGCTGCATTGACGACTCTTTCGGCAGGACTAGTTCCGTCTCGTCGCGGCAGTGCTGGAACCAGAAGTCTCGAATACTCTTGAGGAAGGTTGGGGTTAGGAGATCGGTGATCGCGCCCTTGGGGGCAGTGCGCTCGTTGAGGCTTCCCATGGTAGTGAATGGTCGACCGCTCCTGCAATGACTCGCGCTGCCTCGTGTCGGACCTGGCCAGGTACGGGTTTGTGATCTTGTTTTAAACTTCCGAGAGATCAATCTTATCTCAGAGAATATAATACTTTGCATTTTGCTCAATTGTATCAGAGAAGTTCTTCTGAATTCAACTAAAGATAGTGGATTTGTAATCTCACGGACTCTCGGAGACACATTCGCGAGATATATTCCATGACGTCATATGTTAAATCAGGCACAATGCTCAAACTTGTACGGAGTTACTAATGAATTATGCGGATATGCTGTCGAACCATGCGGGTGTCGCAACCATTATACCACAGCCCATGTCAATCATACACGGCTATAGATGGGGCGGACGGCTGTAGATCTCCGAGATTGCCTCGGTTAAAACCTCGGGATCACAATCGGAAAGACCGACTGGAGGGGAAAGAAGCCAATCTGGCTGGTATCAAAGTGGCGGGTACTTTATGGATATGTCACATTGTGACTGTTTCCAAGACGTGTGAGAAGCGGAAGAAGTCGTTGGGTTGTAACTGTAGCAGAAAGGCGTGGGATGCAGCTCGACACCTCAGGCACTAACTTGGCCTAACAGTCCAGTTTGGCTGTTTCTCATGGCGGCACGTCGCGCTTTTGTTATATAGTTGTGTACTACATACATCTTCAAGGTTATCAATATTACTCTCTAGCTATGTTTGCACGTATCTCTTTCAATTCACGGCGCTTATCTCGTGAAAAATGCGAGGTTCATCTCGAATCAGTATCATGTCCGCACGTTGCATGATCCACGTCGGGATACAGCTCGTCCGAGCGAATCCGAGTCCTCGAGCACCAGGCATAGCTGGCTTCAATATAGGCTCATAGAAGGCGTCGAAGATCTCGGCAGATATTGCCCAGGGGGCTACTATCCCTTGCAGATTGGGAATCAGTTACATGATGGTCGCTACCAGGTGGTAGACAAGCTTGGATTTAGAGAATACTCGACAATATGGCTAGCCCGTGATCTGCAGAAGGCGAAATATGTGGCTGTCAAAGTCATCACCGCCGAGGGTAGTAGCTGTACAAACGAGGCTGGCCTCATCGATTCTCTCAGCAACTCGACCACCTGCACCCGGCAGAGAGATCATCCCACCTCTTCTGGATGACTTCTGGGTTCTCGGTCCCAATGGGAAGCACAAGTGTATCGTCACTCTGGCCGCGCGGATGAGCTTATTCGACACCAAGGAAGCTTCCACTTTTGGGCTCCTCCAGCCTAGGGTGGCGCAGTCGATAATCGCTCAGCTCCTCCGTGGTGTCGCCTTCCTTCACAGTCAAACATCGTCCATGGCGGTATGTGATTACTGACAGACGAGACTGACGCACTCGCCTGACTGCCAGATTCTTCCTAGACCTTCACCTTGGTAACATCTTAGTCGACTTCCCCGAAGCAATAGACCATCTCTCCACGTCCGAGCTGTACGAGAGATACGGAGAGCCAGAGCCAGAGGACGTTGCTCGTGTCGACGGCAAGCCCTTACAACATGGCGTCCCTGCTAGGGGTTTCCTTCGCTGTTGGTTGGGCGTTCGCAGTAATGAGCTTGTTCTTGGCGAGGATAGAGTTACCCTTAGCGACTTTGGGTAGTCCTTCAACCCGAAAGAAATGCCCAGATTTTCGTCAAAGACTCTTCCCTTTCTCCAGATACCAGAGGCAAAATTCTCTGATGCCCCGCTCTCCTTCGCCTCGGACATCTGGACGCTTGCTTGTACCATCTGGGAGATTGCCGGGCAGCGCCCGTTGTTCGACTCCTTCTGGCCGACTGCAGACCGTGTTACAGCGGAGCAGGTCGAAGCTCTTGGCATCTTGCCTCCTGACTGGTGGGAGAAGTGGGCCGAAAGATCGAAATGGTTTGAGGGCGAGAGCGCGTCTGAGTTGAAGCCAGCCCAGTCGAGGGGATACGGTACTGTGCTCCGAACCTGGAATCAAAGGTTTGAATACTCAATACAGAAGCCACGGGCTGAGGCGGGTCTGGAAATCATGTCGGAACAAGAAAGAATCGCGTTCAAGGCAATGCTTCGGTCAATGCTGATCTTCCGGCCGGAAGAGAGAGCGACAGCCCAAGAGGCCCTGTGCTCGGACTGGATGAAAGGCTGGGGACAACCGGCTTTGGAACAGAGCTGGAATGCATCTAAGTCTTCGACCAAAGAAGCACAAGAGGTGTGAAAACAGGTAGAGTCAAGGCTTGGCTGCTCCTAACAGTCAAGATGTCTTCAATCTCCTCTCGCATACTTTGACAGCAATAGCTCGCTCATGATGTACTGCAAGCGTTGTCAAATCATAGCTAACCTGGGTTTTTCTTGATATTAGAAAGCACTTCCCTCTTGTTTCACATTGACCCGTTTCTCTTCTTCCCATTTCCTTCTAAGTATGAAGGGATCTGGCCGATAAGGGTTGTGTTTGAATTTTGTTATTTGACTAACAATTCCGGGCATGGAAGTTTCTATATCTGCTTGAAGTCCAGGCAATCTTCTCTAATCTCAAAGATAACTGTGCGCAGATAAACAACAATATGATTATATGCTTAGGTAAACGATATCATGGCCAAGTCTTTCGGTCTAGATCCCTTTCTCTCTCTCTCGCTGCAATCCATAGGGTAAATACTATCCCTGGCAAGGTCCAGCTAGCGCACAACACAGAATCCAAGATTAAGCTGTACCAATGAGAACTGATGTGAAGACAAGAACTAAACACTAGCTTGGAAGTTCAGGGGAAAACGCCATCCCCCCATTACTCCGATGCGATAGTCAAAGCTCGGACACTAGTATGCCGCCTACACTACTTTCGGCCTCGTTCAACAAACCCACACGAAGAAAAGGAAGGGTATTCAAGAAGACATCCGAGCTTTCTACAACTCCAAGATCATCAACGGAAGTCATCATCTCAGCATTACCGAAGTCTGATTGTCGCTCTGGCTTAGAGGCGGGTCGCTCAGATAATGGCCATGCGATTGAAGTCCTCAATCATACGTCACATTTGAGACTCGGCGATCATGCAGCTTTTCCGGCATCGTATGGCCTTGTGACCATAAACGAGCCAGCAGGTTTCCGTATCGGAAGGCAATATGTCGGGGTCCCGTTGCTGCAATCTTGAGCATTCCGATGAACTTCTTGGCAAGCGTCGCACAATCGTGACTCTCATCCGCTGGAAGGTTGACGGATATCGGGCGGCGGACGGAGGAGGAGTTTGCTCGAAATGTGGGGAATCTGACGGATGAGGAGCGCGTGTCGGCTTTTAATAGGAATATGAAAGATGGCGGGTTTTTGAGTCGCGATACGGTTGCGTATGGTAAGGATGCCGGCCGGAAGTGGTTGATCACTGAGCATGAGGCTGGGGATGTCATCTTTCATGATCCGTTCTTGGTGCATGCGGGCTGTAAGAATAAGGATTCCTAGAGGCGGATTCGCTTGGTGATAGATTTGAGGTTCGTGGATTCGAATCAATCGTATGATATGGTGACTTTAGAGGTGGATGAAGGTCTGGAGACCGATGGATGGTCTATGATTTGTCTCCTGACTGTTTGATAGGCAGAGTCAGGATGCATGACATAAAGAATGATTTTAGTAGTGCATTAATCTTGGATACATTATTAGTTACAGGTGGTAGATATGTATGGCTCAACTATGAAGACCACAAGTCCGTTCACGCATCAAGTCTCTCCTTTTCTTGTCCTCTTCAGCATCCCATGCGATGAACTCATGCAGCCCCGACCCAGCAGGTACCATAGGCAGCACAGGGACCTTCTTATCCGTCACGGCTTCCAGCAATGCAGGGCCATCGGTGTTGATCAGCCACTCCAGGGCGTCAGCCACTTCCTCCGGCTTGGTTACTCGCCGATGCTGGACGTGCATCGCCTTGGCAAGCTTCATGAAGTCTGGGTTCTTCATGTGCGTGTGAGCGTAGCGATCCTCGTAGAAGAGGTTCTGCCATTGCGTCACCATGCCTTGTTCTTCGTTGTTCAGCACAATAACCTTGACCCCGATATTGAACTGCGCGGCGGTGGTGAGCTCAGTCAAAGTCATGCCAAACGAAGCATCGCCGTCGATGTCAATGACCAACGCCTCCGGTCGGGCCACCTTGGCCCCGATAGCAGCGGGCAAGCCGAAACCCATGGTGCCCAACCCGCCCGAGGTGATCATCGTGCGCGGGTATCGCCAGCGATACTGTTGCGCCGTCCACATCTGATGTTGCCCGACTCCGGTGGTGATGATGGTTTCCTGCTTGCGATCGGCGGTCAATTGGCTGAGTGTCTCGATCAACGCTTGCGGTTTGATCAAATGCGACCGTTCAGACCGGTCATACATGTTCAGCGGCCAGCGACCCTTCCACTCCTTGATCTTCCCAAACCAGGACTTCCGGTCGGGATCGGTCATTTCTTTCTGTTTGATCAAGGGCAGCACCGCCGACAGACTCTCAGAGATATCTCCCACCACTGCCTCGGTTGCTTGGACGACCTTGTTGATGTTCTTGGGCAGGATATCGAAATGCACGATCCCCCCGACTCCGGCTGCTGCGGCCGCTCTCGCCGCGGGCGCGAACTTCTTGATATTCAAGGTGACCCGGTCATCGAATCGTGCCCCCAGGGCGATGATCAGGTCCGCTTCCTGCATCGCCATGTTGGCGTACCCTGAACCATGCATCCCGAGCATGTGCAGGGACTTCTCGTCCAGCTCATCGAAGGCACCGAGTCCCTGCAGGGTAGTCGTGACCGGAATCGAGGATCGCTCCGCCAATTCGCGGAGCAATCGAGGACCATTCGCGGAGCTGATCACACCTTGACCCGCGTAGATGACAGGTTTTTTGGCTTTGTTGATCAACTCCGCCACCCGAGCAATTGACTGAGGTGGCGCTGCCTTCATAGGTTTGATAGACGGAATGGAGGGCAACGCCGATGCGGTCGGGATTGCTTTCCGCAGAATGGCAGCAGTGACATCCTTAGGGAGGTCGACCAGCACCGGGCCTGGCCTCCCAGTCGTCGCGATTTGGAACGCCTCGTTGATGCGCTGCGGGAGCTCGGAGACATGGCGCACCATGACGTTCCACTTCGTGCAGGAGCGCGATATGCCCAGCATGTCCGCTTCCTGGAAGCCATCACTCCCAATCAAAGAGGTCGCGACCTGCCCACAGAAGACGATCATGGGCGTCCCGTCACAGAGCGCGTCTTGCATCGGGGTCACAACGTTCGTGGCGCCTGGACCGGAGGTGACCAGCACAATCCCCGGTTTCCCCGACGCTCTGGCGTACCCTTCTGCCATGTGTCCGGCGCCTTGCTCATGTTTTGGGAGGACGAAATCGACCTTTTCGGAGTTGTAGATCGCGTCGAAGACGGGCAGGATGGCTCCGCCGGGGTACCCAACTGGTTGTGAACGAGTGTTAGTCGGGGACTTGGTGAGTCTTTGGGTAACATACAGATGTGTTTGACGTTGTGTCTCTGCATCATCTCGTGGAAGATCTCGCCTCCTGTCATGCCGATGAACCTATGGTGTGTTAGTGGCAGTCAGCGAAAGGACCATTTTGTGATAACCATACGATTCGTCCATGTCCGGCTGTGGTTTCCGTGCTGCTGGCCTATTCGACGTTTCCGGTACATTGACGTTGTACTCTGGCTGCTTCGCAGCCGAGGCCTTACCCCGGATGAGCACTTTGCGGGAGGCATTTCGCGTCGCATTTAAGGGACCGGCGACCAGGTATTTCGGAGAAGCCCAGGAACAGGAACAGACATTCGGTGCCCGAGAGATATGGCGTATCCGGTACATAATCGAGAAGCGACCAGTATGTTAGGATGAGCGGTAAGATTCAGCTGAGATGTCGTGCAACGATGGAGAAATCAACAGCAACAGATGGGAAGAAGATGAGTTGTTCGGGTGTAGACTGGAATAAAGGCCGTAGCAACCACAGCAATAGCAATAACAGTCCGAGGAAGTGATGAGTCAGTGGTGTCAATGTCAGTCGCGAAATTTTTGCTTGAATTTAGTCAATCCAGACATCACGTATAGTCAGTTAGTTTGGGCTTCAGATGACTCATGAACGGTGCGACATCGGCCCCTGACCTCATTTTCGTTCCCTATCTAAAACAAGGAGTGGGTGATACTTTGGGTTCCAAGTGGTACGTAGCTTAGGTAGATAAGTATACCTTGATATCCCAATGAATGGCTGATAGATCTAGTCTGTCAGTGAATTTGTAGGTGTCTTCTGCAATAGATTGTCCGATTGTTGTTTGTTGGTTGATGGTGGATTGTTGCCTGAGGCTGTCGGGACTTAGTAAGGAGCTGTGCTCTTGCTGAGTAATCCATACATAACGATCACCTATGAAACAAACAAACATTTAATTAAAACATGGCCTTTTTTCCTCCCCTTTCCGCGCCGTTGCTCGAGCGATGTGTGTGCGACTGCTCGACCTCCCCTCATTGCTGTCGTTCTACTCCAGACTACTCTATAGATCCTTTCGCTCATTCATGATAATTTTCCCCTTTGCACACGTGACCAAGTTAATTGCGACCGCTGCGTAACACGAGAGGAGCAAAATAATGGTTGTACAGAATGTCTATCTCAGAAGTTCCTCATGCTCGCTGTGCAAGCTTGGCCCCTATATTGGGAGAGATATTTATGGTATGTCTTCTTCCTGTCTTTTTTGACTTGTCTGATGTCCTATATAGACTCAAGGCAGAATCCACTTCGGGTTCTGGACTGTGGAAAGCCATGCCAACGCTGCCAGTCCAGACCGTATCCAGAGGTGTGGTTCCACGCACACTGCTTTGATACTCTGATGGATACACTTGAGCCATCGCAAAGGCCTAGTCCTGCAGTACTGGAAAAATTCGGCTCTATCATGGCGGGCAGGTATGAAGCTCGGGATCGACGACGCAGAGATTTCACATCGGTCGTAGGAACGCTGTCCAGTGAGTATGCGAGACGAATCATGCAACCAGAGTTCGATCACGACCTATTCCTGCGGTTTCCGACGGAGATCAAACTTATGATCGCTGAGCATATTCAGCCATGCTGGTGGATGACCGTACTTGACGAGAGTCGTCGGCTGATCGATCAATTGAAGAACCACCCATGTAGGTCTACGCAGCTCAGCCTTACACGTGATGTCTGGGTATCAAAAGTCACTTACCGCGGTGTTGGATACGTCGCACGGCTCAGCAGCAGTCGTCCGAAAGCGACGGGCTGTGCCCGTGTTTACCACATGAAGATACCCGATATCATTGACAAGATTGTTCTATCACTGGACTCCATCGGCGTGTCTGGAATACAATTCCTGGACAATAATTCCACACCTAAACCTGACGGCTCGCCGTGGTACGAGATTCTGGAACCGAAAGCTTCTACCGCAAAGATCAAAGTCAGGTCTAATGTCTGAACTCAGTAACATTCTCGGCAGTGCGCAAACAGGTACTGACTTAGCCAGGGTCTGATCGTACAAGAACTCCAGCTTATTGCAGACGGTTCGTCTCTACAGAACGCCCTGCTCTGGAGCTCCCCCGTCACGCCCAAATTTCATCCTTGGAACATCTACAAATGCCTGCTCAAGCCCCGCTTAGACTATCTAAAATTGGATGACAGGATTCAAGGCCTTCTCGTCTGTGTTAGCAAGAAGGGTGATATGGCTGGTATTCACGGTTTCTCAGGTGTCTCAGCAGAATTCAGGAATTTCACGAGTCGGATGCATCGGCGTCTCGGCAGGAGCTACAAGCGCTGGATTTACTTCCCGCTTAATCAAGGCGAGTTGGTGGAGGCTGCTTGGATTAGGAGTGTCTCAAACTGTCCTAGCCGCCCCGCTTTAATGGTAAGCATTCGATCTATCATTACACTTTCGAAGGCTCACCGACAAGCTGCAAACGTCTTTAGGGAGAACCATCACGTTCGGGCCTCGAGATCCGGTTCCCTCCTATTCACCTGAGTACCGTTCTCTGGTCCGGATTGGCGATGGCCCGATCACTGGCATTTTTCATAACGGACTTGACCCAGCCTTAACCTGCATTACCGATATGGGAGTGACCTGCGGTGACTCGTCGATGAGCGCAACTCCCAGGCTGCAGCCTCCGGATCTGCGACTAGAGCCCCCGTTAGCTGTGCCGTACTATGTCGATTGCTGGTATATGACAAGGGCTTTCCTCAATGGCCTTGTTAGGGTAGAGATCAGCAGGGATCTGAGCCAGCCCCATGCACCCATAGTGGGCATGCTGCTGCATTACACGGACGGACATCTTGAAGCGATCGGACAGGTACGGTGGGAGTACGCTTCGGGCGAAGAGATCTCCGTGCCTTTGTATGTTGAAGAGGGGAAGGATACGCGTGAACACAGCGATTACACTTACATTAAGAACATTCGAGGTGGGGAATCCGATCCCGAGCAGCCTCCAGCGACAGGGGAATGGAGACTGCCAACGAGCGGCACCATTTTCTGGTGGTCTAGCCGATATATTGATAAGATAGTAGTTCGATGAAAAATGAAACAGATGACTGCGATACGCCGTGACCTTCCCAGATGTTGTAGTAGTGAATGAATTATGCAAACCAATCTGCGCTCACTTGAACATGATTTTAGGCCTTCTTTAGCATTCGTTGCTGGACAGGCTATTTTCGTCGATTGAACAACCCAGACAGCTGAACGTGGAAGCAGGCGGGTGAAGGGTGAGTCAGCCTGCGAGATTTTTCTCTGTGTACTCCCCACACATGATTGGACAGACCGTGTAGACAGCGACTCCTGGCACCTACGAGACCTTACCTGATTCGGCTTCAATCTATGATGGCGTCCTGTTTGACTTCATACTTGGTGGGGCAACTCGCGTGAGATTCTATAAACATAAGCCTATGGCAGCAAATTCTAGCCTATAAGTCTTTGTAAAAGCAGCTCATTTGTTGAAGCTGTTTTGCTTCCTCAAATCTGAGAATAAGGGTATATAAGCAGCGGTCGTTAGCACAAGTTGCCATACTTGCATTCTCGTCTTCCAACACCGACACTTGCCCGTGAACTCAAGCAATCATCATGACCAAGCCCATCGCTGTCTCATGTCCCGTCAGTCTTAACGCTTCATCCGCCTCGCTCAACTGCAAAAAGCTTACACTCAAGCTAGCTCCCGGGCCCGACTCATGGAAGGTCAGACATCATGAAGCCAGCCCATACAAGGCTATGCATTGACGATCCCCATCTATCAGGTCAAGTTAATCCTCGAGGAACTCCAAGCTTTCTATATAATAGAGTCATTCAAGTTCGACGAAATGAAAAACCCACCGTTCATCAACATCAACCCGAACGGCCGAGCCCCCGGTAAGCCCACCTGCGCCGTCACATCTTATCTTATCACGGAGTACGGAGGATCCTCCTCGTCTGCAAGCCCTAACCTGCGACCACAGCAATCGTCGACCCCAACACCAACCTCACCTTGTGGGGATCCGGCGCCATCATCCAGTATCTAATCGAAGTCTACGACACCGAGAAGAAACTGACCTACAACCACACTCAACGAGCATCACCTACTCAACCAGTACCTCCACTCCCAGATGAGCGGGCAAGGCCCGTACTTCGGCCAAGCCGCATGGTAGATATCACCCCGTATTTTGCTGACTGTATCTTCAAGCGAACGCTTACCCTGCTAATTCAGGTTCGACATCCTCCACCCCCGGAGAAGATCCCCTCCGTCATCGACCAATATGTCGGAGAAGTCGCCGGACCCTGGGAGTACTGAACACGGTGCTTGAAGGCCGCACCTGGCTCGTGGGCGAGAAGATCACCTTTGCGGATCTGGTGTTTGTGCCGTGGAACGGACGGCTGGATTACCTGCTCCCCGAGGAGGATTACCTGGCCACGTACCCGAATGTGAAGGCGTGGCAGCAGCGGATAGAGAAGCGTCCGTCCTGGAAGGAGTGCATCGAGCTGCGGGATCGTCTGATGGATGAGCAGGGGTTGCAACCTAATGGGATTCCGGAGGGGGTGTCGGATATCAAGGACTATGAGGAGCTGATTGCCAAGAATGCGGAGGAGCAACGGCGGCTGCAGGAGTAGTTGATGGTGTATACGCGATACACGGGAGTTGACTTGTTATCTCCCAGCTGTCAAACTACATCGGAGGAAGGGGATGAACTGCTAATAATTTTGGATTGTACTGAGCCCTGTTACGTCGATCTAGCCTGCTCAATTCATGGTGGTCACATCATATAACTGCTTATTAATTGCTATTGCGTGATGCGGAGTTTCAGCGAATGGAAGATGTCCACGAGATGTAAGCTTCTCCAAACTTCCACTTGACTCGCTGCAATCACCGATTAGGAATTGCAGCAAGAAGCCATACATATTGTACGATAGAAAATGCAGGACATCGACTTGTCTTCCACCTTCACACCAATATATGGTTATGTGATCCGGGTTCTGGTCTGCAGCAGAAAATGCTCGGTGTTTGATTGTTAATCGCTCGTTGCGGTGGCGTCATCCCCGCCTCCCGCTCGCCGCCGCCTTTATATACGACCATGATCAACATCAACTACACCACAGCATTAATCGCTATCCAACAATCTTTCCCATCAACCACAAGAAATTTATAATGTCTGCACAGGGCGACATCACCGCCGAGATCAATTTCTACAAGGCCCCAGCCGACGGCTCCGCGCCATTCGCCTACGTGGAGCAGCCGCCGGCGGGGCAACCCGAACAAAACTACTCCCAGACGCCGCAACAAGTGCCGCTGACGGACATCCAAGGGCACGAGGACGAGTACAGCCTGGAACACGACGCCTTCTCAGTTGTTCAGGGCGTGCCGTCAGCCATGGCCTACGCGCAATTCGACTCCGACATCGCGATCCGCCAAATCTACTACCCGGAGACGGAGCGACTCATCTTGGAGCACGTCCCGGACGCCAAGCGCGTGGTGATCTTCGACCACACGGTGCGCAAGCACGATCCGACGGCCTCACGCCAGCCCGTGACCTTCGCGCACGTGGACCAGACCGCCGCCGCCGCGGCGCACCGCGTGCGCCGCAGCATCGCCGACCCCGACGAGGCGGAGCGGCTCATCGAGGGCCGGTTCCGCATCATTAATGTCTGGCGGCCCATCAACGGGCGGGTCGAGTCGCTGCCCCTGGCGTTCGCCAGCGGCAGCTCCACCGACCCGGCCGATCTGATCCCCGTCCAGCGCCGCTACCCCACCTTCACCGGCGAGACTATGAGCGTGCAGTACAACCCCAAGCAGCGCTGGCTGTATTGGTCCCATATCGACGACGATGAGCGCATTCTGCTGCAGTGCGCTGATAATAAGGAGGGCGTTGTCGCTAGGGCGCCCCATACGGCGTTTATTCATCCGCGCTCTCCGCCTGATGCGAAGCCGAGGGAGAGTATCGAGGTGCGGGCTTTGGTTTTTGATTGAGGTTGCATGTTTGCGACGGAGTATATAATTAGCGATCATTTGTGCGGATATTGACAGTGTTGGCATTCATAAATGACTATCTATACAAGATTACCCTTAATGAAGACATGCTTCTTTCGTGATCGCAGTTTCGGCAGTAGCACGACCGGACCTTTCCAGAATTTATCTTACGATAATTAGACGACTAGTCCGTAGTAACTCATAAATCCGAGATTGCGCATTGCTCTCTCGCTCGCTTCGCGTAACAGCAGGTTGCTTAGTCGGTGTCTGCATGAATGCCAGCCGCCATCCCTGTTTCGACAGCAATTAGCCCTTGCGAAGGTGCCCCCTCAGGTCTCGCTCTTAGGCAACAGTGAACCTCCGAGGAGATGTCAACGCTCAATGCCATTCACCCCTCACAAACATTGAAGATTGAGCGTCAAGTATATTCCGAGGATCAGGACTATCTCACAGAAGGAAAGGCAGAGAGCCCAGCACTCGCTCGCAAACTTTGACCAACACGACAGGCGATACCAGATGCTAGATAAGAGTGACTTTATTGGGGACATTCGCGATTTTACAATTAAATTGAAGAAGAAATAAACATACATAAGTTCTATGCTGTATTCGCCATACCAAGCAGACAGAATTCCTTGACCTCGATCCCCCCAAAAAGACGCATGGCCTCCCACGAGAAAACTACCACCACTACACCCACTTTGCTTTAATCCACGCCGGGACTTCCTGAATCACAGGCCACCACACCGACCTCTTGTCATTCCCCAGAACAATAGCAGCTCCCAAAACACCAACGGAGGCAGCAGTCAGCGCCATATTCATGAAAGCTCTCTTCTTCCTAGGGCCGATTTTGGCCTCAACACGCTGCACGAACCCAGCCCCATTATTCGTTCTGGGGAATGGCTCATCGGGCACATCCTTCCCCAAGAACTAATCACCGAAGATATCAGCCCTAAAGCACTCATCACCACGGAGAATAAATGAGGAACAAGAACTCACCTCACACAACGGCGCCCAGCCATCCTCAACATTCCACTCCAATAACCTCTCCGAAGGCACCATGCCCCTAACCATAAACCCATGTTCGCGATACACCCTCTTCCCATTACACAACAACCCCTGCTGGGTATTCCTACCCCCAAACAAACCAGGATACCCAAACCCATAATAAACCCTCCAAAGCCAAAAGAGCTCCGCCTCAAACAGATGCACCCACCACAGACCCCAATTGCGAGAGCCAGCATCAACAAACGCGCTCATCGCACTGCAGTGCCACGCATCCACATCCCGGCGGGTATTCAAGATAACCTTAGCTTCAGGGTACGCCTGGATGATCTCGCTGGTAAACAAGGCCGGAGCGGAGTCGATGACCACGTCGCAGGGGCCGAGCAGGGCGTCGAACTCCTCGCGCGTGACGGGATCGTCGCCCGGGGTCGCGTATTTGCGCTGCACAAGCTTCGCCCACGCTTGGATGTAGGGCGCGTCGTCGAAGACCAGGTCCCACCCGTGGAAGGTCTTGTAGCCTAGCCGCGTGAGAGCTAGGCTGAGGCTCTCGGTACCGGAGCGCGGCAGCCCGACGCAGAGAATGCGCATCGGTCCTGTGCGCGTGCGGGGCGGCGCCGGGGGAAGCCCATAGAGGGTGTTGATTATGGTTTCCATTGGTGGTGTGATGCGATGTAATGGATGTGTGTGGTGTTTTGAGTTTGTATGTCGCTGTGTATGTACTGTACGCCACGTCTATCTCCCCTGGGAGAGCGACGTGATAAAAGACAGAGGAGCAGAGAGAAGATTTATGTGCGTTGCCCTAAGATTTGAGAAGACGTTCGAAAAAGTTGGGTACAGTCTTCTGTTCATGTCTTGCTCTTATATACTCAAACCCTCGGTGGTCTGGTAGGCTTACTCATTCGGATCGCAGCCAGCTGGCGGCAGGGATCTAGTGCTTACTTGCCAGCTGTCTGGAGGGCAGAGGCTTGATTGGTTGACTCGTTTCTCAGGTCTTGGTATGAGTAAGGGATGATTTTGATCTGGACTGTCCAGCTCAGCTTCGATGAGGGTTGTGACAGGTCTGGTCGAGCTTACCAGTGCGAATTGACCTCAGGGGCCGTGGCCCGTTGAGGCAACAGTCAGGAATTCAAGGTTCCGCACCCTTTTTGGTTGTCTGGACAAAATTCCATGTTTATTGGGAGTGAGGATTATTTGAAACTCAAATCTGTTTGTCGGTCGAAGCAGATCATTCAGGCACTTTATTCTCAGTGGTCCATGGGTAAAAAAATCAATAGATCAGCCCTACTTACTACGCATCCAGAGTGGGCGGCTGCTAGCTGCCTTTGATCAACAAGCAATCCGGGGCTCTCGCTTATAATCAAATCAGCATAAGTAGCTTGTTTCTGGTTGAGGCTCTCTGCTATGCTCAGATTTATTATGTTGATTCTTTCTCTTTTACTTCGATGAGTTGCTATGGTTCTTAGACGATAGCAATCACCTTACCTCTGTCTTGATGCTGTCTCGATGGTGAACTGAAAGCTTTTGCTTGAGAGCAGCCAGCTGTCACCGCCTATCAGAACGGCATGATAATTGGTGTGCCAGATGCTGGGGATCTGCCGGGCAGATAATGTCCCAGACGGCAGGCGGTGTACACAGCCTACCCAGTCAGTCAAAGATCAACGACGACAGCCAAACCATCTCGCATGCATTCAACAATCAACAAACATAACGCCCACCTATAGATACACGTCGCATATAATCCCAGAGCCCCTCTAAGAATACCGTGAAATGTAAACTCAGCCATCAACAATGACGTCTTGTCTCACTTCCCGCAGCACTAACAAAACAAGGCCCGCGAACGGCAGAGGCGTTCGGCCAGCGCCGCCGCACTCGTCACTTGCTGGTACCCGCACCACTGCCGAGCCTCAGCTCTCGCCTTAGCCCCCAATCGCACGGAGCGAGGCTCCCCTTTATACTCTACGCGATCTACTGCCATGGATCCGTGGCTGCGCAGATCTTGCCAGACGTGATGCCTGAAGCATGCTTCGGAACCCGATTCCCGCTGAAGAGCAAGCGTTACGCGCGATATACGCTACGTTAATGGCGATAGTTATCTTGATATATGTGCATGCGTCAGCCCAGGAACGGGGTTTTCACCTGGACGGCTTGGATACCACCGCTGACGTGTGCCTTTTCTTTTTTCTGTTCTTGTGTCTGCATAAAAAGTCTAATTTGTAAAATAGTTGGTCGAACAAAGCTTGGGCATGAGATCCACCTGGAACTCAAAATCATACCACCGGGCTTGGATTCCCGCCCAAGCGCGATGATATCTCAGAGTCTATGTGGTAAATCGTATCCAGATCGTGAAGGAAGTGCGCACCACGTCATGGTCTGGGCTTAGGGTGATTGTCTCGGAATGGCACTCATCTATTGAAGGTTTTGACGGTGGTGGTGGTCACATTTACCACTGCTGGTTGAGTTCGTGGTCGGGAATGTTACTAGAAGCGGAAGGCAACCGTTGAGACCTCAGACAGACAGATGATCTTACGAGGATGAGATTTCGAGATCCACCCCACCGCCCGCCCGCGGTTGCCTCACACCGCCTTAAGGTAAACCCACCGGATATGCTGGCTCGGGATTGAGTCGGTTTCAACCGCAACCGCAACCGTGTTAAGTTAAACAAGGGAGGGACAAACAGGCAGAATGATAATCTCGAAGTGGTACAATGGAACCCCTTGGAGGGGTCATCGGCAAATAGTCCACAGCAATCTCAGCTCCTGTGTATGTACCCGAGGTGTCAGAAGCAGATTCGAAAATGCCACGGGGACCCCGGTCAGCTGAGTCAGCGGGGGTTTCTCAGCAAACTCTCCAAGCATTAGTCATGAGTTATCAACCCAGGCCAAGCAGGCGGTCAAAGAGTAAGATTTAGTGGAGTCTATGGACGGACGGGTGTGGCTGAAGCGAGGACCACGGTGCGGCTCATTTGCTGGTCTCTCCCATTGCTACTCGGTCCCCTACTTGGCGCACGTTTCTGGCATGCAGCTCTACTTCAGTACATACATGAACGGTGGGAAGGGAGATGGAGTCCACGAGAGAGATCGACTTGACAGCCATCCTTTCGTCCTACTTGGGTAAATCAATGGAAGCTATCCAAATTCCAGGGTTGGTGGACAAAGTAAGTCCGAACCCAGCACGTGTGAAAACTGGGTTTCTTAGGGTTAGGGAGGTCTGATGATTGGCAATCCTACCGTACCTTAGCAGCTTCAGCCGAGAGACTGCTGATTGGTTCTCTGCTTCGGGCGCAGAGATTTTTTTCCTCTTTTCACACCACCCCACGCTAAATCCTACCTAATAGTACGTCGACCCACCTGCAGCCCACTTTTAGAGGAGATTCCACGAATGACCACGGATACCAAGTTCATGAGGGGGGTTCTCGGTTATGGCAAGTATCTCGAGGGTGCAGACGGCAAAAAGAGGAGAAGGGTGTGGTTGACTGCAGTTGGAGTTGTGCGGGCAGCAGGCGGACACGGCGGTGTGTGATATGCGGTCTGTGTGTGGTCGGTTCGTAGTACGGCTATAATACTTATTCTCGTAGCCTTGTAGCCTCACAGGGAACTCCATACAGGGAAAAAAAAAAAGAGGAGAAAGGACCGCAAAAGTCCCCCCGGACCCGCAGAAATCTCGGTATGGGGTATGGGGTCCGCCCACGGATGCCTAATGCCTATTCTCTGTTGTCCACTTTTGCCCACCGCATAGTTCCCCCATCTGTAGGGTTTTGAAGAATTTTCTCGATGTCGGCTAATTCCCATGGTAACTCGCCGACCTACTCCTCTTCCTCCCGTTTTTGGTAGTATAGTACCCATTTACTGGCTGACTGGCTCTCATAATCTCGCTGACTCTTTGCCCCGAGAGATGAAAGGCTGGAAATGTTTGCTTCGGGTTTCATGTGATTGGGATCGACGCTGTCCGGGACGCCATCCTGGAAGCTTTAGCCTTCCGGCGCGGCAACCCGGGTTTCGGCGGTTAAAACAGCGAGCGCGGAGCAAAGAAAAAACGGTAACTGAAACGAATCAAAGGATTATTGATGATGGCAATCTCGGCCGGGACAGCTTTCATTCGACCCTTGGCCCATGAGATTATTACTCGGAATCTTACCGTCGTGGGATGGACTGACTCGACATTCAACAATCCCATTAGGGCAAGGGAAGGGGAAGATCCGCTCTTTTGGCACTGGGGAGTGGATCCAGCGTCCCTTGGCCAAGTGGTTGGTTGTCCACCACTCGCACCGGTTTAATCCGGCCCTCCATGTGCTGCTATCTATCTCTCTCCGCATGGAGAAAAGTGAGGGAAGCGTGGCCATGCGGGAGATGACTGCTGTCATCCCTGCTGGCGATTCGACGACTTGATTCTCATTGAATGTCCGATGAATGGATCGCTTATGACTGTTCCACATCGTTCCCCCGCACCAAGCAGGGATTCAGGTATCAGGATCAATCCGATTCATTCAAATCCATTCAAAGGATGGGTGTTTAGGTCGGCAATCTTACTCTTTCCGGCGCCGCCAGTGCCCTGAACCACAGACGAGTGCCAAGTGGAAAATGTGCAACCATAGCAGCGTTGCATTTGAGTCCGTGACGTCAATGGCGCCCTGACCCCGAACTGAGCTTTTTTTTCGCGGGGCCCCAAAGACTCTTATTGGTGTTGCAGGCATGAATGGCCCCAGTAGTGCCCCTCTTGGTCCTCTTGGCCCCCTTGGCGGCTCGCGACACATGCCCTATACCACTTCCCGACTAAGTCTTATGTCCTCTCGGCATTGGTATCTCGAAACATACATAAACCCTCTGCTGCTGCTTTCCTGGCCCTGGTTTGAGAAGATCTTTCCTGTTTGTCAACACATATCTCCTGTCACCACTACCTCCTCCTTCTCCTCCTCTTCCTCCTTCTTCTCCTCCTTCCGTCAGTATAGCACGCATACCATCCCTCTACTGGTATACGTTTTTGAAGGTTCGGAGATCTCTTGAGTCACCATGTGGACAGCAACTTCCGGCTTGCGGGGCCGCAAGCTCCGGCTGGCCATCACTATCGTCTCCGTCCTCGGTTTCTCGCTTTTCGGTTATGATCAGGGTCTGATGTCCGGTATTATCTCCGGTGACCAGTTCACCGCCGAGTTCCCGGCTCTTGCTACTGGAGATGGCAAGGATAACGACCACGTCTCTGTCCTCCGCGGTGCCGTCACCTCCTGTTACGAACTCGGTTGTTTCTTCGGTGCTATCTTCACTCTCATATTTGGTGAGCGCATTGGTCGCACCCCGCTCTTGGTTGCTGGTGGTATCATCATGATCGTCGGAGCTGTCATCTCGACCGCCTCCTATGGAGATAAGTGGGGTCTGGGTCAGTTCGTTGTTGGCCGTGTCATCTCCGGCCTGGGCAACGGCATGGACACTGCCACCATCCCTGTCTGGCAGTCTGAATGCTCTCGCGCTCACAACCGTGGGTTCCTGGTCTGCTTCGAAGGCGCTATCATCGCCGTCGGTACTTTAGTTGCCTACTGGCTGGACTTCGGTCTCTCCTATGTCAACACCTCGGTGCAGTGGCGGTTCCCCGTTGCTTTCCAGATCATCTTCGCTATCCTTGTCACCGTCGGTGCCCTGATGCTCCCCGAGTCGCCCCGTTGGTTCGTCATGCGCGGCCACGACCAGGAGGCCCGCGAGGTGTTGGCTGCCCTGAACGATCTCTCGCCCGACTCCGATCAGGTCCTGGCCGACTACAACCTCATGAAGGCTGATCTCGCCGCCTCCAAGGACAACAAGGCTAGCTTCAAGACCCTGTTCACCTTCGGCAAGACCCAAGAGTTCCAGCGCATGATGATCGGTTGCTCTGGTCAGTTCTTCCAGCAGTTCACCGGTTGTAACGCTGCCATTTACTACTCGACCCTGCTGTTCCAGACGAACCTGGACATGGAGGGCCGGCTCTCCCTGATCTTGGGGGGTGTCTTCGCCACTGTCTACGCTCTTGCCACTATCCCCTCCTTCTTCATGATTGAGAGGGTTGGTCGTCGCAAGCTCTTCCTCATCGGCTTCATGGGTCAAGGTTTGAGTTTTATTATCACCATGGCCTGTCTGATCGACCCGACCACCGAGAACTCCAAGGGTGCTATCGTTGGTATCTTCCTCTTCATCATCTTCTTCGCCTTCACCACCCTGCCCCTCCCCTGGATCTACCCCCCCGAAATCAACCCTCTCCGCACCCGTACCATGGCCGCCGCCGCCTCGACCTGCACCAACTGGATCTGTAACTTTGCCGTCGTCATGTTCACCCCCGTCTTCTCCTCCTCCAGTGGTTGGGGTCTCTACCTCTTCTTCGCCCTGGTCAACTTCTGCGCCGTGCCCTTCGCCTGGTTCTTCTACGCCGAGACCGCCGGTCGTGACCTTGAGGAGATCGACATCATCTTCGCTAAGGCCCACCTCGAGAAGAAGTGGCCATATCAGGTCGCCAACGAGCTGCCCAAGCTCACTCCCGCCCAGATTGCCCAGATGTCTGCCGAGGTCGGTCTGGACGTCCCCTCGCACCAGGTCGCCCACGAATCCGAGAAGGCCGAGCTGGCTCTCAGCAGCGGCGAGAGTCAGGAGCGCAAGGAAACCTACTAAGGATTTCATCTCATCCTGCGTGCGACGCGTCAAACAACCCAAAAGAAATAATCATCAGATACCCCTCCCCCGCATTTATACATGTACAGTCGGAGCCGTGTTGCTTTGCTTGTCTTCTGAATTGATACTCCCCCCATCGAAAGTTTGCGCCCGTTGAGCAACTACCCGCTCAACCGTGCACCGATCCTTTCATGTTAATGTCTTTCGCTATGATTTGATTGTTGTTTTTTTTTGCCTTACCTTGCACACCAAAGATTCTCCGCATTGGCTATTGCTCTTTTTATGATGTGATCGGACAATGTTGTTTTTACGACTCCACACACAGGCCGTCTGTGTGGACACTTTCATGTATGGAATTTTTTTGCTGTGGGGTTCTTCTCTTTGCTGCAAGAGGGGATGATTCAGATGGTATATAGATATCCTTGTGTTCGTTGATAGAGACTATCAGCAACCGAAATGCATTTTCTGTGCCATTCTATACTATCTTGAAGTAGACACGTATGTAATTACTCTGAATACCTGAATCCTAGGGATTTAGTCCTGGACCTGCAACGCTTGTCACCGATCAAGGCCAAAGTATTCTTAGAATTCAATCCCAGCAACAAACAACCATATGGCACGCACCATACCCGAGGACCACGAACTGCCTATCTGTTCTTCAACTGTAATATCCCTACGACCCAAGCCAAGTCTCCGACCACTGTGATCTTATTAAAGCCTGCATCTTGAGCGGGCCCACCTCCCTTGCAGTCTAAGCTAGTCACCAAGGAAAGCTCTACTGCAAGATGGATTTATACTCTACATTCCTGATCCCACGTGGTCGTGTACCTGCATGAGTGGATCAAACATTTGATTAAAGTAGAATAGATTGACTCAATTGCCACAGATAATCTATGGATCCAACATTCTCGGCCGATCAGCTCAACCCGAAACAGAAGGACCAACCATGAACTTTGGTGAATGTATATCCCTCCAAGTTCATATCAACATGATAAACCAATGACCACAAGCAGTACCACCCACTCAGGCAATGGTAACTCCCAAACCATGAGCTAACGCCAAGCATCGATAATGCCCAGCACAGCAATTCGCTACCCCGAAGTCTCCTTGCCATTCTTCTCGTCCTCCGTCACAACCAATGTCTCCATCTCACTGATGACAGAGTCTGTCTCTGCGTTTGGCAAGGCTTGTCGCTGGGAACCATTGGGAGTGTGGTGCCGCCGGAGTTTGCGCACCTGCCGCGATAGATATCGCCATGCGTCGCCTGCAAGTTGTGCGTCTGTGCGGGGGAGGTTGCCCAGGGGTGCGGAGGGGGGACGTTGAATGGCGGTGAAGGATGTCATTCTCTCCCTCTCTGTTGACTTGGAGTGATATAGAGATGAGCGTACGGAATGGTAGTATGATGGTTTGTAGTGGGTCTGTAGTTGAGTTTAAATGTTCTCGGCGAGCAAGTAAGAGGTATGTAATTTGGGACGGAGTTGGGTTTCTGTTCCGAGTTGGCTAAGTGAAGATAAAATTAAGCTGATGGCAAGAGGGATGGGGAGCTAGAAAAGATGATATGAAGAGCTGAACGGTAAGCTCTGAGGGTGAGAATGATACTCAGATCACAGAGGCAAGATAGTCATACTTATACCTCTTCGATGTCCCAGGCAGCTCAATGAGAATGCGTGAAGCCAATGGTTCACAGGCAACAGTTTTTCGCGGTGTATGCTGAATTCAAGGAGAGTGATGCAATACCTACACCGACTCCGACGTATAGCCCACACCAGACGTGATGCCTGTCTTATTGGCGTTGCCTGACAAGGATGTGGACTAATGGCGGTACATCTAGGTTCAGTCCATGGTATTCCGGCGCCAGTGCTCGAGAGCCCATGACATGTTTACGGTAGGCTTCGGGCTGGCTGGTCTGGGTTAGTGTAATTCGAGATAAATGAGAATGGTAAATATTACCTACTGTACTAGCATTATCGGGACCAGAGACAGTTGTGCATCTTGAATCACACACACAGGGCGATTGTATGGCGAGCTGGACCCGAACCCCGACTCCGAGCTGCTAGCGCGGCCCAACACCGAATCCGAGCCTCAGCGCCATATGACTATGTAGCAGCTGAAACAAGGGTGCAACGAGGGGGCTTCTGGTATAGGATTACTCGAGACAGATAAATCTATTTTCCAAGAAGTTAATGTGTTGCTTTCTGCCACGAAGTCACCTTCCGATAAAGCCTTTTCCATTTCGAGCCGTCGCGTCAAAACAAATCCGAGTCTCCGGACAAACCAAACGACTAATCGGCTAAACCAATTGTGAGATAACTATAAGCTATAAAGTCCTTGCAACAGGCTCACTACTCGTCGGAACGTCATCCAAAGTAGACGCCATGGTCTGACAATGCAAACCAGGTTCGGCTCATTCATGTGAGAACCAGCCACAAAGGACGGTCCTCAATGGATTTCGGATTGCAGTATAGCTCGCTCGAGAAACAGGCAGCTATATTTGCGTAAAGGTGATCATAGCATGGCTACTCGATAATTGGAAATGAGAGATCCTGGAAGTGCATTGATTAGTCACAAGCTGCATTAGTGCTATATGTTTATGCATAGTGCCACCAAAAAAATGTCCTGAACATGCAAAATTCTTATGCGTCTACTGTGCCAAATGAGCTGTCCCGGGTGATTGTTCATTTGACTAATAACAGCTCACCCTTTGTCGTTTGTCGGAGTTATGAGACGCAGTCCTAACACAAATTAACATCTTGTCATTTTCACATCATCCCCTAACTGGAGAAAAGAAACAAAAAAAAGAGAATTGCCCTGCAGAAATAGTCAAAATAATAATGATAAAAATACACCAGGGAAATAAAGGCATGCGGGAATCCATCCATCTACACTACATCAATTCAACGCCGGAACACGTCAGCATGTTGGGCAAATAGAGATATGTCTTCCGCCGCATCTTGCCCTACAGGTACCTGCCCCTGCGAAGAACGCCCCCTAACCCTGGGGGGACCTCTTGCGCGACAGGTTTCGTCCAAAGTCCCGGTTGGCCATGGCTGGCTGTTTGGTCGTTGTTCGACTGCACGGAATCTCCATGCTCGTCACCGAAGAGTCTCCTGTTCACCTCATCTTCCTTGGCATCGTCATAGGTTTGGATACCAGAAGCCTTGTCGTGCGTCGAGGAATCGTTTGAGGATTCCGAGCTTCGGAGGCCCCGGCCAAATAGCGCCTCGTCAATGTAGTCTTCTTCGGATGAATTCGGGATTCTCATTGCAGGGCCAATATCTTGGGGATCTGCCATGATGGAAGCTCACAAGCTCGGTTCAGCTGTAGATGAGGTTTTAAAATCGCGACAGGAAATCTTAATCTTGGGAGGGGTTCAACGGATTGATAAGATTGGTAGGTCCAGGTAAGCAACCTTGGGAGTCTCGAATGGAAGGGCTGATAAGGTGTGTATACTATCAAAGGATAATTAGGAGAGAAGCAACATTTCTAGCGGAGATACGCAGACTTTATAATCGCGGGGAAAAAGAGTTTACCACGTTTCAAATAACCTTTATTGAACCACACATACGCCCTCATTACATCACGACCATGAAGCCACTCGCCAACGATATCTGGGTCTAGAACAAAATGGTGCGAAAGATCAAACTGTTCGTGGTGCTCCACAAAAAAACAAAAAAAAGGCATACTAACCTAGTATAGGACATATAAAACCTGAATCCCATCGATACTCAATCTGGCTGGTATCTCTCCCATCCTCATTACCACCACGATGCATACAATTTTCATAGGCCAGTACCAAACGGGCCCTCAATCTCAGCCAGATAAACCTTGCTACGGTCCATGAAGTTCTTCTCATCATCTGCAAGACGTTGTCTCTGCGCGTCCAGGGCGGCTCGGAAAGCTTGCAAGTGCTGCATGTCTTCGAAGATCATTTCGACGTACACATCCCAGGTGAAATCTTCCGCTTCGCCTGCGAACACATTGGGGACGTAGTTGGCGTTGGAGGGATCCGTTGACGTGGGATTGCGGGGGTGGCGGACGAGATAGTGGCGTCGGTGATGAGTGGGGAATGAACTGCGCGCTATCTCCTTGGCGAGGGGGATATGTTGGTTCTCGTAGTAGTCTTTGAAGAACTCCGGGGTGGTGCCGGACTTCCGTTGAAGGAAAACGATCAGTGTCAATGGCATTGTGGATTTGGAGGGTTGTAGATGTCTTGGAGCTGGTTCGGAAGGGGTAAGGTAAGGGTGGAAACTTTGTGAGGAGAGGTGCTATTGTGATGAAATACGAATGAGTAAGAAATGTGTCGGTTTATAAGGCCCTCTGAACAGTTAGGTGCACACAGACACAATATTTAGTTGCAACAAGAATATTCTAGCGAGAGTCATAATATTCTAGTCACGACAAGAACGTTCTAGCAACTTCAAGAACATATAGTAAGGTGTCATTTTAGCTAGTTAGTAGTTAGCAAGGCCGATGTCCGCTGACATAATATCTTTTGGTGTATCATGTAGCACTCACTACAATCCGTGGCCATACATCACCATTCGTTCTGATTTGCAATATACTGATGGCCCTATATTCGAATCACTAGGGAAGCACCCAGCATACTGATATTGTGACGATGTTAAAGTAGACGTTGCACTATCCGACAGCTATTTGAGCCTCAGCCTCACGAGACGAATGCATTATCTTAACTCTCACACTACAGCAACGGATGTCTCAACGCCGGCTTTCCAAAACCCCGACCACGGTCTGCCATAGCCTTCAGCTCATTAAGAGCATCGTCCGTCTTACCCTCAAACGCGTCCACAATAGGCAAGCGAAATTACCGACCGTAATGATCCACCGCCCAGCGCAGCGCTCGCCACGCACGGTCATATTTCGCCGGCCGAGCAGGAATGGTGATGGGATGCGGCGCGTCTCGGACTTTGATCATCACGTCTATGTTGGGGGTCGTAGAAGGGCATCATGAACCGGGGATCTCGCTGGACCACGACCGAGACTAGTGTGGCATTTGGCGCCGTCACGCAGTCAGCCACCAAGTTAGCCGAGTTGGGGGTATCTCCAGTCCCATTGGTGCCGACTGCATCAAATGCGCACTTTAGATCCCGATTTAGAGCTTTGACTGTGGTCCAGATGTTGGTGACCACCGTCGGGGAGTTGTAATCAAAGCAATGCGTCGCCCCGAGCACTCGACAATAAGCTGCGTGTACATTGTTACCATGACAGGATCAGCGGGGCTTATTTCGCATGCGAGAAGGCTTTGGGGCTAATGAAAGCTTGTGAATCGGCCTGTGAAATGCTGTCACTAGGTGAAGTGTGCGCAACTTGCTCGAATGCTGCCGATGTTGAATGACCCTCACGATCCGAAAATTACCTGAATGGTAAATTAGAATCAGTCACATGATTTGCTAGAGGAAAGGTCAGATAAAGCGCTCACTGTAAGATACTGTAAAGATCGCTGACCTGGGTCTCCAGTGCTCGCACACGCTCCTCTTTGGCTTTTCTTCTCAGTGTCCGAACCACTTGCAATCTAGACATCATTACTGAGAGCGTGAATAGGAAGCTGAAGAGTCGACTCTGGTACAGTTCTAAGCCTGCCTTTGGGCGAATTCTCCCCCAGGCGGGGTATTTCTGATAGTCCCTAAGCGTTCAAGTGGTTCCATCTCCCTGAACTCTGTCTTACATAATGAATTCGTAGATGGCATATCTTCGTCACAAACTCACTATTCAGATCTTGATTAATTTCACGAAGGTTAGGCCATTCTCTCAAATGTTATCCTTACCCTGTTGATTACGGTGACAGATTATCCAATTTTAAGGGCAACGATACGTGTGTCGGGCCCCTTCAATAGCGCTTTCAGGTTCAATAAGAAGTTGCATTTAGAACTGTCGTCAAATGATCATGCATAGTCTAACCCATCAGTTCCTCATCTGAAGTATCATACCAAACATTGAGAGCGGCTCATGATACAATCCTGCCCCTTCCTCCCTAATCCATGTTACATCAGCTCTGAAATCATCGTAGCATCGATCCCATATGGAGATGTATTCCATTCTCCCATGTTCCTTGCTCAGCCATCGCGCGTCAGAGTAATAATCATTCAGCACCTCACGATTGATGCGTCGTCTAACCACCATAAGGTCGGTACCAAGCGTAAACAAGTCTGACGCTAGATTTTCCCGTTCTGCTTGAAGCATCTCCAGAGCTTCTTCAAGATCATATCCGTATCTAAGCTCTGAGAGAACCCAGACATCCTTGAGAATCAAGGTATTCTGTCGCTTCCTATGTGCCTCATCGACGATCATCAGGGCCCAAAGTTGGTAGATAGCACGAATGAGTCTTGGACGTTCAGAGAATCTGACAAGCCGAGAAAAGCACGCCTTCGAGTCATACGGCAGGGGGTATATTGTTGTTCAAAGCGCTGTACGCACGTTTTCACTTCGAGGGCGTTTCGAGTCATTTGGAGGACATCTTGAGCAGTCACGCGCTCACCCGGTTGCGGTCCACCTTGGTCGACGAGCAGAAGACGGGCATATCGTCGACATGGAATTGCTCGAAGGCTGACTTATTGATAGATAAAGTTGATATTCTCATGCCAGATTTCACGATGCTGCCGACACGTAGCCGCGAGATGAAGAACATCAACAAAGGAGGAACAGGTGCTGAGAATGCTGCGGGTAATCTCGAGAGGAAGCGAGATAAAGTCAGGCTTAGACATCATCTCAGAGATACAGTCTACTTCAGGAAGATGAAGGGGTGATGAGAATGAATTTCTTGGGCTGTCGGCTGGGAGGAGTCTCGTGGGGTGAGAGGCAAGAGCAGAAGTTGGCCGAGTTGAGAAAGGCAGCTATTTAGCTAGAGCTAGACTAGAGTCAGTCAGAGGGGCTGTGCGTGATATCAAGGCTAGTTTGGTTGATATCCAGGTACACACATACTGCTGAGGTGAGATGGTGAGACAGTAAGTGAATGAAGGCGGTTTAGCGCCGGAATCGGGCACCTCTCGGTTCCTTTTGCCGTCGAGCGGGAGCCGAACTCGCCCCTGGCCCGTATTCTGCCCTATGCCCCTTGCTAGCTCAACGCTGCAATGACATTTATGGTCATTTCCAAGGTATCAATTAGACGGGACTGCTACGATTTGGATAGGGGGTGGGCGACTGCGCCAATGACAGGTACGAAAGGGAAGTACCAGATATTTTCCAAGTGCCATATAATACCAGCGTAGAGTATAAGGAGAGCCTGAATGATATAGCTTGGAAGTTCGGAAGACATGTCTGGCATATTTTATACTGTTATTGATTAGTCTCCTCTGCCCGTCGTACTCTGGTACAGTTACGTTGAACCTGGGAAACCCGACGATTGGCGATCTCTGGAACACAGTCAAGTGTTGTACCTTGGACGCAAGCTCAGCATTCGATAAACGTCGATGGTGTTTGGGGTCGATCTGCAACTTCAACTTATGATCCCTTCACCCAAGGTTGCAATATTCCACTCGCAGTCGACGCAGACGCCTGCGAAGGAGAAATAAGGCTTGTAGAAAGATCGCCGGTCAAATCGGGGGAAGGATCTTCGACCTCGCAAATAGTTCCACCAATGACGAATAGTGCGTAGCCCGCATGAGCAAGTCACCGCGTATGTGTTCAGGCTATATGCATCTTACCGGAGATAGCTTGGCCGAGGCCCGAAGTCTGCACATAAATAACACGTCAAGACGGTCATTCTACTCCACCCTCGAGTAAAGAATGGTTTTCTAACTTGAGGATAGATCGAAGACATAGACTTGCCCAGCCGATATTGCATCATTGTGCTGCCAAGCACCATGCTTGCCCTCCCTATTATCGTTACTGTGGTGCTTCTGTCATTGGTCGAGTCAGTGCATGCAGAAAAGGAGACACAAAAACCCATCAATCGCCGAGATGTCGTCCGTCGATACAACCCCGTCCGAACGAACCTGTCGTCCGCAACGCCAATGCAAGTCGGAAACGGGGATTTTGCATTTGGGGCTGACATCACCGGACTGCAAAGCTTGCTGCCGTTCAACATCCTGTCGACCTGGTGTTGGTGCAACGACTCGCTACCAACCACTCCAGGCCAGACGGAGCCGTCCGACTTCACGGGCATGGACTGGTGGACGCACGATCGCCTGGTCAACTACGATATTCAAAACCCGGCCGAGGCAGCAATCTCGCAGTGGTTGATTGCCAACCCGCATCGAGCCAACCTGGGTCGAATCGGGTTTCTATACCAAGGGGGGGACATCCCAAGTGAAGAAGTGGCTGGTATTGTGCAGAGTCTGGATCTCTACAGTGGGGTAATAAGTTCGCAGTTCACGTTGCGGGGGACAGAAGTCTTAGTCACGACAATAGCGGACCCACTGTCTGATACCGTCTCTGTGGACGTGAAGTCTGCACTGTTGGCTAATGGGTCGTTGAGTGTGTTCTTTGACTACCCATTGACCACAGGCGCGAACAAGTTCGAGGCTCCATTTGTAGGGAATTTGAGTTTGGTCAGAGAGCACATCACTGCTTTGCAAAGGTTATCCGCTCAATCAGCTGTGGTCAAGCACGAAGTCGGTGGCACGGAGTACTACAACACTATTGCATGGGAGCAGACAGGCAGTATCCGCGGCCCGATCAACGGGACTCATCGCTATGTTCTCCAGCCTGCTGGAAAGGCAAGCACCTTCTCATTTAGCGCTATGTTCTCTCCATCATTGCAGTCGAAAGTCAAATCATTCATCGCCGTCAAGAAAGCCTCAACGCAATGGTGGAACGACTACTGGGAATCGGGCTCATTCGTCGACTTGACGGCTTCTACCTCCTTGGACGCTGAAGAACTCCAGCGCCGTATCATCCTTTCACGATACTTGCTTGCCGTCAACAGTGCAGGGCATGACCCGCCACAAGAGTCTGGACTCCAGAACAACGGCTGGTACGGCAAATTTCACCTCGAGATGGTATTCTGGCACCTCGGCCACTGGGCCCGTTGGAACAAATGGGACATTTTGAACCGGAGTCTCGGTGTTTACGAACGATTTCTGCCCTCTTCAGTCGAGCGCGCCACAAGGCAGGGATACACCGGTGCACGCCTTGGCAAGATGAGCGACCCTTCAGGTGCATCAGCCCCAGGCCCACAAAACGCACTCCTGATCTGGCAACAACCACATCCGATGTATTTTGCGGAGCTGGAATATCGGACAAGTCCGACCACCGACACACTGAGAAGATGGGAGACAATCTTGGATCAACTTGCAACATGGATGGTTTCGTATGCGTGGTGGAACGTGTCAACCCAGGTGTACGACCTTGGCCCGCCCATGTACCCGTCCTCGGAGAACACTAGCCCTAACTCGACATACAATCCAACCTTCGAGCTGGCATACTGGCGATTCGGACTCAAGATCGCTTCGGATTGGAAGACGCGACAGGGTCGGGAGATCCCAGCGTCATGGACGCATGTGCTGGATAATCTCGCACCGTTGCCCGTCGCGGACGGCGCGTACTCCATCTGTGCGGATCTGCCAGACATGTGGACAAAAAGCAGATATACGTCGGACCATCCTAGCCAAATAGCTGTCTATGGCCTTCTGCCACAGACGGTGGGGGTGGATTTGTCTATCGTCAATGCGACTATGGGTCGAATTGCGCAGACGTGGAACTTCTCTAAGTCGTACGGATGGGACTTTCCAATGCTGGCTATGACGGCCATCCGCTTAGGGGACATTGACCAGGCGATCTCTTATCTGTTACACCCTAACTTCCAGTTTGATGATGTCGGCAACCCCGTCGGGACCGTTGTACCCACTCCATATTTCCCAGCGTCGTCTTCGTTGCTGCTCGCTGTGGCGATGATGGCTGGCGGGTGGGATGGGAGCGAGGGTATGCATTTTCCACCAGAGTGGAAAGCGATCGTAGAGGACATCTCGACAGGTTTATAATGAATATAGGGCAGACACGCCTGACGCAAGTTGCTAAGCACTCTCTATGCCCATTTTCATTTTCTGTGAGAAAGGTAGGTTCTATTGCCAGGGAGCACACTTCAACATATGCGCGCTTAAGCTAGAGACATGAGATCGGCGATTGTCTCTAACTTCCTGTAATGATCTCGATGGAACACAGGAAACTAGCATACTGTGGTAAATGCAGCCCCGATGGCCATTCAAGTCGCATAATTCCGGAAGGATGTATAGCAGTCGTCGGGGTTAGCCTGCAGAAATACAAAATTGAAACCAGGAGCACGGGAAGAGGCTGGATTCGTAGTTTGGTAAAGCTACTGTCTCAACATAGGTCGCATAGTATAAACATACAACGGGCAGTCTCCCGCGCTACAAATTTAAGGCTAATCACCCAACACAAACATGACTGGAAACTTGAGAGTGGTGATTTACAGATTTGAAGAAAGACAATCTCTAATTCGACGAGGCTTTCAGTGTTAGACAATACTTAACGCGGGGGCCTAACGAAAGGGTGTGCCAGAGCTCGTCTTTGCTTCACCAACGGGTTTATTGGCTACTGGACCCCGTCACCACGATGAGGTGCGAGCTCGCCGCCGGAGGGCCCACTTGATCAGTGGGAAAAGACCGCTTGAGCAGCGGGAATACACCAGTCCATACTCAAGGAATGAGAAGTAAATATCGTCCGCGGCTTTCGAGATGAGGATACGGCTGGTGACGCTGTTAGCGATGAAGATGATAAACAACCAGATAGTGGGACCAACATGCGCATCCCAGCATTGAAGTTCGAGTCTGGGAACTCCTTGACAAAGGCGACAAGCTCGGCAATTTCTTGCATTGTGATCTTTATAGGATTGGTACCTCTGGGCTTGACCTTGCACGCCACCAGCGCTCTGGCTTCCGCTGTACGAACATCTTGGAGGACTTCGTCCACATCTGCTGTGAAATATCTTTTCTGCCGACCAATCCTACCCCAATCAGCCAAGAATTGCATTCTTTTAACTGACCACCGTCGTTGTACAGTGGGGCTCAGGTTTCTTATGGCGTTGAGCAAGTTGGGAAAGCCATGGATGACAACATTTTCGACGACTTTGCGAAGCCTGGAATTCCACCTGACACGCAAGAACCGACTGGAAGTCACCGAGCATTGGGGCTGGAGCTTGCCAGGCAGCGCCTGTTCGAATTGCATGCAAATAGTTGGTGAAAGCGACACTACCGTTGATTAATTGAGTCGCTGTGGCCCAGTGTTGTTCATGTTGACCGTTCGCGTAGACATGGTGCTTGGTCACGGACAAGGAGGAAAACAGGGGACGGAATCAACACGGGAGAAATAAGATAGAATAAACGATGGCTGCCTCAAAAAAACTATGTTCTGCTTAGGAGTTTTATTGATTCTCTTTAGTTAGAACAAATTCACCACCGTTCGGCGTGAAGTTGGTCAACCAGTCCATCTCTATTCACCATGGTTGCGCTCAGAATTGTGATTAAGTCCCGTAAATATCATCATCACGCCTCAAGCAAATATAAAGCATCGTTGTCAACTATGATGCCGTGGTCAGGAGCACATTCGATACAATTTTCAGTAGAAGCTAGAATTCATTGTATCTGTAGTCTTTGAGTACCTGAATCAGGAAGCAATCATATACTCAATAATGACTTGGGTAGCAGAGCGTCTAATCAAGACCCTAGCTTGGCAAACCAGGCAACACAAGAGTCAGCTCCTTATGGAAGTACGCGATATTAGAAGAATGAATACAGCCAAGGACTCTTAAATACTTTTAAGCACCGAGACTGTATCGGGCAAGGACATCATATCAGTAAACTGGTCCCCGGGTTCTGGTGCTGGCTAGGAACATGTCTGGACTATTTTTATTGACGATAAAGCTAGCCAGCCATTCCTGAATACCACTCGAATGCTCAGACCATCTGTATTAGTCGCAATAACTTTCCTACTGCGAGCTGGCTGATATACCGGATTATGATGAGGTGAGAGGTGCGTAATCCCGGAAGTGTTATAGATTAGCGGGGTGGTACGCGTGTTGATGTCGACAATCATCTCTCCCGCCCTTTCAAAAGACTTTCATATTCGACACAACTTTCACCTTCAAAATTCACAAACAGAGTCTTCGAAGATTCTTTGAAAAATGTCTCCATCGACTCGACGTCAACGTACCTGCAATCACCGCACCCGTGTCCTACTGGACACGTTGTTGAAGCAGCTGTTGCAGGATGAGACCCAAGTACTCGAAGACGGACATCTCAGCCTCGATGGCTACAACGACATCACGCACATCATCGACTACGACTTTGAAGATCTTTCCATGCCATCATCGGCGTCTAAGTTCCCCCCGGAGGTTCTTTTCGAGCCCATGGTTGAGGTGATCGGACAATCTCGAGATACCTCTGTCTTAGCCCGACCATTTCCCGACCTTCCGGAAGAGCCAACCCGGTTCGACCTTATGGATAGCATAATCATGCTTTGCGATTTTATAGTTGACTACACTGATACTTGCGTGTTCAGTCCACCGGCCAAGCTGCGGAAAATTTTGTAAGGGATCCGGCCATAAACTAAATAGTCCCGATGCTGATGAAGACCCTTTTCGTTAGCCTCCCTTGTCCCATTTATCTCGATCTCCGTAACCAAGGGTGCTATCCTGATGACAGGCCCCCCTGGGCCGTTGAGGTCTACCTCGAGCCGGTTCCAGAGCAAGGGGTCGTATTTCCCCACCTCACTATTCTGGCCCTACAACCGAAGGCTGGCTGGGAACACGAGATTTTATATGGAGAATTGATCGCATTGGTCTCCGCCATGCGGAGTCGAGCGTTCCAAGTGAAGATTGACACCAAGAAGGAGCAGGAAGAGTTTTTGGACGCTATGGACGTGGAAAGAAAGACCTATCCTTATCTTTTCCCCGAGGAGGAGACCTTTCCTACTCTCTTGTTGTCAGCGGTCGAACCCCGGCATGCAAGAATCATCTATGGATGTATGGAAGGGCGACGTCTCGTGATCCGACAATCCAAGCTCTATAGCTTTGTACGAGGGAATGATTCTCCCGTGGAATTTTTCGCTTCACTGTGGCTAAGTCGTCCCGTGGTCAGAGATTCTCCTTGAACGAGAAGCTGGCGCATAATTTCCCGCTGCTCAGGCGGTATTTTTCCCACTGTTCAAGTGGGTTGGTTCCTCTTGCATGCACCCCACCGTCAAAGTCGGTTTAAGTAACCAGTGGTACTTTCACAATCATATTTTGTTTTGTAGAAATGGGTTTCCTGTTCTGAGGACCTGCCCCTTGCATCTTCCGACTACATTTCTCCAGACGGCGGAGAGTATTTCCCGATTAGGAAATGCGTTGGCAAACTTGGAAGGTTCTGCCGCGTAGTCGTCCATCCGGCAGGCGGTATGTATGGATGACTCACCGCTTTCTCATGGCTGTTTTCTGGCCAAGACAATTGGAAAGCATCACAGCAGATACTACAATGAGACACTACAATGTCGGAACGGTTGCAGGTAAAGTTGCTTGGCGGAATATCAGGGATAACAAGGACTTTTGCCTTCTTTACCTGAATTTTGATCTTCACACATGAGATAGACTTGAGACAGTTGACCGCTGTCTTTCATAAGGATCAGCATCTTCACTCGATGTATCTATCACGTCCGCGACTACGCCAAGAAAGCGAAACACCACGCCAGCGGGTTCCCTTTCGAGAGCGAGGGATCTTCTTGACAACATCACGTGCATACCTCGGCAATTGATCGATTGCACCGCAGAACTCTGTAGAAGCCCCATGCCGGTGGGATTACCTTGGAACGAGGACATCACCAGCGCAGTGGAGTAAATCATACCACTGACCTTGACCACGGAGGAAGGACTACTCAGTCATATTGCGAGGATGTGGATTACTTTCCTCACCAGCACGCTGTGAAGTGACGGTTGTGGCGATTAGGTTTCTTACGCTGGGGTGGATCCGGGGAACGGTCGAGGTCGTCGGGATTACCAAGCAGTGTAAGCACCAGATACTCCCGCCCCATTCGGGCGTTCGCAGCCCTAAGCCCAAAAATGAACAAAAGCATCGCTCTTACCAAGCATTGCTGGCTAGACCATACGTCTTGGCGAGGCAGCTTGGTCGCTGGATTGACTGCTGTCAGCAGTTCAACGTGGTATACTCGTCCATACTCACAGTTCCAAGTGAGAGGCGTAGGCTGGCTAGCCGCTATCGATATCACGCCTCGTCTCTGGCCCAAACAGAAGTTCTATGAGCTTCGAACCGTTGTCTGTGCTTTCTGGTGTAAATGTTGTTGTACGATGCAGCCTGTTTGCCCATCGTCGTGCCATACACTCCCTGGTCGGTCGCAATAATGGATCAAGTGGGCCCTCTTCGATCAAACAGGTTATGATGGGCTGCCAACGCCAGACAGTTCCGTCTTGATTATGAACACGGAGTCTGGAATTCGCAGCTTAAGTAATTGTGTGATCGACATTGTTTGGTAGCAATGGAGAAGTACATAAAGCGGCCTGCGAGGGAGCTGGTCTCGCTGAACGACCGGAGGGCGTATCAGCCATCAACACTGAGATTTTATTAGTACTATCGTCCACCAAGCCAAAATGCGCCATCTTTGGCTCTTGCCAGCTGTTGCTGGTCTCGCGGGGGCTCAATGCCCATTTCTGTCTGGAGAAATGGGCACTCCCTCTCGCTTCACGGAGCGAGCCGACAACGCGGCCGACACCGTTGAGGTCGTCGAACAGCCCATTGACCAGACACTCTATCTCAATGACACGGACAGTTACATGACCACCGACTTTGGTACTCCCATCTCAGACCAATATAGTCTGAAGGCAGGAGCCAGAGGACCGACTCTTCTGGAGGATTTTATTTCCCGGCAGAAGCTGCAACGGTTCGACCATGAGCGGGTGCGTGCTATCCCCTGTGCTATCTTGCCTTCTGCGTGCGCCACTAACACCGATAACTTCCCGATAGGTTCCCGAACGAGTCGTCCATGCCCGAGGTGCAGGTGCCTATGGAACCTTCCGATCGTACGGTAACTGGTCCAACGTCACCGCCGCTGATTTTCTGAGCGCCGCCGACAAGGAGACGCCCATGTTCTGTCGCTTCTCCACCGTGGTCGGCTTCCGGGGCAGTGTTGACACGGCGCGGGATGTTCACGGTCACGCTTGTCGGTTCTACACGGACGAAGGCAACTATGGTATGTCTGAACACATCATTGACTCTGTATACGTAAGCCGAAGCCATTAGCTAACGTACGGGCCCCTGGTAGATATCGTCGGAGTCAACATCGCCCCTTTCTTCATCCAGGATGCTATTCAGTTCCCTGACCTCGTCCACGCCATCAAGCCCATGCCTCATAATGAGATCCCCCAGGCTGCAACAGCCCACACATCTGCCTGGGACTTCTTCAGCCAGCAGAGCACCGCTCTTCACAGTGCCCTGTGGGTGATGGCCGGACACGGAATCCCCCGGTCATACCGCCACATAAACGGCTACGGCGTGCACAGCTTCCGGTTTGTGACTGCTAACGGCACCACTAAGGTCATTCGCTACCGGTGGCGTTCGCTCCAGGGCGTTGCCAGTCTGGTGTGGGACGAAGCCCAAGCCACGGCGGGCAAGAACAGCGACTTCCACCGACAGGATCTGCACGATGCCATCCAGAACGGCCGGTACCCCAAGTGGGAGGTATGCCGCCCCCAAACCTTAATCTCGTGTCATCATACCTAACTCACCGTCCAGCTCGGCGCTCAAATCATGGATGAGTCCGACATGCTGCGCTTCGGATTCGACCTGCTCGATCCCACCAAGTTCGTGCCTGAAGAACTCGTCCCCTTCACTCCGCTGGGCGTAATGGAACTCAACGCCAACCCAACGAACTACTTCGCCGAAGTCGAACAAGTTGGCGTACGTCCTCTCCCCTTTCCTCTACCCATCTAATTCCCCATTCAACTGCCCAAACGCCTCAACCTCTACCCAGAATATAAACGTCCCGGGGAGAACCCCCGGAACCCCCCTTCCTTTCAACTTCCCAGGCCCCTCAAGCCAAACCCAGAAATAACAGCACCACCAGAACCAAAACAAACTAACGAATACCCAAGTTCCAACCAGGCCACGTCGTCCGCGGGATAGATTTCACCGAAGACCCCCTCCTACAAGGCCGGCTCTTCTCCTACCTAGATACACAGGTAAACCGCCACGGCGGGCCCAACTTCGAGCAACTCCCCGTGAACCGACCGCGCAAGCCAGTCCACAACAACAACCGCGACGGCTACGGGCAGCAGCAGATCCCGCTCAACAACTGGGCCTACACGCCCAACAGCATGGGGGCAAATACCTCTCCGCAGCAGGCCAACCAAACCACCGGCAACGGGTTCTTCACCTCGCCGTTCCGCGCGCTCACCGGCCATCTCGTGCGCGCGCCCAGCCCCACCTTTGCCGATCACTGGTCGCAGCCTGCGCTGTTCTATAACTCCCTGGTTCCTGCGGAGAAGCAGTTCCTTGTCAATGCGATTGTGTTTGAAAATTCGAAGGTGTCGAGTCCGCATGTTCGGGCGAATGTGGTTATGCAGCTTAACCGCGTGAGTCATGAGTTGGCGAGTCGCGTGGCCCGGGGCCTTGGGTTGGAGGTTCCGCAGCCTGAGGAGCGGTTTTACACGACTAATAAGACGGCGAATGTGGGTACGTTTGGGCACAGGTTGTTGAGCGTGGAGGGGCTGCAGGTCGGCTTTTTGGCGTCGAAGGATAGCAAGGAGTCCATTGCGCAGGGGGCCGAGTTGGCGAGGAAGCTTGCCGCGCATGGTGTCGATGTCTCGGTTGTTGCGGAGGTGTTTGCTGACGGGGTTAATGCCACGTATGCGACGTCCGATGCTACGAGCTTTGATGCGGTCGTGGTGGGTGATGGTATTGAGGGCTTGTTCGGCGCCGCGAATGCGACGGCCAAGGGCACTACGTTCTATCCTGTGGGACGGCCGTTGGATATTCTGGTGGATGCGTTCAGGTACGGAAAGCCCGTTGGCGCGATGGGGAGTGGCAAGGTGGCCTTGGGTCGTGCCGGTATTGAGCTGAGCAGGGAGGGAGTTTACGTTGGTGGCAATGCCACGGCAGGTGTGGATGCTTTGGCGAAGGATGTGTTGGAGGGGTTGTACACTTTCCGGTTCTTGGATCGGTTTGCCTTGGATGATATGTGAGGTGGTTGACTGGTGTTTGGCTGGTGCAATGCCGTAGTCACGTTGCTGTCGCTGTCCTGTCCAGTAAGTAAGAGAGGTGTAAGATACATGATATAGAAGGCATGTCGCTGACTGTCTTATGATAGAAAGATATATACAAATCAATCCATTCTCACCATTACAACTATTTAAAACAACTGAAAAAACTATTAACACGAACCTCAGAAGAGCAAAACGCACACAAACCACCCTTCATATATTTCACCGATCACCCCTTCATGCATTGAGCATGAAGAGCGTCACTGGGAAGTTCTCAAGTGTACTTCAATCGAGCCTCCGTCCACTCGGGTTGGTAGCCTAGCTTCGCGCCGTTCATATCGAAGCTCGTGCCCGACCCAGCATCAAACCCACTCTCGTAGGCACCGTAGCTGACAATCTCAATGTTCTCCAGAGCAGCGCCCGCGTCGGTCTGGGCCCACACACTGAGACCGATCGTGTTCTTCGATCGGTTGTTGATGATACCCGGGGGAACCGGGAATGTGGTCTGCGGCCCAAGCGCGGGAACGTATTTTCCGTACTGGTAGCCGTTGATGAAGAGCTGGATACGTACAGGGTTTATGGTAGATGGGGAAGTGAAGCGGATACCGAGAGGAACGTCGTAGCCCTTGGGCAGGTCGAGTGTGAATGTGGTCAAGTAAAATGCGACACCTGACTCTTAGTTAGTGTGCCTGACGTGGTATTATGGCGAGAACAGAGCAAGACAGAAGGATAGGGTCGAGACAATGAGTTTTAACTGCTTCGAAATGCAAGGGAAGTGGAACTTACCAGACTTGTTCAGCCCTTTAAGAGGGGAACCAGAAGTCCAACCGTCGGATGACTTGGCCTTGTATCCCGGAAGGTGCCAGCCCTGGCGCTCGGCTAGCAGTCCGCCTTCATTCATAGGGGCGCGGACAGGGTCCAGCTCATAAGCTCCTTTTGACTCGTGAGATTTTGTAGTTGTTTGTGGAGTCCCAGATGAAGACTTACCGGCACCTCCTCCCGCATTACCCTGAATCTTCCAGCTGGTGAAGTTCCCGCCATTGAGGGTGGCACCAAGCAGACCGCGGGGGTTTTCGACGCCCTTGGCAGTCGAGGTCTCATCGTGACCAGTGTAGTCGATCTATGTTACACTGATTAGCTTCATGCCATAGAGCTTTGACATAGGGAACTGTGAACCTACCACAACAGTAAGAAGGTTGTCTGTCGCCTTCAAAGTCTGGTTGCTAAAGTCCAAAGTCGCAGTCGATGATGTAGCCGAAGGGTCACCCGGCAGAGTAGCGACCAAGTTGCCATTCAACCAAACGTTCCAACCAAAGCCCACGCCTCCTTGGGCGGTTAGACTAGCACCAGTGACATTCGCGCCATCGAAGCGACCACGGTAAACCTTGATGCCAGCGTAGTATCCATAGTCAGATGCAAAGAGAACTGGCAGAGTGGATGGCTTGACGGGACTTAGTGTCGTTGTCTGGTTGCAGACAGTCCAATTCGAATCATCATAAGAAGACTCGAGCTCAGGAAGCGAGTTTTTGACCTTCCAGCCGCTCAGGGTGGGCAGTGAAACAGTGCCGGAGGGTCCACCGATGGATCCAACAAGACTACCATAGGCGGTCTTTGTCACCGAGATACGCTTACCGTTCCACTTTACAGTGTTGACAGCGGCGCCAGCAAAGACCTCAATAGATGTGGCATTGTCACTGTCTCCAATGAGATTGACGACACTTCCATCAACGAAGGCACTGCGAACAAGATAAGGCCCAATAACGAAGATATGCTGATCGGCGGTCACGTAGGGGTTCTTGGTGGTAGGAGGTGCCCAGAATTTGAAAGCCGTCTCCGTATCCAAAAGGTAGAAAATGATCTTGTTTGAAAATCTGACCACGCTCGTGCCGCTGGTTTGTGTATAGGTATAGGATGGTGTAGTCGAGTTGCTAGCACTGCGAGTCAGGTTGACAGAGGGACCGTATTCGGTGAAATTGAGACGACCCGAGTTCTTGAAAGCAAACGACGCAGTCTGACCCACCCTCGAGTATAGCACAACTACATCTGTATCACCGAAGGTTCCGTAGGTGGCAATGTCGGTAGACGCATACAAGAGGGTACTATGGCCCAGCGGATAGTCTGTGGATATGATCTTGCTTTGCCGTCCGTCAAGGTTAATATCGGTCAATGTGATATTTCCTGCCGAGGTCGTGACATCCAAGTCAAACGTGAGGGAGCTGCGTGAAGAGGATTTCGCCTGTTGGACTACGTAGAATCCGGCGTCCGATTTCGAGTCTCGAAGAGCCCATGTGTATGCTGATTCGCTGGACGTATAGCCTGTACCATTGCCCTCCATGTCTGCGGTTAGCAGACCAGTGGACACTCTCGTGTACAGTCCGATAAGCTTGGTTTGGCTCATTTTGTCTCGGACTTGTCTGCTCTCGCTCAAGGGGGCACTGTAGTCGTCTATATTTGGTCAGTATATGTCAGTTCAAAAACCGCGAGGTAGAGCTTACATGAAGTGTAGACAACTGGGGCTGCTAGATGACCCCAGTTTGTGCCACCAAAGGTCATGTAAATATTGTGGAGCGTCACCTTCTGACCGATGTTGTTCTTGTAATACACATCCGCAAACTGCGGGCTAAGTTCGCTCGTGCACGTGTCGTAGTTAGAAGAGGCTCCCCAGGCAGAGAACCACCCCCCTTCGAACTCGGGTAGGTACTCAGGCTGCGTGAAGCTGTATTTCTGGAACCACTGATAGTAGGTGCGGACGACATTGAACCCGGTAGCTTCGTTGGTACAGCTGAGTCCACCGGGATAGGAATCCAGACCGTACACGTTGACCGCGCCACCGACGTCTTGGTAGTCTGTGGACCAGCTCTGGGATCGCATTCCTTTCTCGTTGCTAGTGAAGGGAACATCCACGCCAGCAGCGCGGAAAGCATCCTCAAGCTTGATCATATACTGGACCAAAGTGTTGCTTGCGCTGTGTGTTGTTTCCTGCAGCTCGTTCTCGATCTGGTTGAGAATGACTGGTCCACCCTTAGTGATAGAGTTGGCGGCGATGATCTTGCCGATCTCTTCAACCCACGGTTTCCAGGCTGCCTCGTAGGTAGCGTCGCCCGTGCGCAACGAGCCCCCACTACCATCGCTCAGATAGAGAGCCAGACCACCTCCACTGACTTCAGCATTGGCATAGGGCCCGGGCCTGTCTCGTCGATCAACGCCTGCTTTTAAAAGCATGTTGTAAAAAGCTTACCGTGCAATAAGATAGATTCCCGCTTCCTGCGCATAGTCAAACAGGCGTTGCAGGTTATGCGCACCAGTCTCGAAGTCGAAAGTCCCGTTGGTAGGCGAGTGATAATTCCAAAAGAGGTAGATACTATCCACAGCGTTTCTTATGTTAGTTTGAAGTTATCATGATAGGGCTATGTGTACGCACCTAGCTGCGTTGAATCCATTGGCGCGCAACTTCTGAAAGACATCGAGCCACAATTCTGGGACCGGAAGTCTCGGGTAGTGGAACTCGCCGGAGAAGATGAAGAGTCGATTGCCGTTCACCGTCAGACTATAAGGATCCCAGGCAACCAGATCTGTTAACCCGTTGGTGGTTGCTTGGGTCCCTGTGAGCAAGCTCGCTCCAAGCAGCAAGGACGACCAGAGCTTCATAATGGGCGATGATGACGGCTGTCTAGTACTCAAAGTCTCTCATCTCCCCATGCTCTTAGGCCAGAGAATTTATAGCCACAGTCGCTCACCCGCTATTCATGGCATCATGGTGATGGCGGCATTGCCGAGATCGAGACGTAATTTCCTCCGGCTGGTGGTCTCATCCTGGTCAAGCAGGCTATAGCCCTCATGCAGAGCCTAGCTTTAATCTGGGGTGAGCGATTGGTGCAGACTGAGGCTAATCAAAATTAGATTGCGCAACGAGCGGGGAAAAGAGGGGTTCACGGAGAAATACACACCGAGAACAGGTTCTTCATATGCAGGAGGCGAGTTAGCTGATAATTGCGTGCAGTAGTCAGGGGATTCAGGGGTAGAGCCGCCGTTGAGCTGGGGTTTTTGCTGGCGAAGGAAAGATGGTTGTTGTTGGCGAAGGTGAGGAAGATGAACAATGGAAGAACCGGGGAAGAAGCGACGGCCGAGGCAGCAATAGTTGAATGCCTAAGGTGTCAACTTAAAGTAGACCAAGCTCCGGCGGGGGATCACATGATCTGCTCTTGTCCTGTCCTTTTTCGCTTCTTTCGTTATTCCTCTCCGACCAAGTACACCCCTGAGACAGCTTCAAGGATGTAATCCTCGTTCGCAAATACAGAGACACTCGTCTGCTTCTCTCATGCTGTCGACATGTCATGCTGATGGAGGACCTCTTCAGCCCGACTGTGACGATGAGACTCCTTCTCGTTGGTGGGAGACATCACTAGAACTGCAACAGAAGACCAACGGCCCAGCTGTTTCTCTACATCTCAATCTCAGTCGGTCGGGCAATCTCAGCTTGGCCCTTCATCCCAAGAGCATCATAGCCATGCCACACCGACCGACAGGAGATAGTGATTGATTTGAATCACGTGGTGATAAGATAACCTTAGCCTCGGCAATCCCCGCCGACGACGGAGTCTTGGCAGGCACCGACTCGTCCCCTGTTTGTATAGTTTCAACAACTTGGATTTACCTGCTGCACGTCAGATTGTTATTCTTCTGCAGCATTACCCAAATTGTCACTCATTTGTAGATGCCATGAGATATGAGTCATACAGAGATCAACTCTAGATGGCTTCACTGCTGGAAGTGACTTGATCTGTCCCTGCGGGGACTGAGCATTGAGAATATATTTTCCTCGGACTTGATATATTCATGAGAGATTCATGCGCAAGAAGATGAACTGACAACCCCGTATTCTTCGGATGCCAATCCTACTCACACCTATACCAAGGTCTAAACTAGTGTCGATTTCGGCTCCGACGGACAGCCGGATAAGCTTTCTCCCCGCTCTTAATCTCATCCCAGAGAGGAAATGATGGCCCTTTTCATTTCATCAGCGAGATCCTGCAGCCAGGGACCACTCTCCTAATAAGGCAGCTCCAATTCCTTCATGGGCATATTCGGGCCTATCGAAGAGGCTGAGCAATGATTCAAGCATCATGACTGGTTCTCAATATTCGCCCCCAATGCCACAACCAACAATCCCCGTACGGCAGGATTGGCTATGAAACAAGAGCGAGTCAGAAGCCGAGACAAACTCCACGACCCCTTTCATTCCCGCCGCTTATTTAATATTCAGCGCCGTCGCATAATCTTCAGATCTGAAGTCACACGAACCACGACTACACAACAATGCTTGTCAACATAGGTACCTTGGCGGGCCTTATCGCCCTGGGCCACGCGGCCGCCAGCGAGAAACGCGCCACCGAAGCGGCATCATACAGTTCCAACTCAGCGGGCAACTACAAGCTGTCATCCATCGCCGCCCCGGTGCAAGGCAACGGAAGCCCCGGCTCGGCATCAACCTGGAAGCTGACCGTAGACGACACCTCGTCGGGCCACCGGCAGACGATCAACGGCTTCGGCGCCGCAGTGACAGACGCGACCGTAACCTCCTTCAACACGCTCGACGCAACCACACTCCAAAAGCTTCTAAACGAGCTGATGACCACCGACGGCGCAAACTTCTCGCTGATGCGACACACGATCGGCGCATCCGACCTCTCCGGCGACCCCGCCTACACGTACGACGACAACAACAACGCAGCCGACCCCTCGCTGGGCGGCTTCAACCTGGGCGACCGCGGCACGGCAATGGCCAAGCTTCTCGCGAAGATGAAGACCCTGCAATCCAGTCTCAAGATCCTGGGTTCCTCGTGGAGCGCGCCGGGGTGGATGAAGCTCAACGGCGTCATCGACGGCAGCACGACCAACAACAACCTGAACGACGGGTATCTGACCAGCGGCGGAACGGGCAGCACGGGCTACGCGAGCGCCTTCGCGCAGTACTTCGTGAAGTACATCCAAGCGTACGCGAACTTAGGCGCCAAAGTCGACGCTATCACCATCCAGAACGAGCCGCTCAACAGCCAGGCTGGGTATCCCACCATGTACGTCTTCGACTACGAGTCGGCGGACCTGATCGAGAAATACGTAGGCCCTGCGCTTGCGCAGGCGGGCCTTGACACTAAAGTCTGGGCGTATGATCATAACACTGGTACGTGGTATCCCTCTTTCCTTTCTTCTCTCCCAGAACTACTGCGTTCAGAATCTGACAGAAGAAAGACGTCCCCTCCTACCCGCAAACAGTCCTCAACAGCGGCGCACGCAGCTACGTCCCCGCCGTCGCCTGGCACTGCTACGCGACCGACGTCAACTGGAAGGTACTATCGGACTTCCACGCCACGAACCCAGACACAGAGCAATACATGACGGAATGCTGGACGCCGGCGTCGGGCGCCTGGCACCAGGCGGCGGACTTCACGATGGGGCCGCTGCAGAACTACGCCGCGGGAGTCATGGCCTGGACGTTGGGCACCGACGCCAACGACGGACCGCATCTCTCGTCAGGCGGGTGCGCCAACTGCCACGGGCTCGTCACGGTCACCGGGTCCAGCAGCTACACGCTTAACACGGCGTACTACATGATGGCGCAGTTCAGCAAGTTCATGCCTGCTGGTGCGGTCGTGGTGGGTGGGACGGGGAGCTACACGTACGACAACGGCGGCGGGGTGCAGTCCGTTGCGTCGGTGAATCCGGATGGGTCGCGGACGGTCGTCATTCAGAACACGTTTGGAAATGATATCTATGTGACGGTTACGCTGGGTAGTGGGGGCGTGTGGAGTGGGAATGTGCCGAGTGAGTCGGTGACGACCTGGGTGTTGCCTGCGTAGGATTGTTTCACGTAGACCGGCTATCTCAAGCACGCAGAAACAATGGATTAGCCTTAACAGATAATGCACGACTTTCTCGATAAATTAAGGTCAGAGATCCCATCCACCTTGTCGGAACATAAATCTCGTGGGATCATGCGCCTTGGCCATCCGTTCTAACCGGGCCTGGTTCTCCGACCCGTAACTGGCGTACACATCCTGATAGTCCGCTGCGTCGTTCATGAACAGCGGATTCACACTATTTTATTACGATGTCATCAGTCTCTTAACCCCTAAGTAAATACCGGTCAAGCGAAGAGAAAATACTCACGACACGAGATCCACATCTCCCGCCTTTATGATTCTTAGGCTTCGATCCCCGCAGCGTGTCATTAAACACAAAATTAACCTGATCCGCAACCTTCCGCAAGTACCCGGGACACGCCTCGTTACAGTGCGAATTAATCCAAATGAGATTATTCTCAACCGAAAAAGCGATCGCCGTGGTCAGGGTTAAGGCCAAGCGCATTCCCGCCGCGCTCCTGCGAGACCCTAGCAATCCGCACCGAAAGCGGCTGGAGCCTGAACGTCCCAATCTGAATATCGATGTTGCGACTGGCATCGTTCTTAATGATGAACTGGTAGGTGGACCAGTGGGCCTCGAGCAGGGAGGACATGTTATGGGGGTTGAGGTTGGGGAAGGTGTTGACGCGGGCGGCGGCCTTGATACCGTAGATCTTGGCTCCGCCGGCCTGGTTAGCCAGGTCAGTGTAGGTTGTCGTCTTGGTGCCGTCGAGGAGGGCCTCGATGGCTTCCAGCCCCGCGCAGGCGCCCTCGCTGGGGGTGCTGCCGTCGTAGAAGAAGAAGAGCATCGGGTTGGAGATCAGCGCGCCGGGCAGCCCGGAGTCGAAGGTGGGGATCACCGCAGCTTTGGCGTCCGGATAGTCGCGGATGAACGTCGCCAGGGCTTCGAAGATGGCCTGCCGTTTGTCCGCCGTGTAGACCCGGATGCCGCCCCAGCCCTTGCCGCTGTCTTCCAGTGGGTGGGCTTGGAAGGTGGACCTGGTGACGATGCCGAATAGGTTGCCGCCGCCGCGGAGCGCCCACCACAGATCTGGGTGGCAGGTGCGGTTGGCGTTGACGATCGTCGCATTAAGGAGAACCACTTCGAAGTTGACGACGTTGTCGCAGGTTAAGCCCTGTCCGGGGTTAGCATTGCATTGCAAGCTTTTGGGGAACAGAAAGACGTGCATACGTATTGAGCAGAGTATTAGGACAATCTGCCACCGAGAGTGAAGCCAGTGACTCCGATATTGGCAAGTCGACCCCCGACAAGCACTTGATTGGTCTTCTCAGCCACGGCGTAGACATCTCCCCATCGAGCTCCAGGCCCGACGTCGAAGGTCTGGCCGTCAGGGTTTCCGGTGGTAGAAGATAGATTCTCGTGGTAGGAGATCTAGACGCCTTCTTTGGTGCTGGAGAATCCGACATTGAAATTATGACCACCCGATTTGAGTGCAAGGGGAGCGGATGCATGCTGGTTAAGCTGCTGCACCGCCACGGCGACTTGTTGCGCGTTGGCAGGGAAGAAGGCGCACGCTGGTCGATCCTCAGCGTTGACTCCGTTCCAGTACTCCGTTACCGTGTGGGTGTAGTAGGACTGGTTCTAGAAACTCTGACCAGCATCAGGCCCGGTGGGATCCTAGACGGTCAGTCGGGGGTAGGTTGTATGCAGATATTCGCAGTCTCGCGGCGAGGCCGGTTAGGGCTGTGCTCAGCAGCAGCGTTAACAACCGCATGCTGAAGAGTCAAGTCGCAAAAGCCATTTCTTGTGCTTGAACATCTTTGAGAGCAGGTGTTGGAAGTCTCAAGATAAAATATTGATGAATGCGACCGTCCTAGATCTGGGGCTAGCAGTCGCCGTATCGCGTATCCCACCAAGGACTGCACCAGACGGGATTCGGGCATAAAACTCTGGGTCGGCAGCCTTCCAACTGGGCACTTGAGCTATATGGCAAAGCTTATAGTCAGGGACCAACAGTACCAGGCAATGTCGATCTGTAGCGATGTTCACAAGCAGGGTTTGGCTGCTCATTTGCCGAGGTGGGTGAGTGGGTGCGTTTCGGATGGCGGGTTTTTGAGTCCCCCTGAAGGTGCCGCTCATCTCCGTGCGGTCATGCATCTCTCGTCCATGCTAAAACTGCACTGTGTATCTCTCGTTGAATCATCTATATCCTGTTTTCACCCTTGTCATTCGGCAACTGTTCGAAAACATTGCGTGGCTTGGGTGGTGCGCTCCGTTGCAAAAGCGGAACGGTATGGTGAATCACAGTCCAGCCAAGCATCAGTCAACATGAGCTCATTCGTAGTCTCGTTACTTCAGCTGAGACGATATGGACAAGAACTGGCGTTGGCGAATGCATTGGACAGAAGCCATGAACTGATGATGTTGAGTGACCCAGACCTGGAGTTTGCCTTGCCTGGGGGCTAGAATGCCATCGAAGAAGCCTCACGGGTCAGGGCTTGACACCATCGGGTTCCTGATAAGCAGAGGTAAGTTTACAACGCCGGTGCATAGCCTTGCATCCTTCAGCATCACCACCACGAATAAACGATTCTCACTCCTGGACCATCGAGCACGCAATCTTCAACGGTCTTGTAGACGACAACGACTTGACTTTCCGAGACCAGGGAGAAATCCCACGTCGCAACGCGGTGATTTTCACAAACCCATTGCCCAGCGGTGCAGGGGCTTGCTGTACGTTGCGCGCCACTCGCTCGAGGACATCCAGCCTCCTCAATCTCCATCACCTTCTGAGCTGTCAGAAACGCGACCGTGCTGTCACAGATGCCCTCGCGGCGAGGATACTGCTGGAGCAGTCGAAGTGCGCGGCGTCTGATGTTCGGCTCGCGACAGCGAACTGCTACCCAGAACAGAGGCTCGACGATCCCGGTTTCGAGACTATAAGCTGCCGTGGTGCCTTGGAAGTCCGGTTCATCACCCGAGTCGCCGAGTATACGTACAACACCGTTCACCATGTCCACGCAGTCTGCGACATGCAAATCAGTTTCGATCTCGCCCGGCGTGAGTTCAACGCAGTACCATAGTTCAGTAAGCTTTCGCCGGACCATCAGTAGATCCACTGCTTTCGAGTTTCGGAGTTCCGGTGTCTTTTGGAGCACAGTAGCCAATTGATCATCCCAAGCCTGCAGGAGTCGACCGTGCGCCTCTATTTCGGCGGGGGCAATAGAGCGATGACTCAAGCCTCGCTTGTTAAATCTCCAGACTAGTCGCACAACACCATTGTAGATAGCCTCGATCGACGTGTATGCCCCGAAGAGGGTGGTGAATGTAGCTTGCGTAAACAGCGGAGAGACTGGACGGTCTATCCACGCCTGGGTGTCGTCAGTTGCAAACATGTAAGGAATGACCTGCGAGTCGAGCCGGGTGAAGATCAGGACCAGCATACTGCCGGCAATATAGTCCTGACAGCTAGACACATTGCGGCAGTCTGCCTCCCACTCGAGGATGATCTTTAGCCCATTGCGAATATGCATGAAGGCCTGCTGCTGGCAGTTTTGCAAGGAGCACACGCAAGCGAATAAGGCACAAGTGGCTAGAACGACAATTCTCTCACTCATGCCCAGGTTTGGTTTGGAGCATAAATGTGTGAGGGATTGGATGGACTTGTTGTATTGCTTCAGGGCGAACTTCATGTTGCGAATCTCCCTTGCGCCTGGCGGAGTCAGGCGAGCATCATGGTTGAGGTAGTCGCGGTGAAGACACGCCAGAGCGGTCATGCCGTGCCACAGGGCGGGATAATGATGGGAGAACTGTAATAATTGCCGTGACCAGAACCCTGAATCAACGATTCCGGCCAGAGTTGACGTGGTCACCGACTGGAAAAACGAGAAATTGTCGAGTTCTGTAGAATCGTTGCAGACAAAGTCCCACGCTGACGGCATTGGCGCCAATCGCCTTGTAGTGTTGGACTGATCCAGCTGGGCGCGCATCTCGTAGCCATCACAGCGGCGCCCGGTCGATCCGCACTTGTGACAACTAAGGATGTTGGCTGAAAATCAGATGAGCTATACTCAAAAAATCAAGTGTGATAGATCGTATCTCTCACCTTGGCTTGGTCTCGTCACATTTGATTCGACGAATCCTATTCCGTGTGAGCCTATTTGCACGACACCAACGCCCACTGTGATGTTGGTTGGACAGTACCTGCAGGTGATACACCCTGTTTTCGCTCTCGGCGCCCATCGTCTCTGTCTTACTCGCCCCTTTCTGAGGATGTCTTTGTTGTGTTCTGGCGCTTTTGAATCCATTTTGGGATTATGCGACCCGTGTAACCCACCTGACCGTAGGAATGGCAAGGATGGGAATGGTGAAACACAAAGAAATGCAAGCTGGGTGTGACTCCCGGGGGAGTGGGCTGAAGATACGTGGCACGGAGCTGGGAGAATTGATCTTTATGTGGGGGGCACAAGGCCGATCTCCTAAGGCATCGGCCCATGTTAGTGTGCAGTAGTGAGAATGGCCGGCGACTAGCGGATGAGACCGTTGCTCGGCCGGGTGGAGATCTTCCGACCCCGGTTCATCAAGCTTCAAATTGAGACTGTGAGTCTCGTTTGGGTCGTTCATTTGTGTACATTTTGCAATGTAACGTGGAAGTCTTGTTTTCGCTGTTGCGGACTGTCAGCATGACACGGTAAGATTACCTCTGGTTGTTGGGAATAGCTCTCAAGGCTCGAAAAACAGATGGAGGACGATCTCTTTTGTCATCCTCCCGTGGCTAGGGCTGTTGGAGTAGGGTGTGAATGCAGGATTAGAGAGCAAAGGATTTTTGTAAGGCAGGGATAATTGTAGTGAATGGTACTCGATCGATGCAGGCAGGCTGTGCCTTGCTCCTTATACAGGGCTCAGGGCTACTACTAGGTACCTGATACTTAATCTTACCAACTACAGAGAGCCCAAAGCCGAGGGATCGGCGGTTAGACCCGAACCTTTCTTGCTTACTGATTGGTCGGTTCGCCAATGCTTACTGTCGCGTCACGGCCACACAGTTCCTTCCGACTGGGAGTATAGCCTCATTCGGAGAGAGGAAAGGTATAAAAGACATGTCTCTGGCAGCGACAAAAGATCCATCAGACTGAATATTCTCCATTCTTTGTTTCTCCTTCTTTAAGTATCATGGCTACTCTCAACTACACTCTGCCGATTGACTCATGGGTCTTGGTCACTGGAGCCAATGGCCACATTGCCTCCCAGGTTATCGACGCATTCCTCGCCAAAGGGTACAGAGTACGCGGCACTGTACGCTCGGAGAAGCCTTGGTTGGTGGAAGGGTTCCAAGCCAAATACGGCTTGGGTAGGTTTGAGACAGCGATAGTACCCCGGCTGGAAGATGAAGGGGCGCTGAATGGCTGCGTGCAAGACGTTGCTGGTATTGTCCATGTGGTAGGTAGCACTTCGAACCTGTTCTCCCTGGCAGCCTATGTTCAAAAGCTGATATGTTCTTTTCTATTGCATAGGCATCAAACATGTCCTACCGACCCAATCCAAGCGACGTGATTCCCGGGGTAGTGGCAGCAACCATGAACGTGATGACCGCGGCAAACAAGACCCCGTCCGTCAAGCGGGTAGTTCTTACCTCCTCGGTGGTTGCCGCCTTTCCGGTCCTGGATGATGCAGTTGGACTGGCGGACAAGACGGTAGACGCGAGTCAGACGGAACTCTCCTGTTGACACCCCGTATGGTCAAGACTGACAACCAATAGCCACCTGGAACACTGCAGCCGTAGCCGACGCATGGAATCCAGACACACCCGAACACATGAAACCCAGTGTGATCTATGCCGCGGCCAAAGTCGAGGCTGAGCGTGGTGCATGGACCTGGATGGAGGAGCACAAGCCGCATTTCATCCTCAACACTGTCCTCCCCAATATGAACGTACGTGAATTATCAGGCTATCTTCGATGACAGCCTCTGGCTTGAGGCTCACTGATTATTTTCAGTTTGGCAAAATACTTTTTCCTGAGCACCAAGGTTCCGCAATGCGTTTTACACGCATGATGCTGGATGGAAACGAGTTGATTATGAGAGTGGCTCGACCACGTAAGGACTATGAACACCATCTCTCCTCTGGCTAGACTGCTATGCTGACAGACAGGATGATTGGCAGAATGGTATGTCGACGTCGAGGACACGGCGCGGCTTCACGTCGTAGGGCTACTCGACCCGAACGTGCAGTCCGAACGGCTTTTTGCTTGCGCAGCTCCATTCGCCTGGGCTGACGTGGTGCAGATCTTGCGTGAGCTCCAGCCACAAAACACCCAAATTCCCGATGCACTTGGTGAGGTGCAAGAGAAATTTCACGTTGTGGCTTCAGCCCGAGCCGAGCAACTCCTGCGAGCCTTCTACGGTAAGGACAGATGGACCCCACTAAAGGAGTCATTGGCGAAGGGCATTGAGGGATAGGGACTTGTGTACGTGTGATGGAAGTTCTGACTTTCAGTGGATAAGTTCCTGCAAGTTTATGCTTTGCTAGAATATGAAATTCCTTTATAGTCTTGACTCGGGAGTAATTCTCCTGGAAAGGTTCCATTTTCTTCGGACGCAAACAAAGAAGAGCAATACCAAAAAATGTAGATTCGAAAGAACTCGGAGATTTCCTACTTCTTGCCGCATCTTCAATCTCATCTCAGCGGAGTACTTAAGCATGGTGATCGTCTTCGGTCGAATTGATCCTGCTTCTCCTCTAGCTCAAACCGGCGCGGCCCTTTGCGTACGACAAACCATCGGAAAGCTCTGCAATTGCGTGTTAGCAGAATTTGGCCAAACTACCTTGATTACCAATTCCAACATGTCGGCGGCTCCCCTTTTCGGCGCTCCTAAGCCTAAGCAAACTACTGTTGCTTTTGGCATGGAGTCTGCGTCGACTTCTAAGGCACCGACTCCGGCTGTTGTTCCCAACGACAAGAAGGAGCCTACCTCAATTCTGAAGCCATCGTCTCCTTCTCCTGTCAATCCCAAGTCAAAGTCTGGCTCAGATCTCATTGAATCGTCTCACCCTTGCACTCAGGAGACGGAGCGAACGGGGGTAGACGAAATGATGACCATTTGCAAAGCTCTTATCTACTTTGTCATGATTCAGCTCCTGCTAATGATTGCTACAGCAGTCATTCTGTGGCTGGCCTGGAGGTCTTGGGTTCTGTACACCGAGCCTAAGCCATTTTGCACCACTTTTGAAAGCCGAATGTGGGTCGCGCTCGGGTTTTGCCTTTTCCCCCTAGTCGTCATTATCTTTGTCGGAATTTGTATGATGATCTCCAGCTTTTAGCCGTCAAAACCCCCAGTCATGCACTATTCCTGGCATGGCTCGTCTCCGGCCGCCTGCGAAGATTTGGGGCTCTTTTTTTTATTCGAATCTGTGAAATTTGCAAAATCAGAGAAAGAAAAAAAATTGATTAGTGAATGAACTTTTCGTTACCATTATGCGTGTTCTTGTGCATGCAATGCTTCTGTAAACTGTGTCCGGTGGATGGTCATCCATCGTTTGGGGGGTAGGATTAAGATGAGGTTCCGTTTTATGTGGTTGTTGCACATTCAAAGTAAATCTTCTCAGAGCCTAGCGATATCCCCATTACATAGGAACGGCTTACTGCCTGCGTTGTGACGACGGCAAGCAGCATAATCCCGCCGCGACAAGACCGGTCTCAATGAGCTGTTGGCCTGGAAGTTGAGCGGTAATAATGATCCCACCAACGCTGCTGTTTACAACACTGCTTGCTGCATACGAACTACTGTATATCTATGTTATCATCACCTGATCAATATGTCAGTCACGAGAAATTGTAATGTAAGGTAAGTACTGTATTTTGAGCCTTCAAGCTTGGCGCCGATTAGTGCTTATCTCAGATTTTAGCAGCCAATGTTTATACCGGCTACAGGTTCCACTCGAGAATAGATCGGCTATTATTACAGGAGAACTAGACTAATTCGAGAGATGCGTCGCAAATCACTCTGTCTGGAAAGCTGTCAACCGAACATCACACGCTCGACTCCTCCTCGTCAACGCCTCACGTCTCCCCGTAATATTAGGATCCAGAAAAGGCTTCTCGCCCAGCCCGACCACGCACTGGCCGGTCCTCGGTCCAGAATCCCCATAATCCGGGGTTGCAGCATGGTACACTTCATCAAATAGCAAGAAGTCAAGGCCAGAAAAACTTACCCAAATCATTCGGATTCTGCCACCGCAACCGAACCTGCAGATCATGATTCTCAACAATCAGCTGCACAAACCAATCCAGCAGATGCCGAGTCTCCTCCTCCGTCAACCCGTCAATCTTCTGCACATGGTGGCCGACCGCGAAGATACTCTTCCACACGGTCACCGGGTTCGTGCGAATCACGGGGTGCGTGGCCTGCAACACATCGCCGACGTTCTCAGGCGCCCGCTTCCCCCCCCCCCGGCGGCCCAACGAAGACGTCAAACCCGTGTGTTCTTCGCGATCTCGTTGGACCCCGGTTGCGCATACGTGGCTGTCGGTCCCTCCAAGGATTTCTGGTATCACTCGGAAAGCCGGTCGTAGAGTTCGTAGCCGGATGCTCAGAGCGTGTCTGAGGCATATCAGTCCACGCCACGATTGTTCCGAGTACAAGGTTCAAGCTAAATTACCTCCACCTGTCCGCGGCAGCTCCGTCAATCGCAGGATAGTATAGTCGCTTGGGATTCGCTCGAAGGTGATATCAGTGTGTCATTCGCGCTTGTTATTCTGCGCTTTTCAAACCCTTTGAATAGCTTCTGACGCGCCCGCAAGCTAATCACACTACTCTCGTCGTCCTTATTGCCGTGTTCGCGGCCTGCGTTGATGGTCGGGTGGATGTGCAGCCCGGTGGTGGCGGGCTTGCCTGACAGTTTGCCAAGGCGCTGCACGAGTTCTTTCTGGAGGTCGTTGTCCAGGTCGTCCTGTTTCCGGAAGAAGACAACGCTAGGCTGGGATACTCTCATGATAGTTTGATTAGAGTGAGTCGAGAGGGCAGATGGGGATACGGGCGTTCAGGTACCGGTGAGGGCAAGTTCTCTCAGCAATTCATCAAATTACGGAGCACGGAGCCACTCCTATAGGTTGGTATTGCTGAACTCGCGGCAGATGATAGGAGTCACATCGAAGGAGTCGAAAGACTCGAGGACGCCGGTTGACTTGAGAGGTTCTCGTTGCGGTGGCTTTGCGACCACGGGGACCACACGGGCGGCAGCTTCGGTAAGTGATGGGGCCATCGTGAGATTCCGTCGTCGATACAGAATTTGCTTTCTCTAGGTAAGTGTATAGCGAAGGCTGTACAGGAGACGGGGAAATATGGATCTTTTATAGATCGTGTCGCTCCTCAACCTGCTCATTCGCTTAAGCCCTTATCTTGTGTATAGAGCGTAGAATATCGCCATGTACCCCCCCCCCCAGGACCCTTATGTCGCTCCATTATCGCGATATCATTATTACCTTGGCTTGTTACTGTGTGAAACAGTGGATTCTGAGTTGGTGATTTCGACGCGATCCTGCCTCCGGATAATGCCATATTTCGCCATGGACGGCTTATCGCGGACGCCCGATGAGTCAATACAAGAGTTCGGTCACGCAAATTCTCTTACACCAAAAAAATATTCAGCTAAAGCTGTCTGTCATCTTGAGTGAGATTTGTGCGTAAATGGATAGATAAGTATGGCATGTTGACGACTACGCCTACTGATTTGGGATTTGGCTCTCGTCTTGAAGTTTCCAGAAAAGTGCCCGAGGTAAGGATATATTGTAGCTTCCATGAGCAGACCTGGAAAATTAAGGCCTGCGAGCAATGTTTAGCTCACTGTTCTTCAGTTTCACCCGTCGCACAAGCTATGAAGAATGACCTTGCACCAGAACAAATTACTATGTGTTAGTTCTGGATCTGTTTCAAGAAGTTATCGAATACTACCGCTAAAGGTCAGTCCTATAATCAAGCAGTGTTATCATGCTATTTCAAAAATGCCTTGGGATTTTTCAAACTCAGATATAAAAAACATAATTTCCATGGATCCAAGTAGATTTCCCATTTAAATCCGGAAATATGTGACTGACCGATACATGAACGTCACAGAGCAAGACAAGATATAACAAATCAGTCGCTTCAAAAATTGCAACGGGCTCAGCAAGGTCCCATATACCGCCTTCTTTGGTTTTAGTAACCTACCAAGGATAACCCAATGACGTTCATATACTTTAATTACAATGATAAGCTGCACAAACATAAGAAATAACAACAAACAGAATGTCATCTTTTCAAGACGTTCGGGTTCGGATCAACTGAAATTGACAAAGCCCATACTCAATTAGTAGACTTGACCATATAATACGGTGCACCGACTCGGTTATAAATCTTCACTTCGCGGGGCTTGATGAACATCGGCTCGGTCACGGCCAAGTAATCATGGTAGTACGGCTTTTTGATTTGGACCTATTTTATGTAAACCATTAGTTCTTCGTGTCTTGTCGCATGACGACTGGTCATCTCGTAGCAACGATCCATAAAAGCGTACCTCAAAAAGCCATTCCAAGGATTGAGACCTTTGAAAATGTTAGTCTCATTCTCCCCAGTATGTGAGTGAAACAGCATACCAATTCTCGACCCAGGACAAAGTTCCCGGGTTCTCTGGCGACTGGTAGATCTCGAAGAAGGTGCACTCTGGTTCGGCGATGACTTTCTCGTAGACTGGGTGCATTGCTTCCCAGAACTTGGGCAGGTTCTCGGGACTGATGTGGACGGTGACGTGCAGGGAAATACCCGCGCTTGGGGAGGCCATTTTGAGCTTGCGTTATGGTTCGATTAACGGGCTTGGGGATTGCTGGATAAAATTAAATCGTGCTTGCCTGATATAGTTCGCTTGAGCGTGATCTGGACATTGTTATATCCTTAAATCTGGACATTGAGCATTGGCCATGCACTAAAATCTGACGCGCAATAGCTAATTTGTCATCATCAATGAATTATTAGTCAACTAAGTTGTTAACTAAAATCTGATTGGTAAGGCCAGATCTTCCTGCAACTGCTATTAGCACCTGAAGCATGGTAAGGAAGCTATAGGCTGGGGTGACGCATGATTGGATTAGATGCGAATGCACGTCAGACAACACCACAGAGCTGATTGAATGGGCCAATTGATCTCGAGTTAACTTCGGACTTAAACCTCGAAGTGTAGATGGTACCGCACTGTACAGTACAAGAATGGCTTGTGTGCGGCTGGAAATAGCGTCCAAGGCTAATCATGATGTACATTTTGATAGTAAGAGCAGTACAAGCCTTTAACAGAGCCTCAAACGGCCTCAAATCCCGAAAGACCGATTCGCTCAGCCTCATCAAGTTTCCCCTGGGCTGTTGATCTGCAGCAGGCATTCGAAGAATATACAACGGTAATATCAAGAGACTTAGGCAAGATTTGATTAATACCTAATCTGCTCTCTTTATTGACCCAGAAGGTGTGTAATTTCATGTGCCGCTTGTTTGCTGAAGCAGATTTGGAGTTGTAAAAGACCCCCAAGGCAACGATTCCATCCGCCGGAGCATGGTGGAAAAACCTATGAATTTGCAATATGCCTTACTCAAATAGGCCCACCGGAGTCAAAGAAGATCGTTTCGCCACCATTTCCACAAACTCATCTATCGGCATCGGCGACAGAATCTCCATCGTCTGGGCACTTGAGCACAGATGTACACCAATCCAGTTTCGCAGCTCGACGGCAGCCAAGGTATCCGTACCCAGATCAGAGAGTGACCGGCACCTCTGCACATTTTCCTGGGATAAGCCCAATAACTTAACGAGCTTCCTCTCGAAGAGCTCCCGAAAGACGCGGCTTGCCTCCTTGCGGTCCTGAACTTTGGGAACAGCTGTTCTGGCTTCTTCAGTGGACAGCGTTGGGGTCCTTTGGACTTCAGCTCCGTCCGGCTTTACTTTTGCGGTAATAATATGACTAAACTTTGGATGGTGGAAGATTGAGCAAAGATGGTCGTTTACGTCAATCTGGGTGTCGCGAGACCCAAGAATGAACAGGCTAGCCACGGGTGTTCTGTGCGGATGTCGGATGATCTGTTCGAGGAGGTTGAGGAGCTCTGAAAGCCCAATGCCTTCGTAGCCCTGCGTGTAGAGAAATTGGCGAGGGTCTTGGAATGCGTTCCTGGCGGCGTAACTAGCGAGCATATCGGTCCCCAGTAGCCCGTATATACCTGACAGCTGAATAAAGAAGTCCAGTTCACTGTCTCCTCCAAACTGCTTAGATAGATTGATCGTACCGTGGCCATTGACATCAAGACCGAAGTGGTAGTCTTCGCAAGTCATTTCTCGTATTGGTACTTCCTAATTAAAAGTGTCAGATAGACTCCAGCGGCGACAATAAAACCAGAGTATACTACCTCAAGTCAATCCTACATAAGTGGAACGATGAGGCGGCCCGGAAAATCCTGTCGAGCACGGCACAGGTGATGAGCCCGCACTCACGGCTGTTGAGCAATGAGATGGGGCTGGCAGAGATGGGCGAAACGCTGGCGCGAGCGGATATGGACATGTTGAAATGGAGCGGACGAGGCGACAGTGGGAGGAGTTATTGGGCCGTGTCGAGCCGCCCTTGCAAATTGTGGCGGTATGGCCGGGGGCAGGAGCTGATCCACAATGCGTCATTAAAACTTGTTTGGTCAGGCCCTATGGTCATGAGTGAGGTTTCTAGATATAGAAGGTGTCGTTTAGGTCCTGTTCTAGATTGGAGATGGGTTATCCTTCTCAAGGACTACAGGCCAGCAGTCGTGGTAGTTCTATATAGATGCTGGGTTTCCAGGCGACTCCTCCGCCAACATCAAACGGTTAATTCATTCTACTTATATATCGTAGTTTCAAGGTGATTGCTGTTGCGAACAATGACTCGTCAGTGGTTGTGACTGTAGGCTGTGATTTCGGAGTCTAATCTATCTCCTTCGGGAAGCTGCTGCATGCACATTAACCTATACAGCGGGAATTGTGAGAAAGCCACAACCCAGACTCCAACAACGCATCACAACTGATTGAGAACTGCCTCGTTAATGTCCTCCGTGTGCTACGGTGAGCGAAGGTATCCGCAGATCGTGGCTTCAGCAAGTTAGGTCTTTCCATATCAGCTGACCCAGCTTGCTGTAAACTGCCTCTTCATACTGAACGCGACTCTCAAAAAGAAATACATTGGAAAAGGGAGAAAAGTAAAAAACATACAACAGAAGGGATTCGCTGGTGGTCACCCACCCAACTACTAACCTCCCGGCGTGTGGCTTAAGTACGGCTGAGCGGACGGGAAGCCCTGTTTTCCACACCCTGTGGTCGTATGTATTGAAAACACAGCAGGTTGTCTCTATAATGAGCGCAAGTTTTGCTTGTTCTATGCAATCAGAAGGTCATCCCAAGGCTTGGGTGAAAGTTGAATGAGAGCAAAGGCAGATTTGACCGGGTTAAGATTCGTATGGTCCGTTTCATTGATTTCGTGTTTTCTTTGTAATGCGTTATATTAAAGACCGGCAGATAGGGGAAGAAGCCCAGTGTAGTGCATAGAGCAGTATTATATCCCACAACACCTCCAGGGCTCATGCTGGTGCGCATGATGAACCGCTAACGCATCCCATAACACCGCAGTCACCCCGCATGGCTTACCATTGAACTTGCGGACAGGACACAAATACTCGTTCTGCGCATTCCGCTGGTGGTGTTAGTAGGAGTAGTTCAGCATGCAAATGGGAACTTCTCTCTAAGGCTAAGGAGGATCCAGTTCACCCAGAGCGAAGGAAGCATGGTCCAGCCATCCAAAGGTCGCCCACGGAGTCATGGCTCACCATGGCTCACCACATTGCTGTGCTTTTCTACTGAGTAGCTTTGATGCACAATGAGTTATTTTTCGTTTCACATTGACCCGGATGGGCTGGGGTATGGGGCAACTTATAAACTCGAACTACATGCTGCTGTGTCTAAAAGCTCCGAGTGCGGCGGATGACCGAAGACGGAGACAGCCGTGAGTCTTCCTGGCGGGACGAGAAGCGTGGGGAGTGTGGGGTATCTAGTGATGAAGGAAAGATGAAACGGGCACCTGGATCAAAGGATACCATCTGATAAAGCTCGTACGTACGTATTTAAGCCGGAATCAGACCATTTTTCCCGGCTCGACGGGCTGGGGAGTAGGACTTGATTTGGTGCCAAACCCAATAGCAATGTGCCGGCATGATCATTATACGGGGAGAAAAGCAACTGCTGCCGTTCAAAATATCGTAAGAACCTTGATCAACTGGGACACGGAGATTATGGCTCGGAATAAGGTTCCCTAAGTAGTCAATACAGCCGCTCACTTAATACCAAACAGGACAATTGTGAGAGTCCACTGATCATTCAAGCCTGTTTCAATTGTGCACAAGAGGCTATATCGGAATTTTGATCTTACTAGATATATCTTGATCTTACTAGATATATCTAGAACTTACTGGCTTCCAGGTCGACCATATGGCATCGGCCAAGGCAATAACCAAGTTAGGTATTCAGGGGGAAACTGTTCCTGATACAGGCAGAGAAATGCGAATTGAGTAACTGTAATGAAGTACGTTAATTCTGTACTTAGCAATTGAGGGATGTTATCGATAATAGAAAGAACTAGACATCAGCTAGTTCGCCAAGGAATAAAGTTAATCTCTATTAGCTTTAAAATACCTTTTTGGATTATGCTAAGGACCGGGTAGTCGGTGAGGTATAGTCTGTTAGTACTTCATGGTCATAGGTTCTATTTAACATCTAAACCTGGTGGTTTATTCGTCAGACTTTTTTTTGGAGTGTTAAGACACGGGAGTATGCAAGAAGAAGAAAGGAAAATGTGGGGTGCATCATCCATGATCCGAATACGGGCCTCATCGATGGCAACGATAAAATCTACCACTAGACCAATGATGCTTCGATGAAGTGTTATCAGTAGTCTTTGCTTTATTGAGAAAGAAAGCCCTCCCCTCACAATAGCCGATTGACCTGGTCCCGCAGAAATCAATACTCAATAGGTAGGCACCATGCATTTTTCGATAGTGTGTGGTAGTGTGTGGTTATCTACTAGACCACAGCCAAGTAATACTGCAGGACAAATTATTATGGTAGGACGATTTGTCTCTTGAAGAAAGGGCATGGCACGATTCAAGACATTCTTGATTATCCACACTCGACTCTGTACTGCAACTGCAATCTTGATTATTTCTACCCGCGAGGATATTCCCAATGTTGCGGAGGAAATACATGAATACCATAGGGAAGAAATATACCCATATCTCTACCATTACCGCTTCTTACTGAACGGGGGGATTCTAGGGACGTGCCTGCCGAACTTCCCGAACCACCGCACCGCGCGATAGTATAGATGAGCACAATTGACGCAGTTCCAATGACTATTAAGGCGATGCCACGGCGTCGTCACCCCGTGACACATGTCCATCATATCCTGCTTGAAACGCACATCGATGGCCTTCTTCGATGGTGCGTGGTCGAAGCGCCCCTGCTCCTTGTAATTGCGGTATCCAAAGTCGTGGCGCAGACAGCTGTCGTGGAAGTTGAAGCCCAGCGGGTAGTCCACCGAGGCTGAACAACCGTCATCCGTCCAGTCGAGCCAGGGGGGTCGCCCGTGCGCGTCGCGCTTGTAGGTCAGAAACTCCTGTAGTGTGGCATCGAAGAGCAGGTAATCCGTGCACGTCTCCTTTTGCTGCTGCGTTGGGCGGGATACCCCGCAAGTGGCGGCTTTGGTAACACACTTTTAGCCCTGGTCTGTTGAATTATCCCATAGTCCCTTGACATGCAGACATACCTCGGGCAGCCGGGTTAGTTTGTTTTTTAGGAGCCATGTGGTTAACCTGTTGTTGAATCCCGATTCACAAATTCAAGAAAAATGTACGACGCAACGTGAGTATCTAGGGTATGTGAGATTGGGTCTCGCGGGAACGGACACCACAATATATCATACAACCCTGGCTAGAAAGTTTGAACACGAGAGATATGTCTAGGCCTACACGGGGATAGAATGATCGAGATTCGTAAATTAGGTTCGAGAGGGTTCCAACATTTATGGCAGAAAGAGCCTTGCTGAACCGCAACCGGTACATAGAACAAAGAGAGACTGAAGTTGCTCGGGTGCGCCCGTATTCGGAGTGGGGATTCGACATGCCCTGCTTCCACGGCACGCGGGTCGCATCCTGCACAACAAACGCACCTGCTTTAACCTCAAGTCCGATCCACCGCGGTCATGAACGCGATTCCACTTGGTCAGAGTGAGCATACCAGCTAGGATTAGAACTTCGGCTAGACAGGGCTTGGCGCCTTTGATTGAGAGCGGCCTCAAGCTCCCCACTCCCTCTCGCTACATGATACAGGGGCTCTTGCGCTGACGCAGCTGCCAGGATCGAACGACAAGTCAAGACCCATTCGCAGCTAATCAGAGCCACATAGAGTACAGTACAGTACATACATTCCAGTTATTATTATCAGACCGGACAAACTAACGACTATGCTCCAACACTCCCAACCCCTTCTGCCGAACAAGGTCCAAAGCCGCCCGCAGCCATGCAACCACCGCGGCATGTCCAGGCTGATACCGCAGACTGTCGATCACGATCCCCAGCGCCGGGGTAACCGATAGCGGTCCCGCCAGCAGAAATCCATCCTGCATCAGGTACTCGACCGATTGACAGACATTCTTAGCCATGGAGATATACTCCCTCCGATGACCGAGGGCTCTAAGCGGTCCCACTGGCTTATTAGCTGGTAGCATCCAGCAATCCGGAAACATGCCATTGTACAGATTACACAAACCCGACCACAGCAAGACCCGCACCGCCCACAGCAGGATGAGCGTCGCTGCGGTTTCGAAGTCTGCAAAATGAAAGACAAAGGGGAAGAGGTTCTCACAATGCCCAGCTGTCGACCGAGCGGGATAGCTTGAGGCAACTGGCCAGTAGAGCAGGTCCGACCTGCCATCCTGCATCGCCGCGTAGATCGTGTCCAGCTGCTCGTCGATTTGCCAGCATTCCGCGATCAGCTGGAAACAAGCCTCTGCTTGTTGGTTGGGGCTGAGACTGGGTAAGAGAAAGACCCGTTGGAGAATCCCCGGCGCCTGCGCGAGACAATCGACGACCTGCGTGAAGGAGGTTTTCGGGGTTTGACCCCAGGGTTGATTCATCCACGGAGAGTCGAAGAGAAAACTTGAAGAGTGGTTCTCCAGAGCGTATATTATCTGTGGTTGAGGAGGTGAGTTTTCGGACGACATTCATGTGATTTGTCGGCGCGTGGTCCAGCTAGCAAGAAATTCACTCACCCCTGGAATTCGGACACCGAGGAACAATTGGTGACCGGGCCCGGAGCAGTGGGCTTCAATCCCACGCGCTTCCACCAAGGCAAGAAGGCCCTGGCAGTGCCCGAAATACCCCTCTGACCCGGCATTCGGGCATTCCATTGCCTCATACAGACTGAGAGCCATGCAAGCAGCCAAAGTTGCATCGTCCTGGGCAAGCCTGCGATTCCATAGCGCATGCTGCAGTTGCTGGAGTCCTCGAGTGTAGAGGCTGTGGCTGTAGTGGACCAATGCCGGGTTGTTGAATTTGTGTCCCACCGCTGCGGCTGCGAGGGCGGCACTACTTACTTCCAGGGCTTTAATTTCTGTGGGTAGGCCTGCCAGAAGTGTGATCCACGATCTGGAAGGGGATGTAGACCACTCCGCTGGAAAACAATTGGCGAGAAAAGACAAGACCAGGTTATGGCTCTCATTCTGCCTCTGGAGCAGCTTGTAAGCTGGTGCTCTCTCCGTAAATGAGTAGAGTGCTTGATCGTCCCCAGCAGGTGCCGGTGTCAGTGTCTCGACGGAGCTCGGAGGAATCTCAGTTGGTGACTCTGACGGCGAGGGAGAAGATTTGAGATAGACGTGTTTCTTCTTCGCCCCTGGCTGTATCATGACAAAAACCCTGTTCCGCTCATACCCGCCACACACTCGATTCGATCGAGTGCATCGAGCACATGCCGGCCTTTGCTGGTCGCACTAATTTGAGGCATTTAGTGTTCAGATAAGCGACAGGGTGAGGGGGCGGATTATGCATCTACCGCAATTTTCCGTGCTCGACAGGTGTTGCAACCCTTGGACTTTCCGGCGACTCCAACCATGCTTCCCGAGTGGGGCCTGGATTGCCCCGTAAGTCTGCCCTCAGTCGGTTTAAGACAAGGTGAAATTTTTTTGATCCGAGATGGCTGAGGTGACCCAAGTCAGTGGAGAAGACTGAGGCTTATTCGTAACTATACAAGAGTGAGATTAGTCCTAAATAGGCTGCATCTTGCGTGCCATGAGGTTTCCAAGATCGACGGCCAGGGGAGTTGATTTGGGGCTGAGTCAATGCCCAAGAGGGAAAAATTGGGGCGATATGGATGACTAACATCACCGCTAGTCCAAAAAGGGGGTTCATCTTGCGAGAGGCTGAGCTTATCCCCAACATCCTAAAAGCCCTACATCGCATTATCACAGCTTGAAGAAATTGTATATAATGGGGAGAAGTGGTCCAGAAAAATGGGTAATCATACGAATAGTCCTCGATTGACATTGTCTCGGCCCTTCTCCGACTTCAGGATTCAAAAATTCACTGAACATCTTCTCATCTCCCAATCGCCTCCAATATTACCTGTGCCGGTTCGATTCTTCATATATGTACCCGCAGCAGTCGAACGCGCCCATCATGTTCAACGACCACTCCAAAGCCAGCATCGCACAGATCATCTTCTATATCCCTGTTATTTTCATATCAGCATACCACGCATACTACCGTCACAAGCGGCCGCGTATGTCATGGCTGATTATACTCTTCTTCTCCCTCAGTAAATTTTCCAAACATCCTCGGACTCAGCGCATGCTATAAGCGAATGATCAATCTGACATATTTCGCAGTTCGAGTTGCTGCGGGCAGTCTGGTGATTTTGTTTGAGCACAAGCCCCAAACTGGCATCATGGTCGCCTCGATCATCCTGCTCAATACGGGCGTGTTTCCCTTGATCGCCGCAACCCTGGGATTCATCCGCATCATCCTGGCACACGAGAAGGAGGTAATCAACCCACGAATCAACCGCTGTCTGATGTTCTCGCGCATGCTGTTCTTTGTGGGGTTAGGCCTGCAGATTGCCGGTGGGTGCCTTGAGGGCAGTGATAGTGCCAGCGACATCGCGACGGGGGTGAAACTCGTCAAGGCCGGATATAGTATTGTTGTGGTTTTCGAAGCCTGTCTACTCCTCGTGCAGGCGTATTTCTGGATGCATCTCCCGGATCTCTCGCACATAAGCTATACTGTGAGTTCCTGTCTTTGTGAGAACCGCCAACTGCGTCCTCCAACTGAGCTGACCGTTCTATCGCAGATTCTCAAGGCGATGGCTCTGGCCCTACCCTTTCTCATTGTGCGCATCACCTATTTGTTTCTCTCGGTGTTCCATGCCAGCGATCTCCGATGGAACGATCTTGCCGGCCCGATCACTCCGTTTGTCCTCATGGGACTGTTAATGGAGTATGCCGTGGTTTGGATATACCTTGGCACGGGATTTATCATTCCTAGCTGGAAAGACATGAAGGGGGACCGGGTCGTTTCAATTACCAGATCTCCTTTGGTGGAACAAGTCTGAGGTAAAGACTGCCTCTGAGAGCGAGAGGCACTGTGCCAGTGATTGTCCATTTTCATTTGGCATGGATACATCATGTAAATCTATACCCCTCAACAAACAAATATAATGCCTGAAGAGATGAGATCTTGGACAAGATTTTGCAAATGACTTGTGCTTCTGCCCTGGTACCATTTCCTGAAGTAGTCTAGGGTCCTTATTTATCCCTTGACGGTGATGTAAGATCTATAAATTGAGTGAGGGGGTGCTGGTTGCCACTGTGGCGAGTGTCGTTAGGGTCACGGTTTGGAACATCGAAACGAACACGGGGACAAGATACAGATACCTACCCATGACAGTTCAGGACGGACCAGTAATGGCCCGGCTGCTATTATGTTGCACATCTTTTCGTCAGCTGAGTCACGTCAATGCAATACTAGGAGAAAGTTGACCTAGAATGTCGAGTTTTGCTCCTCGCCTTCTTTCTACTAATACTAGCACAAGCGGTGAAAATAGAAAACTCCCTGGAGATTAAACCATAAGTGTACGGTGTATATCATGAGTCTCTCACAGCTGCGCTCTTGCTAAACGGGAAGGATCTGGTGTATCGAAAAGTCGACCTCGAGATTGTGGTCCTTCACTGAACATTATGGGCGGTAGAGGTTACTTCTGGAGTATCTTTTGGGAAGATGGGATACCCTCCAGGTTGATGAGAATGGCGCGAGGAAGGAGTCGGCCGATAGTGAGCAGGTCTAGTGGGAGGGGAGGAGGGTAACCCGATATCAGAGGTCCAGGTCCAGGTCACCTCCTCGCGATATCACCTTGAATGAAATCAGAATTCTCACTGGCTCGAATGATTTGTAAAGTAGACCTGAAATTGAACAGGTTGACTAGGGTGGCTTGTCTGTGTCGATACACGGGATACAGAACCACCCATTCTTTCAAGCTTTCGCGAGATGTTCTTATAAGAATTCATGGGGTGAGAATCAAAAAGAAGGCCAGGAAAGAAGATACATGGCCGAGCCTTGGGAAATCTGACCCCATGTGTATACAGAGTACTGGCATCTAGCCGGACTTGCTTCAGTTCTAGTTATAAGGTTATCGAACTTGCACCAGTATGAGATAATGTTTACACGCTCAGCACATACCAGCGACTACCGCAGTTCTGGATCCGATCATGCGATGTTGAGGCACTTGAGGGTTTGCCATGGAGACTTGATGGCTTTGATCCAGGAGATTTAGCGCATTCATGCTGCATGCTGCATACACGGTGGACCGAGTATGTATGTGCTGTTATGTGCCCACGTCAGCCAATCCTGACAACTAGGAAGTGACATTGCGTATCGTGATGTGCTAGGCATCCTGTAAAAGCACATACCGAAGAAGAGTTCCCTTGGGCAATAGCAGAACTAACCAGCCCTCGAAGCTTCTCCCCATGTGCTTGTATCTTCAATTCCAACAAGGGCTATCTATTCCACAGGCTGGACGAACGCGTCGGTCTCATTCATATTGTGCCCATCTTCTATTTTCGGTTCTGCTATGCCTGCAACCCAAAATTGTAAAGGCAACGGGAAGCTTTGGATCTGTATTGGTACAGTACAAACCGTGTGTATGAGGGAACAGGAATTGCAATGAAGTGAAGAAAATGAACCCCATAGGCGTACAGTCTTTGTGGCAGATATTGCTCCGTCTCATCGAGGTACTCTGTGACCTTGAACTATGCAGCTAACAGAAACGATGAGACTGATTGCGGCAATTCCACGAAAGCCCCAATATGCGCTAGTTGTCGGCTGTTGGAATTGTGGTTGAGCGGATGGCGATGGTGCATATCTAGTGCTGACCGGATGCAGAAAAAGTAGATGAGCGATTTCCTATCAGAGATGACTAGGAGCACACGGGTCTGAGAGCTAGCAAGCTAATTTTAAAAGGCGAATCCTGGCGAGGGGAATAGGCAGCTTTACCCCTGCTAGCGCGCAGATGGTGTCGGCTGTGCTGGAAGATAGCCGAATCTCGTCCGGCGGCACAGCGAGTTGCAGCAGACTAACGTTGGGCTCAGCGAGGCTTAGCAATGCGACAAGCCCTTCGCCCAAGCTATTTCTTCCGTCTAAACCCCAGGTTAGGCAGGCAAGTCATGGTGTGGTGATTTGAGCGTGAATCATGATGGGCTGGAGCAGATGCACCCTCTCCTGTCTGCAATTCTTCTGCATCGTTCAGGTGGTTAGTGCTGGCTATGCGTCTTTGCGATCCAATCATCATGGCACCGACCAAGATACCACCATTGCGGTCAAACAAGCTCTGCGCGCAGTGGGAGGCACAACCTACAAAACCAATGAGACAGTCTTGACGAAGAGCTTGGTTGATACCACTCTTTTCTCCATCGGAGCCAGGTACCGCATGATCCGGCCAGTATGGAATTTTATCGCATGCAAGCTGATGTCCAACTTCAATTCGCAGTAACGATGACTCCAGCGCATCGAAGCAAGGATCCCTGGATCTCAGCGCAGGCCTCGCGGTCATCTGCACGTCTTGCTACATCAACGGCTCGGTCAGCGGCTTCCTGACCGTGGAGGAAAATTTGAATGTCACCAACATCGTGGAAAGCATCACAGACGAGCTCGCAAATGTGACAAATGCAGCGATTGACCGACTCAAGACCTTCGCGCACGACGCAGCGGAGGATTTCATCGATGGTGTGACTCACTTTGAACTGGTCGACATGCCCGCCTGGCCAACTCTGGATCTCGACTTTACTCTGAACACAACCCAGGACTTTCCTGGCGTTCATGCGGAGTTCGAATTTGACAACCTGGAGCTGTACCTGGAACTGGATGTGCAGCTGTCGGCCGGTGGAACGTACACGTTGAATCTATTTACCTCCGAGACTATGTTGGGCTTCTCGATCCCGGGACTCGACGCGGGCGCGCTGTTCAAAGTCTCGCTTGTGCTGGTTGCGGAGGCGGAAGTTGATATCAGCAGTGGGATCCACATCAAGTTGGATGATGGGCTGGTGCTTGCGCTTGATCTGTTCAACAAGGGGATGTCGGACATTACACTGTAAGTGTCTCCTAACTCTGGAAATAAGCCATGCTGTTCTCCAAACAGAGAATATCAGGGAGCGTGCCACTGATCTCAACAGTCCCGGAGGAAAAGTGGAATTCCTGCCGATTACTATTCAGGGCTACGGAAGCCTCCAGGCCCTCTTACAGCTCGAAGCCAGCGTGGGATTCGACGTCGCGCCCGCGGAGTCGCTCTCCGTGCTTGAAGCCGTCAAGTTTAGTGCGGGGATCGGCGCGGAGGTCTTCGCCTACGTGGCCGATTTCCAACTGGAGGTCAATGGCACGACTAGCAAGGATGCCGACTGCGCATTCCAAGCGGTGGCCGAATATACCCTCGCGGTGGGCGCTGCGGCCGGAGCGACAGTCGCGGTGGATACGTATCAATGGGGGCCCTCGCCCAACACCACCGTGCCGGTCTTCTACACCACCCTCGCCAGTCTCTGTGCGGGCAGCAAAACCACGACGGCCTCATCGGCGATCACTCCGCCGGCGACGCTCGCGCCGCGCGACGTGGGTCTTGAGACCACGACGCTCTCCACGGTGACACGGTATACTGTCGTGCAATGCGCGTCCAGCGGTCTCGTCAACTGCCCGGTCGCGCTCCAGACGACCACGTCGATTGAGACAGAGTTGACCACGGTTCTGACCGTGGCGTCCGGGGCAACAGCTACGTTCCCAATGAACACATTCGCTTCGTTGGCGAGTGCCAGTCCCTTTGGATCGGGCGCGCGCACGCTGCTCGCGACCTCCGGAAGCCCGGTGTCTTATGTCCCTCCACCGACCACGACCGCATCGGCTAGCAGTTCTGCGAGTGGTAGCAATAGCACGACGACTCACAAGCACCACCTCAACAATAACAAATTGATCATCGGGCTGAGCGTAGGACTGGGGGTGCCGGCAATCGTGGCATTGAGCGTTGCGTTATGGTATGTTCATTCTCTCGTCCCGTTTACCTCTCCACTCGTGATGAAGTCCCTACTAATCGATCCAGGTGGTTCCTGCGCGATCGCGTGCGATATGCGATTGTACCGCAACCTGAGATGACACTGGATCCCTCAGAGCTAGGAAAGGGACCAAGAGAGCCGGGGACTACTGAGGTCGTTGAATGAGAGGAATGCACCACGTACATATGAATGTCGTTGCATGCCGACGAAGAATCGTGACCACGAAGTGGAAACTCGTGCCAGAAGGCAGCTTATTCAACGGATCGCCTGTGGGAGTAAATGCGATTTGCCCCGTTGGCATTTATCATCAGAATTTCCAACCGTGGAAGCGAGTTGAGCAAGACGGCAATAGAAAGTTAAGGGAGAAAGTGGTTGTTGACGAATGGATCGTAGAAGAGTTGCGACTTGCTCCTTCTTCGCCCGCGGTCAGCTGATTCCGCGCCCCGTGGCTGCCCCAAGCATGACTCGACACCATATGCCCAACTTAGCTAACCATGAAGGTAATCATGGACAAGGAAACTGCACACATCGGGAATGCTTTTTATGATTGATTGATGTTCTATTAAGTGGTGTCTGGATATAAATTTCCTTGAAGGGCGAGGCGTATACCTTACACCGCTGTCCAGTTACTATCTGCTTTTGTGCAATCACGAGACCTAGATAATTCGTGAATTGCGCAGTTTACGCTCGATGACGATACTCCTTCTTCAAAGGCGCAATGCCCAGCCGGATGTTATAGGACTCGGGGTCAAACGACCCAAAGTCAAAGACCATGTAGAAGTTCTGCATCCAGTGCTGACCGAGGATCGTGTTTTCACTGTTCCACGAATTGAAGGGTGGGAAGCAGTGATCATCATCCACGTAGCCCGGCACCGCCAACTGATCACCCGTGAGAGTAAACGTGGCTGCTTCACCGGAAAATCCGACCGTGAAGGAGACGGACCAGGTGTCGTTGAATTCGGAGCACAGCGGACGGTAGCCGTTGAGGAGATCCGCATACGAGAACGGGGTCATTGCGTAGACTTCGTCGATGTGGGATTCGGAGATGCTGATGGAAGATGCTCCTGGTCATGGGTTAGTGGTCGGTCGTAGTAGGTTTGCTCAGGGAAGAGGGGCCCTCACCAGTGTCAAAGACCACATCGCCGTACCAGTTGAGAAGCTGGCCGGACTGGTTCTTGCCGTCAGCGGTAATGTTGTGGCCCTGGACTCCGTGGAAACCCGTCTTGTAGACCTCAAAAGGCGACTCCATTTGAATCCACTGGAACTCGCCATCCGCGTAGATGTCCTCATGGCTACCCCCGAAAGTGAAGACACCGTTGTTCACGGGATTAGGCTGTGAGGTCGTTGAGACACCCGTGCCTTGGTAGATCGCAAACCGGGGCTTGTCCAAGAGACCGTCCTGCATCATTTGCTCGAACGGAGCGGTGGTGTTCTTGAAGGCAATTGTTGAGGACCCAAGGCCGAGGAAGCCATCGGCTCCCAACGCCGACCATGTGCTGGCGGTTGCAACAGCGAAAGTCTGGCGGTATGAGACATTGGTTCCGGGGATGCTGAGAATGTCGGAAGCGCCGAAGCCGTCAATGGTGCCTCCGGTGTAGGCGATGGAGTCTGCAACTCCGAGGTAGGTGCCAGTTGATGTAGGACTGTACTTGTGTCGGGTGTACCTATTGGCGGATTGGTGTGAGTGCTTGCTGAGTGAATGCAGTGCCATCATATAATTACCCGCTCACGTTCGGACATCCGTCGTTGCAATCCTCATCAACCACCCAGAGTGTCGCTGAGCCGGTGTCAAAGAGCAAGTCATACGGACCACCCGGGGTTCCCAGGTCTACTTCAATAGTTCTCTTGAGACGTCTTAGTAATGAAACAGAAGTTCGAGCATCGTGAAAAAACATACATAACCATTGCGAACCTTGATATCAAGGTCGATGACGCTGGCAAGTGAGGCCGTAGCCAGCACCGATGCAAGTAGAACGGATCGCAAGGCCATTCTGAATGTCAAAGGTAAACCAGAGTATGCTATCATGAAGAATGTAGCTCTTTGCCTCAGTTTAAATAAGTCGTCTTGCCAATGCCAAGTCTTCAAGAATAATGTGAGACAATTGACGCATGGTGGGTATTGTGGACCCTGAAGGGCAAATTAGATGATTCTTCGAGATGGGAATGAAACAGCTTGTTTCATTGTTCTATTTTCGTATCTGCAACCGCCCAATCTCTCTGCTTGAAGTGGCTATACCTCGGTCAGGCGAATCATGCAGATGGACCGATGCTTCAATGTGTTTCTCCTGTAGTCACGATAGGTCGGCTTACTCGAATCTTTGACTCTTCGGCCTTTTGATGGCGGTAAAATGCACCTTTCTCATGCCTTCATACTGTCGACGTAGAAGTTCTCTGGACAAGATAGACCCTGGTTGAGTTAGGATAACTCCTTGATCTTCGGAACGGAGCGCTACCTCCAACCATAAGCTAGGAGGATGTATGATGCTTGACAAAACAATATTGAGGCCAGTATTGATTCAACCATATCCTCAATCCATGTTATTCTATCACATCTGAACAAAACAAAAGAGTTTAACTGTACCGGGCTGGACCGGAGTTGGTCTTCCGAGCTGATGTGGGGCAAGCCCTAGTAGCCCGGGTTCAGTTCCCTGGCGCGCAGCATTGCCTAGCATGAATAGTGCTGATTTCAGGGCATCAGTGCGACGCAGGGTGAAGATATCTACTTACAATGTCTGATTTGTGCGTAGGAAGTGAGAAACGTGCAATGATACCTACATCTCAAGACCGGGTTCCAAAACCCATCGGAAACCCAGTTCCGTACAAGCGGGGAACTTGAGCGAGGGGTTTAACGATGCGACTGACCACAGATCCATGAACCACAGCGCACAACCATCGACCAGTACAAGTCGCAATGCTGTCAAATAAGCAAGCCATCGGCTCTTTGTCTCTGGGGCAGCATTCCACGCACACCCTCGACCAGAAGATCCTCGCCGCAGCCCGCCACGGCTTCACCGGCCTCGAAATTGTATATCTTGATCTCGAAAACTACGCGAAACACCTTGAGGTCCCCATTCACAAAGCAGCCGAGGTAACAAGAGACCTATGCCTCAAGAACAATGTCGAGATTATCTCTTTGGCACCGTTCGAGAACTTCGAGGGAGGCAGCTCGCCCTTGTCGGAGCGACTGACTACCGCCAAGCATTGGCTGCAACTTGCCCGCACGCTTCAAGCGACCTATCTGCAGGTCCCCTCCTATTACAACCCTGACGGCAGCACTGACGAGAAAGTGGTCGTGTCCGATCTGCAGCAATTGGCGAACCTAGCCAGCGCGGCGGAACCCGTCATCTCGATTGCTTACGAGTATCTCTCGTGGGGAGTCTTCTGCTCGACATGGGAGACAGCTCTGCGGCTTGTGAACGCCGTGGACAGGCCGAACTTCGGGCTATGTCTGGATAATTTCCACGAGCATACCAGGTTGTGGGGGAGTAATGTGGACACATCGGGCAAGCTCCCTGCAGGTGACCAAGGTCTAGAGGCATCGCTGCGGCGGTTCAGCGAGCAATGCCCGGTAGATAAGATCTTCTATGTGCAGCTATCGGATGCGGAGCGATTCGATCCGCCGCTGTCGGAGACGCACCCGTGGTACCAGCAGGGTGAAGCCCCGCAGTTCACCTGGTCGAAACATGCGAGGCCGTTTCCGTTGGAGAGCGAGCTTGGGGGTTATTTGCCTATTTTGGAGATCGTCAAGACGTGGGTTGTGGATAAGGGGTTCAAGGGATGGGTTTCGATGGAGGTGTTTGACTGGCGTATGCGTAGGGCAGAACACAAGGTGGAGGATGCAGCCAAACGGGCGAGAGTCTCGTGGGATAAGATCCAGCGAGGCTTGTCAGAGAAAGACGAGAAAGGATTCATCAAGGCTCATTACTAGAATACAAATAAATCCTCTATGTCAAATGCGATTTGCATGACAGTTCTTCCCTAGTAAAACTTCCACCTATTCATCGATCAGACCACATTAGGCAACTCAGGCCGAGACCTCGGGCAACGCTGGCACGTGACTCGCCCGCGGGTTTCGATGCGCCGCCACTGTTTCATCGGAGTACTCTCTTCCACATCCCTGGATTCCCGCTGTACGAGCCCCTTATCACTTTCCCTGCTTGATATCACTCAGTCACGATGGTCTCCGAGGCTCCCAAACCCCCGACGCTGCGGCGATCATGCCAAGCCTGCGCGCGCGGCAAACGGCGCTGCGACCAGCGGTGGCCACGCTGCAGCCGGTGCCAGGCCCGGCGCATCGACTGCGAATACATCAACGTACCTCTGACCGTGACCAACACCCCCACAGCCACCAGCAGCAGCAAAAACAGAAGTCTCATCCACACGACCACAGCCCACACCTCCAGACCGCACCAAGCAACCACACCCAGGAGAACCCCAACAATACCACGACTACTCCCGCTCGAAATCACAAAAGGCTACTCAGCACCAGTAATCACCTTCCTAATCAACAGCATGCGCGAGTACCCAGTGACCTTCGCCTCGGAGCAAAAAACGCACTTCATCCACCCCGACCTCTGGCCCAGCTCGACCCCACCGGTGCCCATCCAAGAAGCGTACGCCCTGTGTAAACAGTACGCTTCCTCCCCTTCACAAAAGCATAGAGCCCTGCTCCATCCAATCCTAGACCAAAGGTCCCGGTCTTTGCACCGCCAACTCACCCGCGCATCCACCTTCCCGGACCTGCTAGCCTGCGCGCAAGCGCTGCTTCTCATTCAATGCATCGTCCTCTTGTCTCCAAGCCCTTATTCCCAAGGAATAGGAAGTGAGCAAGAGGGAAAGTATCAAGAGTCTATCAGCGCGATGCTGCTTGATCTCGGCCACAGGCTGTGGGTGCAGGCGCCCGTGCAGCTGCCGCACACGCTTAGCCCGCGCCGCGCGTGGCTGTTCGCTGAGAGCGTGCGCCGGACTATTATTGTCGGGTTTATGTTGCGGAGTGTGTATTCGCTGCGGACGAGGAATTATTCTGTGCGTACGCCGTTTGTGGATGCGTTGCCGTTTGATGTGCGGACGGGGTTGTGGGATGCTGAGGGGGTGGAGGGGGTGGAGCTGGCTGAGGGGGTTGCGGGAGGGGCAGGGCTGTGGGGTCCGAGTGAGGGCGCCATGGTCTCGTTGCATGGGTACTCGAGTATGTTGGAGCAGGGTCAGGTGCATGGTATTGGGCCCTTCGCGGGGTTGATTCTGGCGGCGTGTCGTGGGAGAAGGGTTGGCGAGGTGGCTTTTCCTGCTGTTGCTGCTTCGTGAACGGTGACGGTCCAGCGTGTGGGCTGGTCCTGAGAGTGGGTTGGGGCGAGTGTACGATTTTGTAAGTTGAATAAAAGCAGGCTCTATATTCTATATGCAAGGCAAAGCAATTATACATCATCCCGTCATGACTAACTTGAACCAACTTGAAGAACCCAATCTACTCCCGCAGAAACTGCTTCAACAGCCCCGCCAACATCTCCGTCATCCCCTTGTAAAGCTCCTGCCGCTTGACCTCGAAAGCCTCGAAGATCTCCTGCGCCGAGCCCACGGGGATCTGCTCCTCGCCGCGCGTCAACCGCGTCCAGACCTCATCCACAAACTCCTGCAGCGGCATGCCGATCAGGTGCCCGTCCTTCAGGTCAGGCTGATGCTTGGCGTCGTGCAGCTCCGTCTGCACGGCAGGCGGGTAGATCTCCAGCACGCGGACGTTGCCGGCGCCGTCGCGGAGCTGCGTGCGCAGCGCTAGGATGAAGTGGTGCAGCGCCGCCTTGGAGGCGCCGTAGTTAGGGCACCGCATCATGGGCACCAGCGCCATCTGCGAGGTCGTGTAGATCAGCGCCGTCGGCCGCGGCTGCTGCTGCAGATGCGGCAAGAAGGCATTTGTCAGCCGCACCGCTGAGGTGTAGTTGGTGATCAGCTCTCGGTCGAAGGTGTCGAGGTCGACGGTCTCCGGGCGGGCGAAGTCGAAGGGCCGCTGGATGCCGGAGTTGAGGAAGATGCAGTCCAGATCGGGGTGGGCGGTGGTGATATCAGAGGCGAATTGCGGGATCTGCGGGTTTTTTGGGAATGGCGATTTAGCTTGTGGTTTGCAGTGATTGGAGCGGATAGGCATGGGTGAGAGTATTGCCTACCTTGTCGAGCTGCATCACGTCGAAGACGGCAGCATGAACGTTGTCGCTGCCATGCTGCGCGACGAATGCATCGAGGTTCTTCTTGCGCCGGCCGGCGACGATGACCGGGGTGCCGTTTTGGACCAGCTTGGTGGCTAGAGCTTTGCCGATGCCGGAAGTGGCGCCGATGATGAGCACTTTCTTGAAAGGGAAAGACATGGCGGCGATTGCGAAAGGTAGGAGAAGTACTAGCCGTAGGTTTCAAGTCAAACACAAACTTGATTGACAAGTATCTCCATGGATGCTGGCTCCAGCAGGGTATTTATCGTCTGGCGGAGAGGATGGCGTAACTGACTTCCAACGGAGACTAAACCTCTTTCGGCCAGATCCCGCCAAGACGGGACTTCCGCGCGGAGACTAGACCCGATTGAGAAATCCACTGGATCTGCTGGATCGAGTCGCTACCCGACGCCATGGTAACAGTCGAGGTAGTCCCCATTTTCTTCTTTTCCTTTCAAGTGAATCATCTGGAAGAGATCGGAACGGTGCAGAAAGGATGTCGCTTGATCAATCCAGGGATTTGTCAGGAATGGAACGCGCGGGTTATTGAGGTCGGATGTACTGGAGATAGATCTCAAATCTGCGCTTGCGAATCGCCTCCGTGACAATGTCTTGCGGTCGCTGGGCTGTTCGATGTAAAGACCAGGGGTAGTGAAGTCCCCTGCTCGGTCTCCCTGTGTCAGAGATCTACTTGACCTGGCTCGGCATTGAGAGCCCAGTATACTCCTTCAACATGAGAAGCCATCCCTCCATACTAGGCTCACCTCCTTGAGCAATAACCCTCATCAACTCCTCCCTATCAACGCTGCTCTCCACCAACCCCCGAAACACTCCGTCGGGATCAGTGACTAACTCCCTCGGCGACCCATACTCAACTAAGCGTCCCGCATCCAGCACCAACACCCGATCAAAGTCCACGATCGTGTGCAGCCGATGCGCAATCACCAGCAACGAGGAATAATTCCGGCCGAACCCCGCCCGGATCGACTCCTGGATCACGGCGTCGGTAGATTTTTCGATGGCTGAGGTGGCCTCGTCCAGCACCAAGATCTTCGGGCGCCGGAGGATGGCCCGCGCCAGGCAGAGACATTGCCGTTGACCTTGCGAGAAGTTGCTGCCTCGTTCCGCTACTTTGCTGTTGAGGACGTTTCGTGAGAGTTGGGATTGCACGGCGAGAGATTCGAGAGGGATATCGCTATCGCTGTCGGTGAATATGGGGTCATCGTGGGCTTCGGCAGTGGTTGTTGGCAGGAGCGTGTCTGGGATAGTCCAGTGCACGCGCTGCAGAGCGGTGAAGAGCTCGCGGTTGGAGAATTCGTTGAAAGGGTCGAGGTTAGATTTGATAGTTCCGGAAAAGAGGATGGGGTCTTGGGGAACAATGGTTAGTCGCGACCGGAGAGAATGTAGTGGGATTGTGGACACATCCACGCCATCGATGCGGATACTGCCTTCTTGGGCTTCCAGAAAACGGAATAGAGCCATTGCTAGTGACGATTTGCCGGCACCGGTGCGGCCGACGATGCCAACCCGAGTGTTAGGTGGAATCGAGAATGTGAGGTTCGACAAGACCGGTGGAAGGTCGGGGGAGTAGCAGACAGTCATATCGGACACGTCCAATCGGCCCTCGGTAGGCCAGGATGCCGCCACTGGCACAGGGCTGTCGTATTTCTCGTTCGGGGTGTCCAGAGCTGCTGCAACCCGTTCAACGCTGTTCAGGGAGATTTCGAGATTGGCGTATTGACGAATGGCTTGCGACATAATTGTGCTGTATCGCATGATGAAGGTGATCGCGAATCCAGCCGTGGCCGCTGTGACACCGTTCGTGCAGAGAACTAGCGCAGAGCCGGCGGTGGTGAAGATGGCGCCAATAGTACTGGCTCGTACAGATATCCAGCGGGTCAGGAGCCACAAGGTCCATGAAGCGCGGCAATGGCGATCAATCTTCACATGCATCTCGTCGCGGTACGTTTCCTGCTGTCCATAGGCGCGGATGGTCATAATGCCATCCAGAGTCGCGCACACATGGTCCAGAATGGGGCTTCTCATGAGACTCTCGAGCTCTTTGACAGCGCGGATCTTCCTAATGAACTGCCGCCCGTAATAGAAGGCGAGTGAAAGCGAGAGGAGGGAGAGAAGGTTCAGCCAGATGTTCACAATCGACGCCGCTAATGTTATCGTCAGAAGGTCAACCAAAAGCCCAAGGGCATAATTGAGGTCGTAACCGAGACGGGAGTCAATAAGGCTGAAGTCCGTGGAGAAATTGTTGAGAATACCTCCAGCAGGTAATTTGTCAAGCCATTGCAGAGGTGCCCGAAGAATTGAATGGAGGAAACGCTGGAAGAGTTGTCGAGACATTTGCAGGGTAATGCGTATCGCTAAGAAGCTTCGAGCCACTGTGGTCACACATGAGGCAATTGCGAGAGCCAGGTAAATCGAAAGTAACCATCTTATGTCAGTTGTCACCGGTGATGATTTCACTTCCAATGCTTCCTTGGTATTGTTTGGGGCTGGACTGCTATTATTACTCCAGATCATCATCCAAAGTCCCTATCCAGTTTAGTCACGACTATGACTCAATTAAGAGATGTATGACTTACCCGTCCTACACCGAGTCCACTATAGACTATATATAGTGCCAGTAAGACTAAACAATGATAGCCAGCACCGGAGAGGTTATAGATCCTTTGGCGAATTTGCCATTTGCTAATTGGCGCGGTGTCCGTATCCCTCGTGTTTTGCGGTATTCTCTGGATTTGGTCTTGCTCTGGAGTCAGAACAGTATCGCCCCAGGGCTCTTCATCATATCTATAGCTGCCAAGCGCGCCTTTGGCTGGAGTCAGGAGCGTCTCGCCGCGCTTTGCAGCTAAAGGCATATCTCCGAAGATACCGATCTCCGTCAGGTTCTTTCTGAGTCCAGCATATCGTAGCCCTGTCTTATCAAGAGCAACAACGTACTCCGCTCCCGGAAGGCACAGCTCAAGATGGTACGTAGCCAGTATACGTGTACGTCCCTGGGCAAGGCTTCCCATTAGCGCATGTTCATACAGATGCTGCGCGGTGTGGGGGTCGATTGAGCTGAAAATATCATCCAGAACAAGGACCTCGGCATTTGAGTAAAGTGCGCGGGCGAGTGAGACCCGCCAAATCTGTCCTCCACTGAAGTTGCTCCCCTGTGCGTCCATCTCAGTCTTGTCCTTCAAATCCAGCATCTCTAGGTCGCGATCGAGAGCACAGGCCGCAATGGTCCGCTGATATCGATCTTGGTCAAATGGGCTGCCGAAAAGGATGTTGTCTCGGACAGTACCGTTGCGGATACACGGTTGCTGACCAACATAGGCTATAGTAGAAGACGGCGGTCTTCGCACTTGGCCAGCAAGAAATTCACATTCGCCTAGTATAGCAGCGAGAATAAGGCTCTTACCGGATCCCGAAGGGCCGGTCACCACGCTCAATGCACCCATGGGGAAAACAAGTGTAAGGTCACGTAGCTTGAAGTTTCGGCGGAAGTGACGTTCCGTCCAGGAGAGCGTCGCTTGCTCCAATACCACGTCGTCTGCAGACTGATGCTCACCTGAATGGTCGGCAGAATGCAAGAATCTCTCAATTCGCTGGAGACTAATTTGTGCTCCGGTCACATTCAACAGGATCTGGGGAAGAACAGCGAGAGGTATACTCAATGCCCCAAGAAGAGAAATCGAGGTGAAGGCTATGGACGCCGGCATCCCGTCATGAAACATAGCGTATGTGCCCAAACATGCGGCAGAAACCAGTATAGGCGCAACATTGTAGGTGACGAACATCAGCAGCTCCCAGCTGTATACCTGCCATTGACTTTCCAGCTCCTTGTCGCGCAAGTCGTTGATGCAGCCCTCCCACTTATCTTCCCAAGCGGACATCTTGATTTGTCGAATACCTTGTAGTACCTCAAGGATCCTGGTCATCTTGCTGTCGCGTGATTTCAACAGATTCTTCTGGGTACCAGCATATCTGCGCACTGCATACACGTTTCCAGTAGTCACAAGGAGGAAGACCACTCCACCGGCTGCGAGACTCCGCACCCCAAGCAATCGACCAATCGAAAGGGCCGCCATGATGATCTTGAGAGGCGCCTCACAGAGCATGAAACCCAGGGCAGAGAAGTCTGCAACTCGTTTGGCATCAACGGCGACGAGATTTGTAGTGCTCTGCTCGTTGCTGTCATTGCTAAGTGCGGCCGGCACGTTCCGAGCAGGCTTAGAACGAAGGACCTTGTCGTAGATAGCTGCTGAAAGCTGCTCCTGAAGTCGCACGGCGACCCTGTTGGAGGAATGGTAATAGTTCCAGTTCTCAAGCAAAGCCGAAAGGATAAGTGACCCTCCGAGTCCGAGGACCGGAAGCCACAGCCACGGGTCGCTGGGGTCAGTTTCAAGCCGCTGGAGAATGTTAAGGATGGCAAATTGGGGTGCAAATGCTACAACTGCATTGACACAGGTCAGACAGAGCTGGAAGACTAGCGCTTTACGGTGGCCGAGCAAGAGGAGTTTCCAAAGACTTGTACTGGATGCCTGTGTTCTGCGAGTCTGGCGAATCAGTTTACAGAGATGCGACGTCCGATTAGAGTATTCCAGCTCTGGTATATCCTTTATTTCGAGATGTGTCTGACCCGCGGATAGCGATAAGTTTAACCACCCAAACGATAGTCTGTTGAGGAAGGATGTCGACGATTTGCGATCCACTAGGGCCCCATTGTGATAGACATCCGGCCGGCGCGGGATGGAAACGGCCGCGATGCAGGCCCCCAATGCGGTACAGAATTGTGTTAGCAAGAAGAACCATGGAGCGAAAGAGGATCCAAGTGCGTGGTAGCACCAATATTGATCGACGATAAGCATGGCCAGCAAAGCAAAACAGCCTACACTGACCCAGCAGCCGTGCGTGAAGCGCGTCCCATATTCCTTGGCCGTCGTTAAGGCTATTGTGGCAATTATCGACATCACCCACGCAGTGAGTCGTAACCATTGTGTCCCGCCAAAGGTAGAATTCGAAGTTACAGTCAAGACAACAACCTCGGTCACAGACAAGCAGAGCCCGATACCAACCCCGATGAAGAGGGCAGCGCGGGGTGCTTTGTCAGAAAAGGCCTGAATGGATTCTGGAGTCGCAACTCCATCTTTGTCTTCGTATCCAGTCTGTATAGAGTCTCCGATCGGCCGAATTAGCTGTAGTCCTCTTTGTCGGTGTTGATGTGCCAGGATGAGCGCGGCGCGTCCGCCGACAATCCCCGAAAGACCGACCGCGGTCACGTGGATCCCGAGCAACATTTTCGTCGATATTTTTCGTCCCGCGCAGCAGGAAGGGACGTAGTATGAGCACGAGCGAGCATTCTTGCGCAATCAACGCATCGCAATTGACGGGCAAGAGCCTTGTCACTTTAAGGGCCAACTTAGATCAGGCTGCCAGAGTAATGATATATGGGGGAGATGATTTCGGAGCAGAAGGGAAAAAAAAAAAAGAATAGGAGAGGTTGACGTATGCGTTTCCTCCACTCCTCGGCCGTATTTTCCCAGTCCGGTTAGTCCTCGGTTTGTGCATCGCAATCTCCCCTCTCATTGGGAATGACTTCAATGCATAGTCAGACTATGATCTACCCATTGCGGCAATTCTCATACGGAAGGTACTTCGGTAGCATTGAATCATGAAACTACATCATCTTTAGTAGGAACATCAACCCATCGTAGGACGCCCCCTCTGCCCAAATTAAGTCTGCGGGTTACAAACGAATAATTATACGTCAAGGAGGGTACGCAACTAGCTAAACAACAAGTTCTCATCATGGGCAAGACAAGGTATCTAAATATACGCTGAAGCCCATATTGCAGCATCGAAATTAAGGTAGGCCCGCCGCGGGGTGTTTTACAACTGCTTTGAGACATGTGGGCTACTACGTTGCAGAGTGATTTTGTGCGCACTCAATGCCATGCCGTCTAGATTTTCTTATCAGGTTAAACAATCCGTAGATCCGATATGGGCTCATTAATACATTTGGCCTGAATAGCTCCGTGTCGTCCGTAACTTATACTTGTGTCTACACCTGAAGAAAACGCCAGGAAGAGTCAGCGGAGTGAAGTAGTCTTTCACTTAGATTCGGTTTCCGTTGTCTCAGACCATGCTAGACTATTAAATGAGCCCTTTTGGATGGAGCTAGTTCGGGAATTGTTCTCAAGCACGTAGGAAAAGGTTCTTTGCCCATATTTTGGTGGATTGGACGATGTGAAGATCACTTTAAGTCAATTGATAGAGTGACTGGGTAACTCCTTGAACAATCATTCTATACTATCCTTTTCTCGAAGCGGGGGGTATATCCGATGAAGCTGCCAAAATCCACCGGATTACGTGGAGGGAGCATGGATGAATGGACAGGGGCTATATAGTTTAAACGAGTCTGCAAATACAAGAAACAGTCACGTGGTCTAATGGTTATGATTTCTCGTTCACATCTGCTGAACGACCCGAGAAGGTTCCCGGTTCGATCCCGGGCGTGACTATCTTTTTTTCATATTCGCATCAACCACAATTCATGGCAACATCAACCCCGTCAACCATGCGACACGTCTCCTATCTCATTATAATTCTTGTGCCTTGGACACAATGAAGCAGCTTTGCGTCAAGCCTTTGACTATCTCTAAGTCTGTACCACCGCAGGTGGCATGACTGCAAGAGAACCCCCGAAAACCGGAGGCGAGACATTCCCCCTGCCAAGCTATACCTTCAGCAAGCCCGGATTGGCGCCTTCCCCGCACGAGCGCGCGACGGTTAAATCTTCTTTTCTTGAGACATGACCAGTCTATATCCTGCTTGTACCTGATCATCCTTCTTTTCCTCCAATCGGGAAATTCTCCGGGTGTTCATGATGCCTCTCCCCACCGGAATAGCGGCAATTGCACTCCAGAGGGCACATCTCCTGCGGGGATATATTTAGGCTGAAGCTCCTCACTGCATTCAGATTGAAGATGCGCCAACCAGCAATATGTTGACTCTCGACAAGGCTCTCGCTTTCGCGCTGGCAGCTGGCCTAGTGCCGGTCACCGCATTGAATATCGACACCATTACCTCCAAATACTTTGGCAACGACGCCCCCTGGTATCGAGACCGCATCCCTCTCTTCGAGACCGACCAAACCGTGCTGCAGGATGTCTACTATTACCGCTGGGGTGTCTTCCGGGCTCATCAGCGCGACCTCGGCTCGGAAGGCTACCTAACGACCGAGTTCATCAACGACGTAGGCTGGCAGAAATCCCCCTGGGCCCTGCTGATCGATGCTTCCAACTTCCACCTGCGTGAGGGACGTTGGTCTCGGGACCGTCGCTTCACCAGCGACTACGGCAATTTCCTGTTCGGCCCCAATGGAATCAAGAACCAGTTCTCTGAGTCTCTTGCCGATGGAGTTTGGCAGGTGTATCTGGTGGACGGCGTCGCCGAGGACGCTACTTCCCACCTCTCTGCGATGCAGTCCTTCTACCAGAGCTGGAACTCGACTACTCTCGGGGTCGGCGGCTACGACTCATCCAAAGGCTTGTACTGGATCCAACCGTTGACCGATGCCACGGAGTACACCATCTCCAGCATTGACGCGACGAACGGCAAAGATGGTTTCACGGGAGGATACTCCTTCCGTCCCAGCATCAACAGCTACCAGTATGCGAATGCCCGCGCTATCGCCCAGCTGGCACAGCTGACGGGCGACACCGCTGTGGCGAACCAGTACAACGCCTACGCCGACACCCTGCAGCGCCTCGTCCAGGCCGACCTCTGGAACAGCACCTACTCCCACTTCATCGATCGTTACGAGGTAAACAACGAGTACGTCAAGTACTGGGACTTCATCCGCGGCAGGGAACTGGTCGGGTACGTGCCTTGGACGCATGATCTCCCGGACGATAACGCCACCTACGCAGCAGCCTGGAGACACGTCCTCGACTCGGACAAGCTAGCAGGCACGCATGGACTGCGCACCAACGAGCCGAGCTACGAGTACTACATGAGGCAGTATCGCTACGAGGGCACCAAGCCGGAGTGCCAGTGGAACGGACCGGCCTGGCCGTATCAGACGACGCAGGTGCTCACGGCGCTGGCCAACCTCCTAGACCACTACCCCAAATCAGCGGACACGGGGATCGTAAACCAAGCGGACTACACGCAGATCCTGTTGCAATACGCCCGGCTACACTACAACCCCGCGCGAGGGGGCATTCTCGACCTGGAGGAAGACTATTACCCGGACACCGGCAGTCCAATCGTGGGACTGGCTCGGTCGCCGCACTACTTCCACTCCGGGTTCGTCGATGTCATCCTGTCGGGCTTCGTGGGGCTGCGTCCGCATGCCGACGACGTCTTGGAGGTCAACCCGCAGGCCGACAGTGGCTCAGTCTCGTACTTCCGGGCCGAGCGGATCCTGTATCACGGCCATGAGGTCGCCGTGCAATGGGACGCCACGGGTGCACATTACGGCAAGGCAGGTCTACACGTCGAGGTGGACGGGAAGACGGTCGCCAGCGCGTCCACGCTGAAGCGACTGACGGCCAAGATCACGCGGGCGTCGCCACCCACCGTGAAGCGCCCGATCGCCGTCTCGGTTCAGCTGGCAGCCAGCTCGGAGTACCCGGCGGGCAGTGTGTCGGTTGCGCAGGCAGATGCAGACGAAGTTCACGCGGCCATCGACGGACGTGTCTGGTTCTACCCGGAATCCGATGTGGCCAACGGCTGGGACAGTCCCGCCGGCAACGGAACCGAGATCTGGTATCAGATTGACTTTGGAAGCGCCACCCAGACGGGCCGGGCGGAGATCGCCTTCTTCGCGAATGCGACACAGGGTTACGCCGTGCCTAAGTCGTACCGGATCGAGCGGCTCAATGGAGATTCGTGGACCAAGGTGTCGAAAGCGAAGTACGACACGCCGCTCGCAAATGGCATCACGGATGTGTCGTGGCAGTCGGTGCAGACAAGCCGGCTTCGGTTGGTGTTCACACCTGCGACTGGGGAGAAGGTGAGGTTGGTGGAGTGGAAGGTCTTCAGCAGCTGATGGTGTTGTTGCGAATGCTGAGAAATGAGAGAACTATAAGTTGAAACTGTACCGTTGTATGCTCATAATGTGATATTAGTGTATGAATCAATTTTTCTATTGCCGGGAATGCCGCTTCCAGGAAGACAGTGTGCTGTAGTTATGCTCTGGGACACTCACTGAGTCATTCGCCAGGCTGCTATAGGAACCGATTCGAAGTCACTTGGATCAAATAGTCGTTTTGACTTTGTTCGAAGAAGTACCAAGATAAGTCAATGTCATGTGCATCTTCACGCGGTTATCTACTGTTTCTATCCTCATCACGCAATCAATCATTCGTCATACAGCTTCCCAGACAAAAAAGACACGTAACGAATAGACAATGGCAAACCAATAGAACTTAGGCCAGGCTGAGTAGCATGGTCATATTTTCGCCCCTGAACCTCCTGAATACCCAAACCCTCCTCATGAAACCATCCATCCTGACACACGTTACCCCCTCTCATCCGTCTCAGGCTTCCTCCACCTTTGCGCCAATGGCACCACCACCAGTCTCGGGCACTGATTTGACTTCGTACTGACACAGCAGACTGGGAAGGTTTATCCCTATCACTCAACCGGTGGCTTCGTCGGCTTGATGAATATTCGGTGTTTTGAAAATTACAAGGTGTAGTTGTCCAAGGCAAGAACAAGCCTGTTGTGCCCTAACCGCTCAGCCCTGTTGATCTATAGTGCAGATCCTACTTCTTATTTTCAGTGGGGTCCAAGATTGTAGGCAAGGTTCGATGGCCAGGTCACTGATGCCCATTTTCCCACGGCACTGAGGTACGTTTCTTTCGCAAAAATGAACCAAGACACCTGGCCGAAAGCTGTTGAAAACGCTGTGATGGTCAGAAGGTGGCTGAGCCGTACCGGCCGACATCTCCAGAGGTCTGGAAGATAGTTGAGGTACTGCGCACGGCAAGAGTGATAATCGTAGTGTCGAAAGCAACCAGGAAAGTCCCATAGCAGAGACGAAACACCAATTGCCAGCCGCCGAACCCCATTCGTCGAGTCTTCAGTCTGGATTCTGTCAATTTCCTCCATCGAGATCTAGACTGTGGGTTGATTCCTGTCTCGAGGGCTACCTTTGGAAGGTTGGTCCGCGGATTACTAAAACCAGTTTCATATTTCAATACGAATGGTGTTGACGGGGAAGGTCACAGTGAACGAGACGCGACCAACATGGCACCACCCGTCTTAGTTGCTAACACCAATCCAAATAAATGACTTTAGACCTGGATCTTGCATGCATAAGTTTGGCCCTAAAGGCAGGCGTAATGGAAAATGCCATAAGATGCGTAATGCTGAGAACGCTAAAGCACTTCGCCCCGGCAGTGACAAGCATCACGGCAGGATCAGGCACACAAAACCTTGAAGACTATGGATTCGTCTCGGTTGATCCCGCTTGCTCAGTCCAGTTCAAAGCGGTAAATAAACCCTCCTATCTATGGAGGAGAAAACAGAGTTTTGCATGAATTCTTTACTGCGATCTAGACTATCTACTATGAGTAAATGCAGTACCACTCTTCATCCACCCCTCTTTCTGGAAGCCGAAAGAAAGCCCCCAAACAAGCATGTTTGCAACCAGATAAGACACCAAATAGCAACTTTAGAGCAAATCTATTTCCTTGGTCCGGCCTGAAAGGATCGTGCTCAGAAAAGCCCCCTCAATAGCCCGACAACGCTCACCGGGACCACCGAGTCATCGAGACCCGCGTTGGCGCGATACAACATTGGATATAGATATGCAGGAAACGACCAGACCAAGAAACTTCCAACCCAGATGAACCCGATCATCCGTTCTCCTCGCGAAGCTGGCTGTCTAGGAGAGAGCCTGTCCCCGCGTAGAGCAGAGTACGCACTAATTGCCAAGTCTTCGACCATCAGGCCGAATGCTTGCGTGCTAAAGAATTGGACAGCGCCAGAGTTGGAGGGCGATAACCCTGACGACAGGTCGACGAGAAAATGCATCAAGGCTGAAGCCAGGAATACTGTCAAGACCCTTGCGTATCGATCCGCAGGTGTTCCTGGCTGAAGATGAAGGATATCGTTGGCCAAAAATCGAGAGATCGCACGGAACTTATGGGAATTAGATTGATGCCACACACGACTAAATACCGGGATTAGCTTCCCTGCATTCTATCATTCGACACTTGGGCAAGGACAGATGTCAAATTTACCTCCATAGTCTCCGCAAGCTGTACGCGTCCGACAACGATCCATAGAAGGGAGGCCAGTCCTGCGGCGTACTCCACTTCAAAAGCACGCTGAAGAATGCGAAAAGATAGTAGGATCCAGCCTGGCTTGATAATAGGCCTATTCCTGCCGCGATACCGGAAAAGGTTCGAATGACTATCTCTTCCACTGTAACTTCGGAGAGCCGCCGAAATACTGGCACGTGGGATGCCACAAGAAAGCGAGATCCCACCTCAGGATCATTCATCGAGGCGAGTACATCGAGACCCAGATAACTGAGGAGGATAATACCGGCAGATCGACGGAGAAATGTGCTTTGGTTGTAGGTGATGGCAGGGATGTGGCGTATTTGGTCCGGAGTCCCCAGACATCGCGCATTGAAGGCCGCCCAAATACCAAACCGCAATCGGGCAGCCCAGGATTTTTTATGCTTGGCTGGTGGAAATTCCCAGTGCGTCAACAAACCAATGTCGACATATTGAAGTAGTAACATAACCGAATAACCGCCCGCGAGGCTAGCCCATGGTGTGCGAACGAGATAAGGTAATGCGGTTGAGATACAGTGGGCAGTGCACAGTGCGACGATGATCAGTGCACCAACCCTCAGACTGGACCGAGCCGGGGTAAAACCCATGGTGGTCACCACCGTGGCAGTTTGAAAGATGATCGATGTGAAGGGATTCAAAGACATTCTACCATGATACTGGTGGTGGTGGAATGGTTGAAGATGGCACAAAGATACAGAGTGGCGGGAAACTCTGGAAAATTATAGATTCTAGGATGAGAGAAAAATTTTACTTGCCTAGAAAAGGGGGACTAGTGCAGATGAGATGTTTTTCAGAACAAAGAGATAAAGAAGCTAAAAAGCGCACTTGCAGGGATCCCTGTACGCCATGACTCGAAATGGTATTCTCTCATTTACCACGGGGATGGGGTCGAACTCACAACAAGTATCTGAATTACACCTGAAATCTTGGCGCGAAGCTTATATTCTGCTGATCCTGTGGATTTTTGGACGGGGGATCAAGCTACTGGGAATGGTTAGGAAGCGCTCGGTAATGTACATATCAAGTGCTTCTGTCTTATCGCATTTATGTCTCAATGCTCCTGGATAAACTGGAAGAGGTGTTTTCACTCAGAAGCTGATCTGATGAGATATGAAAACAGATCAATGCGTACATTAGTACGTCTGTCTTGTTTGGAAAATGGTTCACGTTTGTGGTTGACAGAGCGGGGATGATCTTCAATATGAATCACAACTTACGTGAATCAATTTTTCTGTCTGTTCTGACGTTTTGACTAACAGCTTTTGCGTGCTAAATCTTGCAGCTTCCAGTCTGTACGAGTTTAGAGTAATAGCTTCTTCTAGGCAGGAGGTCCAAAAGCTGAGCTCTAGCGAGGAGAACTTGCCTTCATTTCACGCCGCCATGGAGCAGGTATGAACAGAGGTGCGCGATTTGCCTTGATTGTAGCTGACAGTCTACGTACAGAACAAGCACAGATCCACTTTATGTGGCTTCAAGCACAACCGTATAGATCCAAATAACAACGTTGTTAGGCGAGTTCCAAGGTCTTGCTTCATGTGAGCCTAGCTCAGATACAGAAGAATTTTCAGCCATTGATGCGAGATCTGTCTGAACAGGAGCTGACAGCGACAGACTCGGACGGTGGAGTTCTACCATGCTGATGAGCGATGAACGCTTCTGATCATGTCAAAAACTAGCTGGAGCCAGGCGAGTGCGTTCTCTCTCGCTCACCATCTTGTCACACGACTCAATAACCATGTTATTGCATGTCAGTTGCAAATCGATACTGACCGAGCACGACGCGAGACATTTAAATCAAAAAATGCGTTCTAAAAACTCTCTTGCAGGCAAGGAAGGGCTTGAGGATGCGGTTAACAGTACGTTCAAGATTCAGTAGTGACCATGGAAATATGTGCCACTTATGTTCTCACCGTTTCCGCACAGGGAAGATATTCTTTATAAGGCATCATAGCTCGAATTTTCGTGAGTTCCGAGAATGTTGCATGCTATTAATCATGTTCTGGCTGTATACATATGGTTAGGTGGTTGCTTCTTGCCCACTCGCCGGTATTAATTTTCTACCACCCCCCTGGGTCAATGTGAGACGGGAAGTGTCTCTCTCTGCCTAACATCAAAAAACCGTGCTAGAATTCCTCTGTTTATGCTTACACCCCGTATGCTCATATCAAGAAGTCTAAATAGTAGTCAAAGCTGGTAGCGAAGGGGATCAGTGCTCAATCCAGTAGTTCAGGTCGACCAGTCTATCTTCATCTGATGGAAATATTTGCTTCCGTATATGATAGACATGTATAGAGATATATATAAATTTGGAGCCGGTGGTGATATCAATCCCAGATGAGTATGGTAGCTGTTCGGCCCTGACGGCAGCTACGGATATATTTGATCCTGGCATACCACATTCATCCGACTCTATACATGTTATAAAGTTGTACATAGTTAGAAACGCTCACATTTCGCTCAGGACACGCACTGCTGTGCTCCAGGGGACTGCAGGTGTTTTGTTTCACCCGCAAATCCCGAGAATCCCGAAGAGGCAAAGTGGGTCGGGCGCGAGAAGGAAGAATAATGGCCGTTATTGAGGGCTTTTATTGAGGATCACTAACCACTAAGCTGAATGCGGCAAGATGCTCCTATCACCTCCGTTGTGCACATCTTCGGCCTCATATCCTGCTCATATCAGCTTAACAATCAAAATAAGCATTGCCTCCACCACGCCCGACGCGGCAAGATCCTCCGCTATGCGCGGTTGAGGCTGCACTACAATGACTTACACACCACTTTAATCCTGCAACCCCGCCGCCTCCCTTGTGCCGACATCCGTTTTCCCTCTTTCTGCCTGGCTTCATTCTCTCCTTCTGCCAACTTCTGTCTCTCCACGCTGGTGGTGATGGCCCACTCAGACCGGTCTGGCCTCGGCCAACTCTCGCTGCTCTGTCGGTTTCCCGATTATCCGATGCAATCTATCCCGGATCCCTAGTCTGGACGGTGATGCGTCAGTGGCTGTCTGTCTGTTTGACTGCATGTCTGGTATGACCGTTCTAGGCCGGTTGAACTGACATCACTCGCCTTCAAACCTCGGCAGCGACAATCGGCACTTAGCGGAAGGATGCTACCATTCTGAAGCTTGTACTTCCTTCGTGCTATTCTCATTGCTTAGTTGGTGTGTACCTGGGACCTCCCACGGTTAAGCATCCGGCCCGCATCTGGGCACGTCTCATCCCGTGGAAATCAGCCGGCGTGGCGTTGGTGCCAATTTTGATGCGTTATTATCGCTCAAGGCTTTCTCGACCTCTGCACGATGACGAGGAGTTGTAGCCAAGGGTGCTGCATGCCTGAGACGATCCCCTGTCAGGCTCCACCGTCGATCAGCACAAGTCGCCCTGTGTCTATTTTTTGCTGAATATGCTCCATTGCCCTCGGATGGCGGCATCGAGCGAAATGGTCTGGATGGTAGGCTGTCTGCCTACAAATACCCTCATGGGTCTCGCAAATTCGAGTGATTTGGTACACAGCTTACTTCTATATCTTCTCTGCCTCTTTAAAGCCCTTTTCAACTTGTCCTCCCTTGTGTTATATCCTGCGAACCTCGCCTCACTAAGAATCACCCATTAAATCTACTCATGGCAGACCAGCCCGGCGCAAGACTTTGGCCCGTGATCGTCGATCACCGCGCGCAATCCGCGCCGACTGAGCTCGTCGGTCTCATCCCCAAAGGCTCCGACGTGGCCGCTGGCTACGAGGAGTTGACCTTCGCCGGCCTCGCCCGTGCGGTTGATGCCTGCGCTCGCTGGATCGAGGCACGCATCGGCCGTGCCAAGCAGCCGGAAACCATTGCGTACATGGCCAGTAACGATGTGCGGTACTTGGTCTTCCTACTGGCCTCGCACAAGACCGGCTATCAGGTACGACATAGCCCTTCGCCATCCTGCCCCAATAACTAACCAAGTCCAGCCTCTGCTACCCTCCACGCGACTCTCGGACGAAGCCTACAAACACATCCTCACCGCCACCAAGTGCCAAAAATTCTTCTACACGCCAGACAAGCAGCGACGCGTCTCCGAGATCCAAACCGTGCAACCAGACACTAAGCTGTTCGAAGTCCCATCTCTAGTCGAGTTCCTCGAGACCGACAGCTCCCCCTACCCGTTTGAGAAGACCTTCAAAGAAGCGGAGGATGAGGTCGCTATCATCATCCACAGCTCCGGAACGACAGGCATGCCGAAGCCGGTCCCTCTCACGCACGGCTTCCTCGCGACGTTGGACATAGGAGCGTATATCTCGCGGCCCGAGGGCCGTCGATCTGCGCTGTTCAACGACCTACAGCCCGGCCAGCTGGTGCTGTCGACGACGCCGCTGTTCCATTTGATGGGTTTGATCGCGTTCTGTGAGGCGCTATTCCACGAGACCCCGTTCGTGATGTGTCCGGACAAGCCATTGTCCGTGGACACGATCGTCGATGTGATCCACGCCACTCACCCGACGGCCGCCCTATTTCCGCCGTCCATCCTCGAAGAGATCAGCCACTCGCCCTCGGCCCGCGCAGCCCTCAAGACGCTCGAAGCCGTCTACTTCGCGGGCGCACCGCTGGCCCCCGAGGTCGGCGACGCCTTGGAGGCGGACACCAAGGTCATCACGCTGATCGGATCGAGCGAGATGGGGGTCATCAGCTCGTTTGTGCCGCAGGGCGAGAAGGTCTGGGGGTATTTCGAGTGGAACCCGGCGTACGGGGTGGAGATGCAGCCGCAGGGTGACGGGTTGTACGAGCTGGTGATCCCACGGCGCGGCGACAGTCGACGCATCCACGGCATCTTCCACACGTTCCCACATCTCAACAAATACCACACCAACGACCTCTTCGCGCGCCACCCCGAGCGGCCCAACCTGTGGAAGTACCACGGCCGCAAGGACGACGTGCTGGTGCTGAGCAACGGCGAGAAGCTGAACCCCGTGACGCTGGAGAAGACGGTCGAGGGCCATCCGCGCGTCAAGCACGCGCTGGTGGTCGGACAGGGCCGTTTTGAGACCGCGCTGCTGGTCGAGCCGAACGCGGCCGTGGCCGACGAGACGGAGTTCGTGGACGCTATCTGGCCGACGGTCGAGCGCGCCAACGAGACAGTTCCCAAGTACGGGCGGGTGTCGCGAAACAAGATCCGGCTTGCGTCGCCGGCGAAGCCGTTCACGGTCACGCCCAAGGGCACGACGCAGCGCCGCGCCGTCAATAGCGACTACAAGGACGAGATCGACGCCATCTACGCCGCGGCAGCGGCCGAGGAGGCCGCCAGCGTGCCCCAGCTGCCCGCAACGTTGGACCTGGAGCACCTCCGCGACTACGTGCGCCGGCTGCTGGCGGACCTGCTCGCGCGGTCCGACCTCAAGGACGACGAGGACCTGTACGGCGCCGGCTTGGACTCGCTGCAGACGATTCATCTGGCGCGGACGCTGCAGAGCGCCGTCGCCACCCTCAGGGGGTCAGTGTCCGTCAACCAGCAGCAGATCTACGCGCACCCGACCGTCGCGCAACTGGCGCAGTACCTGGTCGACCTCATCCACGGCCAGACGAGCACGACCAGCATCTCGCGGCCCGAACGCATCGCCAATATGATCACCAAATACACCTCGCAACTCCCCGCCTACCGCCCACTTCCCGCGCACCTCCCGGCCAAATCAACCGTGATCCTCACCGGCTCGACCGGGTCCCTGGGAACCTACCTCCTGCACCGACTACTCACAAACCAATCGATCGCAAAAGTCTACTGCTTCAACCGCAGCGACAGCGCCGCAAGCCGACAACACGAAAGCTTCACAAGCAAGGGCCTAGACGCGGCCCTGCTAACCGACCCCAATCGCGTGGAATTCCTAACCGTATCCTTTGGGGCACCGCACTTCGGCCTCGCCGACACCGTCTACACAACCCTACAAGAAAGCGTAGACTTGATCGTCCACAACGCCTGGAAAGTCAACTTCAACCACCCGCTGGAGTCATTCGAGGACCCGCATCTACGCGGCGTGCTCGAGTTCCTCCGGTTCAGCAGCACAAGCACCTACCGCGCGCATCTGGCGTTCGTGTCGTCCGTCAGCACGATCGGGAACTGGACGCCTGAGATGGGCGCCGTGGTGCCCGAGACGCCGGTTGAGGATGTCGCGGCTGTGCTGGAGCAGGGGTACGGCGAGTCGAAGCATGTGAGTGAGAGGTTGTGTGTGGCTGCGGCGCGGGTGTCGGGCGTGCCGACGACGGTGCTCCGCGTTGGGCAGATCGGGGGCCCGACGACGGTGCTGGGTAAGTGGAATGTTGATGAATGGGTGCCGAATCTGGTGAAGACGAGTGTGGCGATGGGGAAGGTGCCCGCGGATTTGGGCGGGTATAAGGTTGATTGGGTGCCTGTTGTGAGTATACCTGTTCCTTAGGATGATAAGGATGAGATTGAAGGGAGGGGGCTGTGAGAGGCTTATACTGACTGAATGTCGTGCAGGACACCCTCGCGACCATCACCGTCGAACTCACGCAGACACGCCGCCGCGAACAAACCCACGACCTGCACGCCGTGTATCACCTCGTCAACCCGCACAAGACCGCCTGGGAGGAGCTGGTGCCTGCGCTCCAGGAGAAGTATCCGCACGTGCAGACGGTCGCGTTCGAGACCTGGCTGCGCGAGCTGGAGGCGGTGCGCTCGCCGAGCGAGGAGGAGGTGCGCGCGAAACCGGCGCTGAAGCTGCTGGACTTCTACCGCGGGCTGAGTGGCAGCGTACTCTCGGCGGAGATTGCGGTGGAGATGACGAGGCAGGGGAGCGAGACCATGGCGAGGTTGGGGGGTGTGACGGCGCAGTTGATGCGCAATTGGTTGGATCAGTGGGCGTTTTGAATTGCCCTTGCCTTGCCTTGCCTGGGGGGAATGCGCAAGGGAGGGGGTGCCTTTGTCTAACACATGCATGCCTGGGAAGGAGGGAGAGATTGATTTGCGGGTATATTTAGCATTAGAGCACAGCTTGCATATAGAGTATTTGGGTGAGAAGTTAAATGAAGATCGATACAGCAGTTGAGTTGTCCCTGGCAGATTGCGTCCTTGCGTGGGAGGGAAGTTAATTATAGACGAGGAGGGTATATAAACCCACCAACCCCAGGGCCATCATCTCAAGACTCTAGCTATCCAGCCCTCATCACTCTACTCCAAATCCTCAGGTTCGTCTCTTTCCCGCATACACATTCACGAGGAAACCATACCTAACCAACCCATAGTCCTCCACTCCACACCAAACCAAACCACCTACCACACCCCCAAAGCAAAATGAAGTTGACCACCCTCCTCCTCTCCCTAACCGCCACGGCCACGGCCACAACCACCTGCTACTCCGGGGGCCCCACCAGCGAAGGCACCTCGTGCATATCGAAGCTGGCGATCAAGGACTTCTGGTCCCTGTGGTACTGCAACTACCGGTGGAACATCAACTACGGTGACTGGGACATGTGGATCAACAACAACGAGAGCCACGTGGAGCGCGGACGTGTGGCCAAGACGGGCACGTTCAACGGTATGGAGGAGTGCCTGGATGCGTTCAAGGAGCTGGTCGAGCCGTGCTATGATGTCGCGCAGGGCGGATACCTTACTACCGCTAATGTGAGCTTGGAGGCCAATTGGTGTCAGTGGTAGATTTGTTGTGCCTCCTGTGAGGTTAGGGGGTGGGGGGCTGCTCATACTGGACAGGAACGTGTTGGGTAACGGGGTAATGGGGGCGAGATGTTGATAAAGGGATCGACGGGTATGTGGTTATGGTTATGGTTATGATAGCTATGAGTTTGATGCGATGGGATTTGATGTGACGTAATGGAATACACACATGTTAGTATCTCAACTTAGGCAGCTCCAAATGCTACGGTATGCATGGTATACAACCTGGACTATACGTATATCGTCACTATACACCCCACACCACTATCCTATATACACAGTCTCAGAGACCCCGACACCTAATCCTCATTGAAGTCATAAAAGCTATTCGCCGTCCACCCATTGACAGCGGTATAATCCGCCAACGGACTCGTGCCATGCAACACCTCATACCTCTTCCGGCCCGTACACGCCTTACTGCTACTGGTCGCATTCCTCGCCCCAACGGCCGTACACTTCCCGTCCAACAACCGCGCAATCTCGACACCGGCAGCCCGACCCTCAAACCACGCGCCGTGCAAGAAACCAAAGTACCCGGGACTGGTGGCCTCGCCAGCGAACCACACACGGTCAACATTCGCGCGCAGGTTCTCGTGCATCTCCAGGGTGACGGCGGGAGGCCAGTTGGAGTAGGAGCCGTAGGACCAGGGCTCGGTGGTCCAACGCGGGTAGTGGAAGGCGACGGGGTCCGGGACGGTGACGTTGGGGAACATGGCGCGCAGCACGGCGAGCGCCTCCTGCTTGGTCTGCTCGTCGGACTGGCGCTCGGCGCGATGGGCGAACTCCTGCGTGACCGTCACGAAGATGATGCCGCTGTCTTCGAAGAAGCCCGGCGTGCTGAGCGACTGCCAGATCGGATACCAGCCGCGCGTGACTGGGTCGGCGTACAACAAATACTGCGTGTCGGCTGGCCAGAAGGTCTCGTTGAATTGGAAGAAGATCTTCGTGTACGTGCCCATTGTGAAGGCTTGGATGGATTCCTGCTTCCATTTGGGAAGGGCTGGGGTGAAGGTCACGGCATCGGATTGCTGCAGGACGCCCAGCGAGAAGGTCGTGATTGCGTACGCGGCTTGGATGCAGTCGCCTGACGCGGTCGTGATGGTCACGCCGCTGGGCGTGTAGCTGATGTTGGTCACTTGCGTGTTGAGGTGCAGGCGGCTGTCATTGCGGCGCAGGAAGGTCGACGCCATCCCGTCAATCAAGGCACTGAAGCCCCGTGGGTCGGTGACGAAGTTGTCTTCGTCGCTGAAGCCGTTGGACGTCAGGTTGGAGCCGGCGCACCCGAAGACGAAGGAGCTGTCGGCCGGCATGTACGCATCTTCGAAGTCTGGAGAGGTGAGGTGGAGTTAGTGAGCGTTGCGTTGAGGCACTCTACATGAACTTACCCCAGGACCACCAGTCTACGGCTTGCGCCTCCATGTCCGTCATCTTGGGGCGCCATCCGGCCATCGCGAGACCGGTCTTCGCCGTCGGATCCTGCAGGTTCTCGGTCAGGATGACGCCGGCGTTGACGTTGGCGATGTCGTACGCCTCGTCGTACTCGTCCAGCAGGTACGAGTAGTCACTGTAGCCGTTGTGATTGTACGTTGACAGGTTGCTGTAGTTGGAGTAGATGGTCGAGAGGTTATACAGTTGTGCCTGCGATCGTCAGCTTTGCGCGAGTGTGTCAAACCTCATGACGACTCACCAGCGTCCAGACGGGATTTTGCGGACCCCCGGGTGTTCCTAGACCTTGCACCTGCGACAGTTAGCTGAGGTTGTTGATGCTCGTCGTCCGACCTACCCAGTTGCAGCCGTTCTCAATAATATACGGCGAGCCATCCTTCTTCTTGCCGAACGGCTGGTGCCACGCGCGTCCGCCAATGCGGTCATTGTACTCGAGGATCACAAAATCGTCCATCGAGGCGTTGTGCAGCGCTTGCTGTTAGAGTCAGCTACACTGCTCACGCATGTCCGATCGTCCAAACCCACCGCAGCAGCGATGCCCGCCATACCACCACCACTGCGTCAGTCAGCGACGTTCTTTCTTCACAGCCCGAGAAACATACAGGACCACAACGGTGGTCTGCTTGCATTGACCCTGATCACGGGCATGAGCGACATGGGCAGCAGTGGGCTGGATGGCCCACGCCCCCAGGAGTGCCAGCAGGAGAGACTGCATGGTGTGAAGAAGAAGGTGGATGGGGGAGGAGCTGAGGGAGTCAAGGACTGGGCAGCTGCCAACTTTATAGCGGACAAACTCAATAGTCCCGGTGAACACCGAGAGAGAGGGCTTTCTTCAACCCACCTACGCAACCCAAAGCTGGCGAAGCTCAACACGGCTGAAGAGCTCCACCGACGGGGATTATCAACTTATCACGGTTCTTATCGGAGAATCTAAGCACATTCGGGCAAGTACAAGCGGGTCCGGGAAGAACCACAGATTGACAGGTTGAAGATGCGCTTGGACTTGGCAGATTTGAGTGCGGAGCGAGAGAAAGGCGTTGTTGAGGAGGAGTAGGATGAGGATGAGGCCGAAGAGCCCTCTGACCGGTCAAGAAAGATATCCGGTCTTCGCCAGGACATGAGGCATCATATTCCATTGCGCATCGTCTCTGAGCTCAGAATTCTTGCATCTAACACAGTCAGCGCCTCGTACTCCGAGTCATTCGTCACCCAAACTCAACAGGTAATCCTCTGCACAGCTCGGCGATCATCACCACTAGTCTCAGTTTTCCCCGCCTGAAGCAGGGCAAACCTGGCGAGCTGAGCTCGCAAGTTCGCAACAATACTTCCTTTTCGGACTTGGTCTCTGGTATTTAAATTGAACCGCGATAAGGGCGGGCAGACCTCGGATGATACCTTACTCCCCAGCAGTGCTTCCTTATCAGTGACAGCCAGTCCCCGTAATTGGTTGTTATCGCCGGACATTGTCTTGTCGTCAATCCCTCTCCTGAGCGCCTTTCGTCTTCCCTCTCGCCACTCTGGTTGTTTGTTCTTTCTGCTCTGCGCTGTCTTTTTTTTTCTTTTTTTTTTTTTTTTATTTAATTTTTTTTTTGCGGGCTCACTTTTCACCCGACTATAACTACTCCAAGTCCCTCTCGTCTCCATCCACGATGACGCTCGAATCTCCACATGGACCATCCCGCAACCGGCGATATGGAGAGCCCCGCATCGCTATCAGTCGGTCGCTCGCTCGATCGACTCCACATTAGAAGTAATCATGAGGATGGGCTAGATGATGAAATGATTAACAGTTGGGAGGTGGGCAGTGCTGGATCCTTGGTTCACGGTTATGACCGCAGTGTGGGGGGGCCTACTGAGCCTACTGCAGTTTAGACTTGACTCTAGGAGAATTCTGTCACTGGATGGATGACTGATGAGTGATACTGTCAATAACTAAGTACTACAGATGTTGCCTACTGTCAGATTTCCCAAATAGTCTATAGACAAGGCTGCCATTGTGTCCCCCTGGTTTGATAATGAGCCTCTGCCCCAAAGCGCTTAATTTAGATAATAGGCAACACTCCAGACCCCTGTCAGTTACTTCTCATCCACTCGCTCATTCATATACCTATTCATTAAAACTGAGAGCATCCAGACCTCAGCTAAGCCCCGCCATGCAACATGACAGCGCCAACACACGAGCCCGGGCGCGGGCAGGCGCATCGACGAGCCCTACGGAAATCGGCTTGGCAGCATGATTGGACTTTATCATCGGGGAGTGTCGCAACTGACGGCGGCTAAGTGCACCGCCAGCAAGGCTGCAGGCGATTTCAGTCGTCCTGTATAATAAAGGCTATCGCCAGCCTCACGATGGAGGTCTGGTTTCCTGAACCTCACCCGTAAAGAGCGCGATGGCCGACAAACTGCGCACCAGCTCTTCGACAGCCCGATCGGAGCCGAGGATCTTCGAGGAATGTGGTGAGTTCTTGTCTTATATATTCCAGATGAAGAGATTGCTGATGAAGGTGACAGAGACAGACGGCTGGGTAGAAAGGCACGTCTCGCTGCTGGAATTGGACGTCAAGGTGCTCCCAGCCCTACTACCCCTTCGATAGGCCGCAACAATACTAATTGATTGACCTCTGAATAGAACCCACGCTACTCCACCATCATGTACTCCCCCCCCCTTAATCCCCAAAGAAACAACCCACTAAATTATAAAACCCAGCTTCGCAACAGCATCAGACTTCAACAACCCCGAACACCTGTCCCTCTTCCCGCCACGCTTCCAACCAACAATAACCGACGACCTAAACGGCGCCTTCGAGTGCGAAGACATCCCAGACGAAACAGGCCAATTCTTCACGCAGCATACCTCATGGTCAACCTACAAGATCAAGCGGGTGCTACAACCAAACCAATACCACTGGACGCAAGCCACGCTACTAATCCACTGGAACTCTCACACAAAGATCCAAATAATCTACATCATCGACCTTCCCGGCGCGCCGCGCGAGTTTTTGAAGACTGTCCCGCCGGGGCGGCTGCGCGCCCACGATCCCTACGCCTGGCATGCTGCGTTCGCGACGGCCATGATCCCGGAGTATGATCGGTCGATTTGGGGGCTGAGGCATTTGGTGCGGGATATTGAGAAGGTAAATAAAAACCCTCTCGAAGAACCCATCCCGACTCCGAGGTCCCTCCCTGTTCACAAAGTGACTCGGAAATATAAAATCATAGGGAAGAGTCGACCCCTCAACCCTTACCCCGGATTTCTTCCCGCACCTCCACGACATCGCCCGACATATCTTCCACGCCAACGAGACGCTGGAGGTCGCCCAGCATACGCTGGATAGTCTGGTGAGAGAGCAGATCCGGTCGGCGGGGTTGTATCATGGCCTGCACGCTGGGGCGAACTCGCAGCAGCAGCACAGCCATACCCATACCCATACCCATAACAACCACAATCATAACGACAGCAATACAAGGACCATCTGCAATGCCCCAACCAACCACCCCTCCACGCTACAAACCGAGCGCTCCCTGCGCTGTCTAGCGAAACAGCTTCACGCACTACATACCCGCAGCCGCTCGTTGACGGAGCGGTTGCATAACGAGATAAATCTCGTGAGTCAGTCCCTTTTTCCCCGGTCCCCGCTTCAGTTCCGACTAAATTAATGCAAACGCAAACGGTAGGGCTTCAACCTCGTCTCGCAGCGGTTCGGACACGACGCGAAATCCGACTCGGCGATGATGCGCACCATCGCTGTTGTCAGTATGGTTTACCTGCCGGGGACGTTTGTGTCGGTGAGTCAGTCTTTGCTGTTGCCTTTTTGGTTTCCAGGGTCGGTATCTGGGGATAGTAGGTCGAGATTGGTTTATAAGGAGTGGGTTGAAGCGGATGAGCGTCACGCTAACATACCGTACAATCACGCAGGGCCTCTTCGGGACCAACTTTTTTAACTTCACCGACGGCGACGAACATACCTGGTTCATGGCCGGCTCGTTCTGGCTGTACTGGGCTGTGACGATCCCGCTGACGCTGGCGACCATGGCTGTCTGGGCCTGGTGGCATTATCTCTCGCCAGCCAAAAGGAACGCGAAGAACCCGGTCAGAGGGCGGGTCGAGACGGCTTGGTTGGATTCGAAGGGTATTGTGTGAGTACGGTGAGAGAGCACACCGCTGGAGATGAGGTTGGTTATGAGCAAGAATAAGTGATGATTACGAGGTGGACGAGTTGATGTATAACGGAATATGATTAATGAATTGGGTATGCACTAGCTAAGTCATATGGGAGCATTCAGCTCCACATGCTGAATCGGAAGCTACGGAGTAGCTGGGTTGAAACCCGGAAATGCGACCGTCTATCGGTTTCGTAAACCAGGTCTAACACATAGCAAAATCGGGGGTAGATCGGGGATAAATCTTTTAACCACCAACAACGGTTGGTCATAGTGTCCAAAAGATGACCGTAGACCGGCGCACAGGCCGGTCTGTTTGGGCTCACTGGCCCTTGGAAGGAAAACACATGGGAATCCCTGAGAAAATGGATGCTGGTGTAGCGAGAAGACGACTCTCTGCTCATCTCAGCTTACACTGCTTTCGTCTGCCCCATCCGGGGATTCGTCCACACCCGATGCGGGAGTGGTCTCTGGTGGCAAGACCCAAGTCACAAACAGCGCGGCGGTCTCCGTGGGGAGCGTTACGCCCCGAGCCTGTGCCGTGGAGCGCACGGTTTCCAGTATAGAGCCACCCCCATCCCACCGCCGCGTCAACGACTTGGCGGCGACACACAGGGTAACAAACGCCTCACAATTTTCGGGCTCCTCGAGCCCATCCAACAAAGCGAGCAGGGCCCCTAGCAAACAGGGCCCGTTACTGTCCGGCATGCGCTCGACGCCCCAGCGCGCACGATGGATGCTGACCAGATGGGCGATGTTGCGCGCGGCCGAAAGCCGGACGGCGCGGGCGTGTAAACCCACCCGGTCGGTCGGCGAGGGCGGTGTGGCCGACAAAACCACCCCGTACAGCGTCAGCACGATCAGATGGTAATACATACTATCACAGAGAGTACGGTGAGTTTCCAATCCAACCAGGCGGGCAGCAAAAACCTACTGCAGACATAAAATGTGCGGCGCCTCCAAGCGCGTGCCTTTCAGACATGCCGGCCATTGATCCGCGCAATGCTGGAGATGTTCATGCAAGACCGTTACCCGTTCTGCCAGGCCGGCGCGCGGTCGCGGGCTAACTAACCGGGTCACCTCGTAGGCGATCGGTGTCAACGTCGAGAGAGCAACGAACAGACAATCCGCATGGCCCGCGATGCCGGCAGCGGGGTGGGGATAGGGCCGCCAGGTATCGTCCGGCCCGCCCTCATGGCGCAATGGCGGCAGACGGTGACGGTCCGGCACCGGTATCGGCGGGCGGCTCCGGTCGGTCAGGGCATGGATCCTGGCCGACGCGTCAGTGGAGCTCCTTCTCAAAGACCGGGCGCATGGGGCCGAGGGAGGGAAAATTCAGAGATCGGGTGGAGGGTCCGTACGTGGCGACGTTGAATATCCCCCAGACGGTCCGGTTGAGCCCATGGACCATGCGCAGTGTATCTAGGTCGGGGTTGACGGCGAGGGTCGAGTTTCTCTGTAGCAGTTCCTGCAGTGCGTAGGCGAGCTGATTCCGATAGATCCAGCCCTGGCGATCGCGACCGGTCCGAGCAGCACTAGGTTTGGATTAGCAAGGATAGGAAAGGGACGGGCGCATGTATGACATACCACGACCATAAAACGCCCAAGCCCTGCACGGTCGGCAGAGTGATCCGTCCGGCCTCCTCGTCCAGGAGTCGTTTCGCTTCTGCGTAGAAATGGGCGCCCTTCGAGACCGCATCCCCGGGGGTGGTATACGCCTCCGGATAGTCCGAGTAGGTCTGGGCTGATTAGTCCGGCACGAAACACACGGAGACACGTGCTACCTACACATGCGTCGGCGAGGATGCAGTTCACCAGGAACGGAGAGCAGAACCGTCCGGAGCGCTTGCCGGTCTGCATCTCCCGCATGAACAAATCCCGATCGATCCAATTGCGAAAGGGATGCGACCAGGTGAACCAAAGCGATATCAAATGGGAAACAAAGTGTGAATCGGGGACCACCGAGGTCCAGGGGTGGGCTGGCACCAGGTATCGTGGCGAGTCGGCGATACGCTTGGCCTCGAGCACGCGGCGCATCGGTCTGGAGCGGTCGGAGGGCTGGTGATGATGGAGCTCGCGGGTCAGTTGAGCTAGGTCGGGCGTCAACGCCAGTTCCGACTGCGGGAGATGGTGGAGGATGTGGTGGCGGATTTCTTCAAAGGGGGCATCGCTGCGGATGAGGTCGATGAGGGGCAGGATATCCTGCTCGTCACCGTCGCGGAGCGCCCCCACGAGGCGAGCCAGCAGGTCCTCCTTGTCGACCAATTCGTCGATCTTGCGTTTGAGGGCGCCTCGACGACGTTTATCGGCGCTCTTATCGAGGGTGCATTCGACGTTGCTCTTGACGCAGCTGGAACAGGGGACGGATCCGGTGCACTACCATCCAGCTCCCGGTCAGTGTCTGTGCGTGTTCAAGGGAGACCGGGGAGAGAGGCGAGAGCGGAGACGCGACGTGGCATACCTTTAATTTGCGCGCTTTGCAGGCGGCACAAGCAGTGCCAACATTCTTTCTGCGATGTCCGCTGTCGAGAGCAGCGTTTGCACCAGCAGGGGCTGGAGCCAGAGGGCGCGACTTAGTATCGGACATGATGAGGATCCATGATTAATCCAGCCGGACGGAGAGGAGCGGGAGGAGGGAAGGGGAGAGGGGAAACAGAACGAGTAAATATGAAGAGAAGGAAGGGAGGAAGAGAAGGAAATGAAGAAGAAGGAGAAAGGGTCGAATGAGACAGGGCAGCAAAGTCGCGAGAGAAAGAGACAGTATGCAGAGCAGGTGGACGAAGAAACGGAGAAGGAGGAGGAGGAGGAGGAGGAGGAGGAGGAG